AAGTGAGAAAAAACGAAATGTTAGTTTTTAAAGAAAGATTGTATATTATAGGACAAGTTTGATGAAAGCATTAAGCTTGGGTTAACAACAAAAGACTCTAAATAGTGACAACTTTATCTTTGCAAGAAGTACGAAGTCGTTTTGAGTTAATCAGAACGCACGACGAAAGCACGTGACGCATTCGTGACAAATGCGGGAAAACGCTGCGGGAATCAATTCGTGAGAAGCTCTTGGCTTTAATCTCCTTGACTTGAAACTCACTTTTGTTTCTGATTGGCTAGCATGATACAAAACTCATAGGATCATGGAAGTCTGTGTTTCCATTTACTTTTGCACACGAGAAATAGGTATCACGTAATGTCTGTCTTCTTGCCTTAATGTTTGAGTTTTTTAAAAATTATTATTATTTGATCACCTCTATTAGGCAGCGGAAATCGGTTGGATACGAACCACTACAGCCCGGCTGATGTACAGCAAGGCAAAAGTAACAACATACCAAACTCAAAATATCACTATCAAGAGCATTTGAACAAGAGCAACAAGTTCTTGGATTCACCGCCAAATCGTGAGTACATTTTACTTTAGTTTTTCGAAGTACCACAACCCAAGCATAATGGCCAATTAGAACAGAGATCAGTCATTATTAGCCAATTAGAACCAAGAAGAATAGAACCAAGAACCAAGAACCAAGAAGAAAAGACAAACTGCCAAAAGGGCGGGAAAACGCGGGAATGAGGTAAAGCGAAAACAGTGGAGTTTCAGATTACTTTTGACACTTAATTGACTACTACAATTTTTGAGACTTGGAAAATTTCATGATATCGGAAACGAGCTCTATTATGCTCTTTTTATCGAGTCAAGGCCGCACACAGGGTGTAGTAAGACTGTAACTCAAGGCGTTTTACATTTCTCCTACAGGGTATGCCACACCCAATGGATCTCGGAGTCCCTCAGAAAGCACTCTCCCGAAGAGCGGGACCAAAGAAAGAATCCGGTACCTGGACTTCCCTGAGAGTGGCACGAACAGGAGCAAATCCAGCACGAGTTCAAGGAAAAGAGACCCGAACCAGGCACCTAGTGACTCCAGCGACACGGAGAAGACCAAACCCAAGCTTAAGATTCAGTCTTTTGAGATGGCTGGAAATATTCCCACCACTAGTACCTTTCATTCTGAACCGCCTCCGACTTACGAGGCTGTCTTAAAAGAAACAGAAATGGAGATGCAGAAATTCCCGCTGACCACCGCCGAAAGGGTGGAACAAATCGAGAGTAAAAACGAGGAAGAACAAGACTCCTCTGCGAAACCCGATGCTTCTGATGCTCGAAAATCCCCAACTTTGGAGAGACCGGCCAGTCCGAGTAGCGAACGAAGCTGTAAAACTTCAACCAGTTGCGGCTCGCTTCAAAGAAAAAGGAAGGCTCTCAAACCACCTCCGCGTCTAGCTATCTTCAACTGGGCGGATATGCTGCCCCCACCCCCTTCAGAGCCACCACCGAGCAGCTTAGGATCCCCACCCCCCTCCCCACCGTTCAGCGAACGAAGTGCCATGACAGGCATGACGGGAAGGACTGGTATGAGCGGTATGAGTGCTATGAGTGGAATGACAGGTATGAGCGGAATGACTGGAATGAGTGGCCAGACAGGATTGAGTGGTATGACAGGATTAACAGGAAAAACCGGAATGAGCGGGATGAGTGGTGTCACTGGGAAGAGTGGACTGACGGAACCTCACGGCCATTCGGGGAGGCGGGCACATAGAAAGGCTGGAGCCGCTTCTCATGACGGTGAAAACGACCGCGAGTCTGTGACGGGAAAATCTGAAAAGTCCAAGAAATCCCGATCGAAGCCGAAGCCTATTCCGATCGACCTCGAGGGCATTACGAGTGACATCATCATGCAATGGGCCGAGTCTGTGACGAACACTAGCGGTTCCGATGAGGAATCGTCGGCCTCAAGCCCAAGCCGAATAAGTGGTATTAGCAGTGATGGGTCTTTCTTTACTGACGCGGACTTTGCTAATGCTGTTCGTGTTGCCGCTGAATGTGGTGGGTTTAACACGGATGCTTATGGACTCATGGACTCACTCGGCATACCTCCCCCTTATGCTGCGGGCTGGAAACGCAGCAATTCATTTTCTAATGATAACGAAGCTAGCCTTGGAACCGCGGCTGCGTATGGCCCGCGTCCCCTTAGAAAAAGATGGGAAACTGGTAGCGAAGGTGACTTAGAGTATAATCCACCACCTAATCGAGTACGTCCCAGGCAAAGACGAGACAACGAAAAGGGTCCCAATGAGAAGGGACCTAACGATACAGGACCGGTGCGCATCCAGAGAGTGCCCCCTGGTGAGCTTATCAGACAACTTCCCGGTATGCGAGCCCCTGTACCTATAGTACCCTCACAGCCGAGGAGACCACTTCATAGGGTTGCTCGGCCAGGGGGGCCGCCCCTGCAGACGAACCCGGCCATGCTGGTGCAGCCCTTGAAGAAGACAACGACACTTGGCGTGGTTGACCCTCGGGAACCGCTCAAGAAAAAGTACGCCATTGTGAAGAAGATACCTCAAAGTCAGGAAAACGAGAGAGGAACTGGGTATCAGAGTTGTAGCATGAGTTCAAGCAAATCAAGTACAAGTACGGCCAGTACTGTGAAGAGCAGTTCCTGTGCTCCAACCGTACATGATGACTCTGACCTGGAAGGGGTAAGCTGACGATTATTTTGACTAATATCTGAATTCTATGCATGGTGTCCTCACATTTTAAAGGTAAAGGTGACGATAGGAGTTAAAATTTCAAGGTTGGCAGCATAGCCGCCTGTCTTTGCCAGTGAATTTTGGTTCAGATGATATGCGAAGCTGTTGTATTCACATGCTGGAAAATTATCCGTAAGGCAATTCAAAGTGCTTTTTCCCTAATTAAATGTCAAGTAATTTTTTTCCCTTTCGTCCAAAATTCGTTTGCCAGGAGTGCCTTTTAGTAGGAATATTTTCTTTTATTGATCGATTATTTCCTTTTCCTTTTCCAGTCGGTGGCATAACTATAAAGCAAGATAGCTATATGGCAATGGATAGAAGAATTGGAGCTTTGTGACTGCTTTTTTTTTCCAAATACATAAAAATTAGAAGCGTTACTCCTATGTTTTAATGCGAAGCGTTCACAAACAGTATTTGGTAACTATTAGTTCGGGTTAAAACAGTTGCGTATGTTTTTTGTTCAAGATATGGAGTTACCAGAGTTGCTTGTCCTCAAAGTAACACTGGAAATTTTTATTACTTAAAATTTTGTACTCAAATATAGCGTTTTTGTGGCATTATACAGCGGTAAACTGATTCTTTTGCTTCCTACAGTTTCAAGCTACAGTATTATGAAATGGGATCTTTATATAGATTTGTGTAGATAAATGTACAGATCGACTGGAGGAAATTTGTCCCGGGAATTTGAAAGGAGAATTCCTTTTTACTTCTCTCCTAATAGTCAAAATTTTATTTTACAGTGAGTCAATATATTATTGGCTGGAATTGACGTTTGGAGATCAGATGGTACTGATGAACACGCTTTATTGTAATACACAACTCTAAATTTATTTCTTTTCGTTGGTACTCCATGCGAGACGCTAAAACAGATAAAAAGCATTTATTTTTCATGATATAAAATTATAGGCAGATTTGTAAAGGAAAAATGTGATTTGTTGTTTTTTTTTTATGATTGAATTTTATACATTGACAATGAAAGTGGAGATGCGCCAGGTCTCACTCGCGTGGTCCTAGATATCCCAAAAATATGTACGATCCGATTTTTATTTTGGGCAGAATTTAAAAGAATATTATTTGAATTGTTTTGTATAAGAGAAATTGATGTTTACTTTAGAAAATTCCAAATAACGTTTTCCAAAGAATGTACTCATATTCAAAAACAGCAGACAGTAAAATATAATAACGTTATTTTATTTAAGAGCTTCAAAGCCTTCGTTTAGTTAGCATATCTGTTCCTGATAAGTATTTTTAATGAATCATTTGGATTTTGGCATAAGCGACTTTGTATGAACAACAATGCAGTAAACAATAAATTGCTAATTACCTTGAATCAGTGTGCTGTGTCAGTGCGCATACCCCAAACCCCACGGGGGTACTCTTGAATTTTTGTTGGGGGTAAGCAGCCTGGTTTTCCAAATCCTGACTCTCTTTCAGAGTAAAACGTGCTCGAATTTCAGATCTGTCCTTTCATAGTCTATAGCCATTTTCAGACTTGGCAACGGTGCCTTAGTGAAAGGATCAAATGATATTTTTCGGTTAGGGACCAGTTACCATTTGCCGCCTTGTCGGGGGAGGGGGCAGAGGATTTTTAGGGGGTCAGTCATCGCCAAAAGAGTGTAAGGGAGGGGGGGGGGGCTATAGAGAATAGACTGCCGATCAACTTCTGATGAGAGGGTAGGGGGTCACAAGACTATTACAAAGCTTCCTTGGGGGGGGAGGGGGGTTCATGTAAATTTTATCATGACAACCAAAGTCCTCCCCATCAGCCTGTTAAGCTGTCCCTCGCTTCTCTCTCTTTCTCTAGCTCTCTCCATTCTTCACCCAGATTTGAAAAGACAAATACTTTTTTACGCTCGCATGATTCCCTTTCAAACCATGACAGACGGAATTTGAGACCATGCTAGTCAAGCTCTGAATCTTTTCCACACCGAAACGGCCCAGTGCCACTAGGCTTAAGAGATTTGCACAAGAAAAAAAGTAAAAAATCATCGCGAGTTGAATCCCTCGGTGTTTGATAGTCTCTTAAAAGATCGTATTCTGGCCTTCCATCTTTGGGGATCTCAGCATCTGTGCGTCTCAGTTCGTAGTATTAAATCTTTGTTTTTTGGCTACGATACATGCACCCGGATCTTTGAAATTAAATCGGCCAACCATTAGTATTGCAGCGTCAAGGTATTCACTTCCGTACCGTACTGTCCCGTCACTCGATCGAGGCTTTAAGTCACGTGTTTGCCAAGAGAGAAATATTCAAGATGGCGCTACCTCCTCCACCAGCACCACCACCTCCACCGCCTCCTCCTCCTATAGGAGAGGCCAATCCTCCCTCTTATCCCGGTCCAGCTCCTTCGATGCAACCTGTGACAACTGCCCAACCAGCTCCAGACGCTCAAACGGCATCCCAGCCCAATACTACCCCAGGAAACGAGGATAAAATCTGGGAAAGATCGTGGACTGTAGACGAGTTGAGAAAGGGGTCATCAAATTGGACACTCGCTGCTGATTCGGGGGTAAGGCTGTCTTACTTTAATGACTCCGTGTAAAGACTGTAAACGATAGGGCTAGGAAATCGTTGATTTTCTCTAATTATTTTTCTGTGACGGAGATTTTGTCATCTCTCTTCTGCGTCACTTCACTGATGTGTCAAACCGCTAGCTGGAAACCTTAGGTGTCATTAAACTACTTGAACTTTACCAAGTAGTGTTGCTGTTTTCTATCTTAAAAGTCAAATCTGTTCACTATATGTTTCTCATATTTTATGAGAAATCTCATAAATATTTAGAGCCATCCTCAAATGAAAACGATTACCATAAAGTGGAGTGGTAATTTAATATTATTCAAATTAGCCTACAAAACATTTCCTCACACATATCTGTATTCAAGTATCAGGCCAATCAGCTGTTATCTAGCATGATGAGGAAACAAACTCTACGGCTAAGGAAATATTTCATATCTTGTCTTGGTTCATGAGGAAATGTTTTGTTTTCTCTTCTGTTACATGGAATTAGGCATTTGAAAAGGTAATTATTATGCACATAGGAAGTTTTATTTACCTTATTGGTAACCCTTCAACCGAGCATTACTCATTTCTTAAAATATTCGCCACTACCACGGGAAGTTAACAATTTATTTTGAAGAATCCTTCATTGGTTTGTTGTTATCCAGGAGTCCTCTGACCCATGACTTGGCTGGAAATTAAGCAAACAATCCTATATTTTTTTGCCCTAAGATCTTCCACTGAACAACTTTAAGGTATACTGAGAATATGGTAATTGCTATTTTCATGTACAACTTTTTTCCATCACAAAAGAACACTGGACTGACGAAGTAAAGACTTTTGTTCGATGCCAAAGTAATATGAGAAATCAAATTTTGACAGAAATTATTATTTAAGATTTTGGTCTGACATTCTGCTAAGATTACAGCATATCTGCAGAATCAAGTTGTTGCTGGAGAGAAGATTCTTGGAGTATTGCTATCTCAGCTAAGGCTATCCACTGCCATGCACAATGTCACATCAAAACTTAAGAAAATAGAGTTGATTTCATTTTGACTGTCTACTGTATCCACTTTTTAGAAACTACATCTCACATGAAGTCTTTTAATACTCTGCCTTCAGTGGAAACTATATTATTATCAGCTAAAAACTGTTGTGTAGTCCTCTAAATTCAATTTTTCAATTTCCACTTTTTTCCATCACAAAAGAACACTGGACTGACGAAGTAAAGACTTTTGTTCGATGCCAAAGTAATATGAGAAATCAAATTCTGACAGAAATTATTATTTAAGATTTTGGTCTGACATTCTGCTAAGATTACAGCATATCTGCAGAATCAAGTTGTTGCTGGAGAGAAGATTCTTGGAGTATTGCTATCTCAGCTAAGGCTATCCACTGCCATGCACAATGTCACATCAAAACTTAAGAAAATAGAGTTGATTTCATTTTGACTGTCTACTGTATCCACTTTTTAGAAACTACATCTCACATGAAGTCTTTTAATACTCTGCCTTCAGTGGAAACTATATTATTATCAGCTAAAAACTGTTGTGTAGTCCTCTAAATTTTATTTTTCAATTTCCAGTTTCTCCTTTATCTGCAAGAATTCTCTCAACGAATTATTTCACAAACTCACGACATTGAGACTCAAGTGGATGGGCTGATCAACAGTACAAAAGTGGGTGAAAAATTTATTTTCATTGTTTCATTGATACAAACATCCATTTAAGTCACGAAAGGCTTGCTGTGTTAAATTTATTTTTCTCTATAATTGTCTTGTTTTTCTTAATAATTGCGTTTTAATTTTCCTCATGGGTCATAATGAAAATGAAAACATGGAGAAGAATTTTAAAATATGTTTTATTCTAGAGAAAAGTCTTGTGCCCAGAAGAAATTTCAACATTTCTTTTGCATGAGTTTCATAAACATTTTATTGTATTTTGCTTCATTGGTTGATTGACTGACTCACTTTTTTTTTGTCCACAGGGAATGGATTCTAAAGTGCAGAATACAATGAATGACTTTTTAATGCTGTCTAATACGCAATTCATTGAAAATGTGAGTGTGTTTCTTCAAATAATTGTCTAAAATATGCTTTTGGTATACTCATCAGAGCTGTATATCATCATATTTATATATTTACCCATTTGTGACATTTGTTTTGCAAGGATGAGCTTCTTCAAGGGTGCAAACTAAACAAAAGTTCACCCAGGGTTAATCTGTGTTATGGATCAGCTTGTAAAACTACAAGAGAAAAGAAGAATGATTATCAACAGAAGCTAACTATAATTGCTTTCTCTTGCTTTATTGTTAGTATTGTTTCAAGTACAGCCTCTTTTTTACACTGTACAGACACCTTATCCTGTTTTATTAACTTAAGTAATTGTCTATTTTTTTTTTATCAGCGTGTTTATGAAGAGGATGTCAGTAAAGATGAGACAAATGAGGAGAAGGAGAAAGCTCCTGAACCAGAAAAGGTATCTTGCATCATTCTCAATGTCATTGCATTAAGGGGATTCATACCTTGTACACCTCAACATTAATTTTCATATTCTCCTTGCTGTTCTCTCTACAACTTCTCTGATAATAACAAGGAGAATTTGTTTGACAATCAGGAGCTCCTTAATTGAGTGATGATTATCTCTATTCTTATAACCTTAGCAGCTTATTCAAGGATAGTATAGTAACGAGAAATTAGAAGTTGATCACCCTTCTGGGATTTAAAGGTTAAGATTTTCTTACCTGTCACCTCTTTCCCATTTTTCCCCTCCTTGCTCCTTGGCCTTTGAACTCTCACTCTGTACCTTAGGTACATCAGAAAATATGGCATAGCTCAGTGTCAACTTTTTCTCAGGGTTTAATATTTGTACTCTCAACAGGCAAAAACAAGGGAGCAGCTTGAGGCAGAGGTTATTCCTAAGCTAAGTGAAGCTCTTAGCCATGGAGTTGGGGTTATGGATAATGCATTTGTTGCAGTTGAGCTCACAACGGAACGTGAGTATTTATTTGATCAGTGATACACTGTCCAGCACATTTAACTTTATTTTTAGTTAATCTTTAAACTCCCAAGATCTGATTGTTAATTCCCCCCTCTTTCCACTTCACATTTTCTTGTAAATTAGCTATGAGAATTTGGTTTTAGATCAAGATGAAAACCTCTTCTTGATAAGTTTGTGTATTCTCATTACCTGTTTGTTGATTAATGTATGGATATCTCAGGGAGAGGTTACATGTTAATCACTTCTGTAAGTTCAGGGGTTAAGTTTCCTACTCAAGTGTGTAGTAACCAGCTGTGTATTTTTTTGCTTAAGTTCATAAACTGAAACCTCTCCTCCCAAAGATGCACGTAATTCTTCAATTCTTCATAAAGCAACCATTAATTGCCTGCTTAAAAATTATTGAATCATTCAAGACTATTTCCCTCATGCAGATTCTGATGATGAAGAAGAAGAAGATGATGATGCCAAGACAGCATTTAAGCCACAAGTGATTTTGGAGCCCAAGGTTTGTGAACTATTTTCTAATCACCATGTTTTCTGGATTTGATGTTAATCAGCTACTTAATGGTGAAGGAGGCTTCATGCCATTTGAAGGATGTAGGATAAAGACCTAACAAGGAACAATGTTTACACTGTAAGTCTTTTTACTCACTCACAACTTTCTCTTTTTTCACCTTGAAGGATGTTTATTCCAATCGTCCATTGCCACATCTGATTGGAAGTGGAGATTTCTTTAAGGATGAGCTGGTTGGCTTGGGTGAATCTTCAGGAGAAGGTAAATATAATTTTGTACTTGAAGTGAATCAGAAAGTCACAATTTTGCGTGAGCCATCTCTGAACTGTCAGGGAATGAATCAGTGGAAAATGTTGAGCAGCTTCATGGGAGAATTGCTGAAATGATTTTTGCGTTTATTATATGATTATAAACAGAAGATGAAGGTGAAGAGGATGAGGAAGAAGCGTCTTCCAGTAGCAGTGGAAGTGAAACTGAATCCACAGCCAGTGGAGAATCTAGTAGTGAGGTAATAATAATAATCATCATCATTATTTTCATAATTACTGACGGAGGCAGTTTTCATTGCGACCTTTTTTGAAAATTACTTAATCTTGATTGAACCATTATGGAATACTATTCAGTTTTTGTAATTTTAAACATTGAAACTGTGTGATAATGAAAGGGATTATCTTCACATGATTAAAAATGTTTATGGAACTTATTTTCTGAAGTCCTCAGTTGTAGAAAGGATATAAAGATGTCATTAGCTTTCATTGGATAGTTTGATTTTATGTGTGTTTGTTGATTTGCTTCATAGAGCTCTGAAGAGAGTGGCAGTGAATCAGACACAGAAAAGCTGAAAGAGACAGAGAAAAAACAGAAAAGCAAGCCAAAGGTATATTTAAGACAGACAGATGCATAAAGCAGTGGAAAGTGTAAATTGAAATATTTGATACATGATTTGGCTTTCAGCAATAATACAATGAACAAGCATTTCCAGAACAGAAGTGAAGCATCTTCATTGCAACTAAGATGTACTGATTGTCATGGTTAAGGTTTTTTTTTTTTTAATCTTCACCTTTATCCAAGAAAATTATTGAATCAGAAGAAGATGATGATGATCTGTTTGGTGAAAAGAAGAAGCCGCCAGACTCAGATGAAGAAGATGAGAAGAGTGATGATGAGGAAGAACAGCCTAAGAAGGTAAAACGGTTTGAACTGCAGTTAACTCTTTAACTTCCAGAAGTGATTAACACGTAACTTCTCCCTATAATATCCATACATGATCCAGCAGACAGGTAGTGAGAATACTCAAACTTATCAGTTAAAGGTTGTTACCTTGATCTAACACAACATTCTCCTAACTAATTTACGAGGAAATGTGTAGCAGCTAGAGGGGAGAATTAACAATCAGATCTTGGGAATTAAAGGGTTAGAGTTCACCTGACTAGACTTTATCAAGAGGCTGTGAAATTGTTGAAATTGAAGTTGAAAGCCTCAGGAAGCACATTGAGGCAACAATGCTATTGACACGACAGATTTAGGTCATGGGTGCTGGAACTAGTTCATGCAAAGAAATTAGGCCTTTAGAAATGAAAATGAAAATGTTGTTAGTTTTGGGATTTTGTCTCTAGACTTACTTATCAAAAGAAGGACCATCCCCAATACAAGAAAAAAATTATTAAGGAGATGTGTCACTGCACTGTCAAATCATTATTCTCAAGAGTGACTTTAAACTCACCAAGTGATCAAGTAAATGAAAAGAAAGGGAAAGTCTTAACCCTTTACACCCTAACATCAGTATGCATATTCTCCATACTGTTCTTCATACATTTCTTAAGGTGCTGACAAGGAGAATTTGTTTACTGATCAAAAGTTTCTTTTGATGGTGATCATTTCCTTTATTCTCATGACCTTAATGTGTGATTCAGGGGTGATATTGTGGGGAGAAATTAGATGCCTGTCACTCTTAGGGTTTAAAGGGTTAAAGAAACCCTCAAAATGTGACCATGCTAAGAATGGTGTATGGTTATGTATACTTGAGTTTGTAGGAGAATCAGAATCAGCTGTATGATTGTTCAAGAAGAGTTTTAACAATGAGCCCATAACAAGAGTCTTCGCCCTTTACACTCTCACATCAGTATGTAAGGATGCACTGTATTCTATACATTTCCCATGTTACTTACAAGGAGAATTTTTCCAACGATCAAAAAAAACTTCTTGAGTTTGCGATCATTTTCTTTGTTATGACCTTTAGGTTTGATTCAGGAGTGATATTGTTGGGAGAAAATGAAATGCCTATCAGTCTTTGGGGTTAACGAGTTAAGAGAGTGATAGATGTGATTGTTATAATTCCAGGGCTGGTGATGTAGACTGCTGAATAGGAATTTCTTTTTCTCCGCAGCCAAAGGGTGGTTTAGACTTTGCCTCTGAACTTGCAGCAAAAATTGGAGTTGCAAAGGTGAAGCAACCAGACAGTGATGAAGATGATAACAAAGATAAGGTGGCTGATGGTGAGTGGAGTGATGAAGAGAATCAAGAGGCTAAAACTGTTGAAGTTCAGGAAAAACAACGCAGCTTGACAAAAAACAGTTTAACAAAAAGCCGCAGTGACAGCAAGACGAAAGAGAAGAAGTCTCACCACCACCACCATCATCATCATCAACATCATGACAAAAGGGAGCGGTCTGAGTCACAGGGAGAGCACAAGCATAGAAAACGACGTGGCAGTAAGACCAGCCACTCTAGTGTGGACAAGCATTCAGTTACCACAGAGGATGGTGAGAAATGTTCATGTAAAATTAACGAATATTTTTTATATACATTTTCCAAGTGTTCATTTCTTCTTTTGTCAGATCTGTTTAGCCAGTCAAGTCCTCAAGAAGATGGTCTCTTTGGAGGTGAAGGAACTCCATTTACAAAGAAAGGAGGGCTGTTTAGTGGTGGAGGAAACCTCTTTGATGATGTTGACGAAGACAAGGTGTGACTCATTCTACTTGGGTTACTTGTTAGTAAAGGCTTTTGTATGTTCTCATCATTGGTCCAAAGGTTTTTCTCTTTTCCTCCATTTTTTCCTGGTTGTGAAAAAAAGTTTCACCACATATCATCTAGACAACAATCTTTTACCACTTGGATTAGTGTTGGTTTTTCACCTAAAAATGTAGAGTTTGCCTTTGGAAATTTTTTTGCACTGTATTGAATTTTTAATTAATGAAGTAAAGATAAATGTATCTCAAGCCCCATTAAAATATTTGACTTTGCTAATACTTGGTTCAAATGAATGCTGGGATTAGCCAACCCTGTACCAGGTCCTTCAAGGGGCATGTTGTTTCACCTGGCCTTGATCTTTGTTGTTGTTGTCCCAGATGCAGGGCTGAAAAAACCTTACAAATTCTTTGAAAATTGTATGTTAGCAAACATTTTTTCTTTCCCTGATGGGCCAAGTAGATCGTTGATCTATGTGGGAATGTGAAAATGACCATAGACATCCTGAAAGTTACAAAATTGTAATGGAAATGTTTTATTTCCAATTTGTGGGCTCGCCAACTTGCAGCTTGGTAAATATCCACCATTATTCACCTCCACTTCAGTGTATAACTGTTAAATATTGTGCAACACTTCATTATAAATATTTTTTTTTTTTTTTCAAACACAGGGTGACTTGTTTGCTGAGGCTTCAACTACAAAAACTAACAAACAAGAAGGACCAACAGAAGGTTGGGAAATTTTGCACTAAAAATGTATAGGGATGTTGAAAGTTAAATATTTCTTTTTATCTGTAACTGACTGGTGCTTTCTTTTTCAGCAGAAGAAGAATCTGTTCAAGTTAAACCCAGAGCAAGAAGCACAGCAAGTGGGAAAAAAATCCCAGCTGGAGCCATCTCGATATTTGGAGGTATTTTTTTTTCAGATATTATTTGAAAATGACTGGGCAGACTGGATGTTACAAAACAAGTATATTTACCTTTTTTCCCAGTTCACATGTCTCAAGAGTGATTGGCTTCTAATTTCTCCTCTCCTAAATCAAATATAAAGGTCATGAGAACGAAGGAAATTATCACCAGTTTAAGAAGCTCTAGATTGTCGAGCTAATTCTCTCTATCAGAACCATAGGAAATATTAAGAGAACAGAGTGGTGAATATAGATATTAATTTTAGGGTGTTAATTAAGACAATACAGGGAGATGGATGTGCAAATTAATTGTAACAATTCTTTCCTTTAGATTCTGGTTTGTTTGGATCACCATCACCAACAAAAGAGGTGAGGGTTCAGTTTATTTGATTGGAAAAGGTGAAAATTAGCAGTTTGATGCTGATTTGTTTTGAGGTTTCTGTTATATATATGTTTCATGGCCAAATAGCATTTTGCATTTGTGTATCAAGAGTAGACAAGGGTAAATAGGGATTGCATATATTTGCTTGAAACCATGAAAAACTACTTGTAGAACCAATTACAATTTGTCACTCAAATTTCTGAAATTGGAGCTACTACCAGGAAACATACTGTATACATCAGCTGCTCCTGCGATTTGTGTTTGTTCTTATTGGCATCTGAAACCTTCTTGCCCTTTTGGATTAATTTGAGTTTGGGAATGGGATGTAATCTGTGGTTTAATCCTTCACTGCTTCAACAAAAGAAAACAAAAAAGCTAGGGTGATAACAAATCCCACTTTAGATTTTGACAACTTTATTACAGCATGTTTTGAAATAGGTTGTTGTTCATCATGGTAGTTGGATGATATTATAAGTTTGTTCTGTTGTCTTATGACAAGGTCACTTGATGTAGAACATAAAATTTTGACTGCTTACCGCATATTCTTAGTTTTCTTGTGTTGTAGGTATTTCCATCCATTGTATATAATATGACTTTCTTCTCTTTCTATTTCTTCTCACTAAGGACATTACCACCAGTCTAACTAAAAGCCATCAAAAGCACGAGGAAACTGAAACAAAACCCAAACCCAAGAGTGGAGGGGGTGGGGGTGGTTTGTTTGATGGTGATGATGATGATGATCTGTTCAGTGGTACAACTTTTAAACCATCTGCTGCGTCTCCGGTAGTTCAAGGTAGATATCTTTCTTGAATCTCTATATTAGCGTGCAAATTCTCAACAACACCTCAGTTGTATTGTCTCAGTGATTGAAAATATTGTGGACAAGTTGTTGTCATTGTCCATACCCACTTTTCCATTCCTTCCCCAATTTTTTTGTACTTGAATCAGTGATTTTGGACAAGAAGTTAATTTTTTCAAACACTTCTTTTGTCATGTTGGATTTTTTTTTCAAACTATCAGAAAGAGTTAGGGGATCAAATTTGGTTCATATCACAGATACAAAAAGGAGTAGTTTCATCTTTTGTTGTTGTTGTTGTTGTTGTTGTTGTTGTTGTGATCATTGTTACAAACACTATCATTCTCCTTTGAAACAGAAAGTGCAAAGACCAAACCAGCAGCAAATAAAGTTGATCTGTTTGGTGCTGACAATGAGGATGAAGATGATGAAGGTGATTTGTTCAGTGGAAAGCCTGCAGCAAAGGAACCTGCTCAGGCTCAGGCCCCCCCAAAGAAAAAGGTGTGTTCAAAATAGCAAATCTCTCTTCTTATTTCAGCATGTCTCAGTTTTCAAATTACCAGGATCTTCATCGTCCTGATAAACTGGGTGAGAATAATCATAACATGGTTTACTCTGCAAAGAAGCTAAATAAAAAAGTGCATCAGGTTAGAGCAATGTGTTCCTGTTTCTTGCATTGTTTCCTCTAGCTACCAGCTGGTGCAGTGTCCATGTTTGGCAGTTCACCACCTCCTTTACTGATGGGCAAGAATACTGATGATGACGAAGAGGTGAGTTTGTCTAATATTTGAGAATTCTAGCATAGATTGCATTTCAGTAGAAAATAAAAAGTAGAACCTCACTAACTTGATCGGTGTAACTTGAGTTTCCCTTTGATATTATTATGATAATGACCTTTCCCTTGCTTATAGGGAGTTATGAATACCTCACATCGTGAAACACATTATATAACAAATATCTTATTTGAAAGCTAAAATATATTATGAAAGATGAATGCAATGCCCAATGGTGATTTGAAAACATCAGCTTGCTTTAAAAATTTCCCTCCGATTTGATAATTGAGAATGAAATTTTAAAATGACCTTCTTATCTAAGATTATATAGTCAGTCCTGACTGATTGTATTGTTGAGAGCTTTTGAATTAGATTTTGATTTTTTTTAACTAGTTCTTTTGCTATTACTACTCCACAGAAAGATGATACTGGGTTGTTCAAGGCATCCGCCGTTGCACCTAAAAAGACCGAAGTAAAAACTTCCCCTGCTTCTCAGCTAACCAAGTCAAAATCCGGGGGAGGACTATTTAGTGATGAAGACGAGGAAGAAGGGGGAGGGTTGTTTGGGGCCTCAGCTACAAAACCACAGCCCAAGGAAGAACCAAAGTCCAGACCAAAAACAAAGACAACGATTAGTCTGTTTGATGATGATGAACAGGATGAAGAGGAGGATTTCTTTGCTGCACCAGCAGTTTCAAAACCAGCCAAGAATGAGCCAACCAAGGACAAACCCAAGGAGGAAGTTAAGGTCACTAATCTAATTTCATTCAGGTCATTCAGCAATTTTTTTGTAACAGGTTGCTGTTAAAGATGCCTTCATAGCCCAATGAAGAAGTCAAAGTCACAAATCTGATTTCAGTTAGTGATTTTTTTGTAACTGGTTGCTGTTGCAGGTGCCTTTAGTTAGAAAAATTGCGAAGAATAAGACGCGATGAAATATACGCTTTAAATTTACATGGTTCTAAAAAGCTGCCGGACTACTGTTAGTTTGATGAAGAGAGCTTTTCCTGGAAGCTCAACCATAACTGTTCACACAGAACTAGATTTTGGTGAGTCGGTGGTTGGTGCAAAGGAAAATAATACTATTTCAGGTTATGTTTTAAACGTGATCGTGTCACTGAGTGATCAATTACTAAATTGTCTCTGACTGGAACCCTTCATGAACACTTTGTTTTACTGCAGGAAACTAAGGCACCCAGCGCTAAGATTTCAGGGCTTTTTGATGATGATGACGAGGATCTGTTCAATTCGCCATCACCTAAACCTCCCCCCTCTCCCAATGTCACGCGCAAGGAGGACAAAAAAGTATGTGGTAAAACTGAGTATTTTATAGGGAAAAAATTGGTTATGAATATTTCGATTTGCTCTTAGAAATTGTTTTGTATTTTTATTGACGTGATTGGCTGATTGACAGACTTTCTTTCTGAATGATTGATTAACGGACCGTCTTGACTCAAATTATTGACTGAATGGCGACTGACTGATTGATTTATTGAATGATCGAATGACCAACTGACCAAGTGATTGATTGACTCACTGATTGATAGATTGATCGACTGACTCATTGATTGATTGACTGATTGATTGACTGACTCTCACTGATTGATTGATTGATTGATTGATTGACTGACTGACACTGATTGATTGACCAACTGACTGATTGAGGCTTCGTGGCTTTTCTTCTTTCATTGTTTTACTTTCCTAATTTTTTTATAGGAAGAAACCAAGCCTAATAGGAGTTCTTCAAAAATGCAATCTTTGTTTGATGCTGATGACGATGATGAAGGGATGTTTGGAGGCACATCGGAGGATATTTTTATAGCGTCGACGGTAAAAACAAAACAATAAATACCAAATAATTAGTAAACAGGTTTTAAAATGATGGTAAATTTAACTACCTCTATGGATGAATTTCTTTCGGAAATATTAGATGTCTTTGTCATTGTGCGCGCTTAGTGAAGAATGACTGCTTATCTTTCAAATGTTTTCTCCAGTCTCCTCAGAAGTCATTTGAGTCCGTGTCACCTTTATCAGCGGCCATATCAGAAACGGTTCCGCCTCTTGACGGCACAGATGAAGTTTCAATCAGCAAAGCGAAACCTAAACCATCCGCAACAACAGCAGCGGCACCGAAAGCCAGTCTGTTCAGTGATGAAGATGATGACCTGTTTGGAGGGAATTCAGTGGAGGAACCGAAAGTCGAGGAGAAGAAAGAGATTATATCAGAGAGCCCGAAACCTAGGAAACCAGTTGGCGCAGTTTCCATGTTTGGTGGTGTTGATCTGTTTGCGGGTAAGAGGCCTTCGTTTCTGGGGGAAAAGAACAATGCAGAGAGCTCAGAGCCAGTCAAAAAAGAAGAAGGTTTGTTTCCTAAGTAGCCTTTGTTTGTGTTTGTCACGCCACACGTTGTTTTGACTCGTCACGCTCTCTCCGCTAGAGAGAGTTATTTGAAAGACAAAACAGCAGTTGTTAAGGTGATTGCTTTAGTTTCGACTCTTTGAGTTTTGATGATTCTGAAGTCAAAATGAGATGCCAGCAATATATGTGAACTTTTTATTGTTTTTACGATCAGACAAGCCAGCCACCACTGAGGAAGAGGCAGACTTATTCGGTAGTGAACAAGCTGAAGATGAACTGTTTTCTTCCAAACCGAAGACAACAAAACCAATCGCACCCCCTTCCAAAGCCAAGCCAAGTTCAGACTTGTTCGGTGCATCTCCCGAAGATGATCTGTTCTCTGCTCCTAGCAAACCACCCTCAGGTAAGACTAGGAGATTAATCCCGTCTCGGAGCGGTTTCGCTGTTGGATATACTCCATCGTAAAATTTTAAGGTGTTAGATGTTTGTTACGAGCGTGGAAAAATTACAATTCTGAGTCCACCGTGAGGCTTCCGGTCACAGTTCTGAAATCGTGTTTGAATGGTTTAAAAATTCAGCTGAGGAACGTATAACTCGATGTTGGGTTCATTAGGCTCACATACGACACGCGTCTTGATCAACAATGTCGTCTGAAAAAACCCTTTGGCTTCCATGTTTTTTTGTTTTTTTTTTTAACATGGTTTCTCTCTAAAGAAATGTTTTCGTCTTGTCACGAGGGTGGGACAAAGAAACATTTCGAACCTCAGGCCTTCGGATTCCGCTCTCCAATCTTCTGCCACTGAGCTATAGATACTCTACGATGATCCAAGATATTACTAAGTTGATATGTGACATGCGTTCCGCACTCTGCTCGGTTCAGCAATGTCGAAAGCTTTGGGTGAGTAAAACAGAATACGAGAGATGGTGCATCCTAAGCTCGGTAATGAAATGAAGAAAGATGTTGAAGATGAGAGTTCACGCAGCAGTTCATTTGTCGTCTAATTCCAGAACCGAAGCCAGTAAAGCCCCCGGTTATCTCGAAACCAGACGTGGAGGATGGACCAACCCAACCCGTTGAGCCCGTGGAACCTGTCAAACCTGTAGAACCAGTAAGACCCAAGAAACCTGCTGGAGCGGTGTCCATGTTTGGTGGTGTGGACCTATTTGGCGGCAGCAAATCACCGCCATTTTCAGTGGCGGCCGCCAAATCACGTGTACCTGTAAAACCAAAAGGTAGCACGGTCTTTCTGTTTTTGCCGTTACCTAACCGTGAGACCACCAACACGTCATATATAGGGTCGTGAGAATTGTTTTTGCCTCAACCCTGAAAGCTCCAAGAGTGACCAGCATCTGATTTCCACTCTTCCCCCACCCCCCCCTCTCCACCCCTCCCAATCCAAAGAAAAAAGAGAAACAGTTTTGGGTATGGTTTCCCCTACAATGTCTTTGCTAATTTTTTTGCAGATCCCTTAGGAGGGGATGACGAAGAAGACTTGTTTTCTTCAAAATCTAAAGTTAAAAAAGAAGCTGAGCCTGAGGTGAAGTTGAGTCTCAGTAGTTAATAAGGTTCTCTAAGTAGCCAAGGTAACATTCATTATTAAGTATATATATATATATATATATATATATATATATATATATATATATATATATATGAGAGGAAAAACATATGTATATGTACATATATATGTATGTATATACAGTTCAAAATAACTAAAATGAAACACGCATGATTCTCTGTTACTCTGAGTTTCGTGCTTACGCACTCGTCAGACAGATTAAAACAGATTAAATTTGTCTGACGAGTGCGTAAGCACGAAACTCAGAGTAACAGAGAATCATGCGTGTTTCATTTTAGTTATTTTGAACTGTATTCCGCTCTACACTCACGTGTATTGAGCACTTTCCTACAGCATTTGGTACAATTTCCCACAATTATATGTATATATATCGGAATGTAAACAGATTTATTGCTCGATGCAGTTCAAAACCGCTTATCCTTTATACTGGTATACACCACACTTAACTTTAAAACCAGTTTACCGACCAGAACTGAAAAAAAACGCCTTTCTCTGTTTATTTTAGCCGTCAGGTCCACTTCCGGTACCCAAGGCAGCCTTGTCACCATTCTCCTCAAGCGTCAGCCCTAAAACGTCGCCGGTGAAGCTTGGGTCGGGAATTGAGAAGCTGCAGGTATTTAATCTGCTTTGAAAGGAAGAGTGACATCATAGCTGAATCATCCTTTTTTTCTCGATCTTTGATAGTTTCTAATTTCTCCCTACAATATTACCCCTGAATTGCACATTAAGGTCATGAGAATAAAGGAAATGATCATCAGGGAAGGAACCTTTTGATTGGCAAGCAAATTCTCCTTGTCAGCAGTGTAGGAAATGTACAAATAACAGTGTGGAGAATTTGCATACTGATGTTAGGATGCAAAGGGTTAAAGGAATAAGACACCGAACATTATAAGAATGAAACACGACAAGTGAAACTTTTCAACTTCTAATTGAACCTTAAGAAGCTAAGCCATTGTTTGTCTTTCGTGAAAATAGAGGTATTCAAGATTGCTGTATGTAATCCATGTAATAACATACGTGAAAAAAATTTTGCGAGTCTGATGGGCTGAAAACGAATGCATTTTTTGCGTAACACGAATGCAAAGTCGTAACACGAGTGCAAAGGCAAAATTGTAATACGAGTACAAATTGCAAATAGTGCGCGCTGCCAAAATTCGTCTGTCTTGACTTTCTGTGATGCATTTTTCATGTAAATTATTTTCAAGGAACAAAATGATTTCTCGTGCAATTTGGTGTAAATAACCACTTGTAAATTTTTCGTAGACTACAATTTTCACTCGCTGTATGGGCTCAGTGTACGGTATTTATTTGAATGTGTGTTTTTTACTCTTGTCAGAAATCTCTCGCCTTTAATCCCGCCATGTTGAGACCAGGCGCGGCTCCGCCCAAGAAGGAGGCCCCGGCTACTGTAGCTTCATTTGACGAGCCCGCCAAAGTCACCACCTTGGAGAGCACTAACAAGGTTCGCTTGAATCAACTCATTTTATTGTTTTCTTGATATTTGAAACGAGTGAGGGGAAAAAAGTCCCAGTCCTCCTGCAACGTTCAATTTCTCGGTCGGTTGGTCGCTAACTAAGCTACAGAGAACTTGTTGGTATCATATGCATAAGGACCTTGCATATTGTCATATGCAAGGTCCTTAAGTAACATGCACTTTGCATATAATTGCAAGGATCAGCAAGGTGAAAAGCATCCTTTGTGAAGGTACGTTTTGAGCGTTGGAGTCTATTAAAGACAAGTGAAAAAATCACAACCTTTGCCATGTCTGATTTTTATCTCCTTTATTTTATTTCTTTGGTTTCCATTTCATCAACTTATTTTTTTTGCATTATGTTTCAGGCTCGCGCCAAAGTGCAAGTCAAGCGCCGTCCTCCAACACGCCAAGCCCGTCGAGCTGCGGCTGCAACGAGTAGCGCTTCGGACGCATCACTTTTTGGCACATCGACGAATGAAGACGAGTCCATTAGCGCTCGAGTATCCTGGGGAGGATTTCCCTCTCCGGAGGAGGGACTGGGAAAGAGTGAAGTGGATTCTGGGCAGCGACCGTCGAGGACTGAGACCAAGGATTCTGATATGAGCGACGAATTTTTCGGTTTCACTAGTTCTGGGTCCACGCGGGTCAAAAAAGATGTCTCCGAGGACCCTTTAGCGGGGGGACTTTTTTCAGATTCTGTTTCTTCGAAGCCGAAAGTTTCGACAGCTAATGAACTGTTTAAGGACGACTCCGATGATTTATTTTCAATTTCAATCGAGAAAACAAACAAGACAGATGTAGACGATCCTTTTTCTGTTGGTAAAACAAAAGAGGAAAATAAACCTAAGACTGCAGACCCATTAATTACAAGTGATTCTTCTCAAAATTTACCTAGTGCTACATCTCCCGAAGATGATTTATTTTCTTCTGGGACAAATACAAAGGAGAGAAAATCTGAAGCAATCTTAAAGGAAACGCTCAGCAAAGATAAAGAGGACTCCAAGATTTCCTCGCCTCTAGATAATGATGATTTACTTTCAGCTGTCCCTAAAGCCGGTGAAAACGTAACCAAAACAATAGCTGCAAAAGATACACTCTCCGCCAAACTTCCAGCAAACATTTCAGCAAAGGCGCAATCGCCAGTCTCAGATGGCGACTTGTTCGCGTCAAGTACAGGAAAAGAAGAGGGCAAATCCGCCAAGGGGGAGAAAGAAAAAACGACCGCGGATAGAAAATTTCCTTCCCCTCTCGGTGACGACGATGATGATTTGTTCGCCGTGAGTGCACCGGCCAAGAAAGAAACAAAAACTATTTCTGACAGTGCTGCGAAGAAAACGGCAAGTCCACTGACCAGCAAGAAGGCGGTTACGAAAGGAAGCTCAATTCTTGATGTAAGTAGTCTTTGGCTTCCTTTGAGAAGCGTTTAGTGACACAATTAAGTTTTTCTTACCTGCTTCTGCAAGGAAAAATAAGAAAAACATTTTCCTCCACACAAGTACGATAGCAATAGCTTATGCCCGGCGCGCGGTCAGCTCATACGAACGAAAAGGCAGGCAAGCGAAAATCCACGGGGACTTGGGAAGGAGTAACGCACTAACTAGAGCCTATTCCCCCCCTTCCATTTTTTTCTTGCTTGTCCCGATTTTTCGCTCGTCCTCGGAACCTGGAGTACCTCAGTGCATCAGGCTACGTACATGCGGGATTATTTTAGTCGTTTTTGTTCGTTATTTGAAAGACAAGTATATAATAGGCGCAAAACGTGTCGTCGCAAATCTGCGAAGATGCAGATGCAAGTTTGAATTTTTCTCAGTGGATGATATAGCCTGAAAGAATGATGGCTTGGAATCTCTTCGTTTGTCATTAAGAATTGAACACGGGGGTATGGTAAGAAAAGAGCGGATTACAAGAACTATTTTTGGAATAGATCAGTGGCTTAGTTGTAAATGAGTTCGTTAGTTTTTTTTTTTTTTTTTCAATTTTGTTGTTTTTGTTTTGTAGGGTTTCTTTTCTGTCTTTTTTTCCTTCGGCAAATCGAGTTCCCGTCCCAACTGCTTGCCTCAACGAGCCTCTTCTTCTGCCATGCGATCACAGATTACCATTTAGCGCTGAGACATTTCTGTTTTCTTGACTGAGGCTTGAATCGGAGGGGAAAAGACACGCCTGCGCGTATACTAAGACTGTCTATGAGTCAACTTTGCTCTTGAAGGAACGCGCGTCTCTCCCGCGTGGACGTGTTTCTCTAGCGCGATTTCGCGTGAAATTAAGTTGTGAAATGTTTTCATTAGTTGATGCCGAATTTTTTTTTTTAGTTGACATAAAGATAACCATTACTTAGTGGGAGGTCTTTGGATTGAGAAAATGAAAACTGTCCCCCGTCGTTTGCGTGGTTCGCGAGTAGTTCCTGTTTCCATGGTACCGAAAAACAGCTTTAATTTGGAACGATTATTAGATATTCAAAGGCTGATTTCTTGCAAGAAGGAATCATTAGTTAACGCTGACAATATGTAAACTGTTTGACACTAAAAACAGCTATGCCAAAGAGAAAGGGAAAAACATTTACATGTCTACCAGCTTATACACCGACGAAAAATGTGAAACGTCATCAAATAGATTCTTTTTTGGTTTGTTTGTCTATATTGTAATTTCAATTGGATGTCTTTAATCTAAGTTTGCAGCTGACGATAATCGACCTTTTATTTCATGTCTATATTTATATACACAACCATATATTATTTATATTTTTCAAGGGCACATGACTTTCAGGTGACTTTTATTAAATAAGATATATTTATAAACATAGATATTGAAAATATAAAACGGCAAAAACAGATTGCAAATTTTCTAAATCTTTTTAAAATCTTCGTTTTATTTCGCTCAAGACTGTTTGTAATCTTGTGACAAAATTTCAAGGGTAACCTAGGAGACTTGTTTGTAAAAAATTGCTTTTAATAAAAGAGGAACAGGTGTTATCAACAAATGGCTGCCCACCCACTCGCTAAAAAAACCTTTAGTGCTTCGACGTATCGTTTAATTTGGAGAAGAGCTATTGCAGTGAAGACAGCGACGAAAAACTCTTGTGTGGGCGATCTTTCATTTTTCATTTGTATTTATATCTTCCGCCATCAAGTTGACATGCTTAAAAAAATATTTTCAAAACATTTAGCAAAAATTTTGTAATGAAATTTATATTTGCGCAGCTCGAGTTTTTCTTGATCTTGTTTAAAAGGCGTACATCATATGTGACATTCGCAGCGCACTCAAAACGTTTTCGTCCAGATATGCCCTTGTGTTTTCCTTTGTTTTTGATGACGTGTTATCTGAAGGTTTCCTTTTTGAGAAACTTGATGACTTGTAAGTCATGTTTGTAACGACGTTTCGTATTAGAAGTTGAAAGGTTTTTTTTTTTTAATATGAATTATTCTGCTATAGTATGAGTTTCCTCGCAGATTGCTTTTTAACTCGTTTGTTAACTGTTTTCAGGAAGATGACGATGAATTATTCTCCGTCAAAAAAACCGACGCCCGAAAGCCGAAGAAAGTCGTGAAACCGCTGGGAGACGACGACTTGTTTGGAGACTCGGGTGACATCTTTAGCGATATTCCGAGCAAACCCAAGGGACCTAAAAAGAAAAAGTCTGCAACCACTGCACCCAAAGACGACATATTCGCTGAGGGTGCGGCTACTGGAGGTTTGTAATAGTTTTTGTTACGGAAAAGTATCTATCTATTATTGATTTATGAAGTTTTTCCCCGAGTGCGAGCTAACGAAGAAATACGAGGAAGAGTGATACCGCCAATTTTGTGGTGAGATAGATTGCTCTACCGAGTAACATGAGAGCGAAGTCGCCTTCCATGTTCCTGAAAAAATCGTCAATAGGAAGGAGACTACCGCTTAAGACTGGGAAATTCGGCGGGGTTGGCTGGGGTACGAATCCTTACAGAGGTCTTAGCATTGTTTTATCCAACGCCCGCCAGACATGCGTAACACCTCGTTTTTAGCTCTACTCTTGATTTGAGATCTTTTTATTCTGATTTTTCACGCAGCATGTTTGTTAACGTTGTGACAACTGTCTGTTCATTTACCCAGTTTGTCGGCCAATCAGGCATCTTAAAATTGCCTGTTGATAATTTTAAAAGGTTCTTCTCAACCAATCACGGTAGTCATCGTCCCATATTCAGGCTTTCAGCATCGTATATTCGTTATCCGAACATTTCTAATAACCACGGATCTACTGTTGACTTTCTTGTCTTATCAACTGTTTTGGTTCCTGATTGCTGCGGTTGCTGTACACTGCTGACTCAAATCTGGCAGGCTCGTTTTCCGTCGCTCTTGGGTCCAGTCTTTGTCCTGCTTTCCCACACCCTCCCCATCCGTGGGCTTATTTCTCGTGCGGAGACTAGTTAATGTTCGAGCCACTTAAGTCAATGCAAGGTCTGTTTGTAATTATCAAAGCGGGAGTTGAAAACGTCGTCTGAAGAGCAGATTGAAACATTTCAACGCCACAGTAGAAACAGTGGCTATGATGTGAATATTGATTACTCTTGTTGGGAAAATGTTGCTTATGTCATTTCCGAAATATATCGAATAGCTTTATATCGAGATCCTTGAATACCCCGAAAAATTCTGAATTTTTATATTAAATTTTGAGCCCTTGAAAGTCCTACTAGATTTTTTCCTCTCAATTTTCCAAGGTGTACATTTAAAGGTTGTGGTATTTATGTAATCATTTATTGGTCAATTCGTTACAACAGGAGATGAGCAAGCGCCAAAGAAAACGGCGACAAAAGCCAAGAAGAAAACAGATAAAAAGCCTAAAACCTCAATTTTCGATGACGATGTACCAAGTATATTTGACGATCCACTGAATGCTACTTCGAAGTAACAAGTATTGCGACAAAAATTTTGTTCTCAAAACTGACGAGAAGCCAATCCTTTTACACAAATAAATTAGTTACGTATTTTATATAATATAAGAATAAGGTACTGGTTGCTGTCATTACTATAATGTTTTGTGGTATTTTTTGCTGATTCTCCAAGAGAAGTACAGTGACGGTACCACAAGATCAAAGTGATTCGAGGAATTTTAATGTGCTTGAGATTTCTATTTTGTTTAGAAGAACGTGAAAGAATGAAGTGATTTTCTTGTTGCCTAAATTTGAGAGATTAACCATATCCCTTGACAGAGCCGAGCAGAAACTCTGTCAAGTACTCTCTGTCAAAACATTACGCTAATCCATTTTACAAGCTCTTGAAAGACAAACCAAGAGAAACAAAACCATGTTAACATCTCGTTCCAAGATGCAGGCTCACGGTTCGTGAATGTAATAAAAGTAGGCTACATTTCCGTGTGCGTCATTCCCAATCAATTTTGAGATTCTCGCTTTCTAGTACACCGTAGGAAAAATGGCCTCATGAAAGAACCACTTACAAGATTTCCATTTTTTCAGCCTCATACAAGGATTTAATTAACTTTAAGGTTTAACCTGAGGTGAAAGGGTAATTAGAAGACATCATTAGGTACTCTTCAACAACACATACGGTAGAGCCACTTTTGTTTTTCTTTGAATCAAGTCCAACTGATCCTTCCACACGAATTAGAAAAATCGTTTTAGCAGATTAATTTTAGTGCCGTTTAAATTTGGATGTTTGTATAGCTAAAGGGGTCAACTTAAATCTTTAAACCCAAGATTTGGCGGATGAGTATTTCTCAAAGTGTCGAAAATTTTAAAAGCGAAAGTATTGAAGCTCGTCTCCCTAGCAATGGTTATTGTGAACCAGTGTAGTAAATAAATCTATGTTTGCTCATGGATGGGGAAAATTCATCGTTTGCGTGACTTCTCAGATGAAGTCAACCATTGAAGATCTCGTGAGGAAAAAAATTTCTCACTTGGTGTACAATCGATTTATCCTCTTAGCGCGTGATTAGAGAATCCTCCTGCCTGAACAAATACTCACGCATGCAGAGCAGAAGGCGTATGGCACGATTGCAAACAGCACTGCCCTTGTCAGCAATTAATTTTGTCATTGAATCAAATTCCACGCGGGATCTTCCTGAGTGTAACATGTCTGGATGCGCTGGTATTCACATGTCTTTCAGATGTTCTAACCGATTGTTTTTATTTTAACCGGATGGTTAGAATGCTGTGTTTAATTATCAAAACAGGAGTTGAAAACCTCGTCTGAGAGCTGGCGGGGAGAGCAGGATATATATATATATACATATATACATATATACACCATTACTCACGTTGAAAAAATGTTGCTCTGATTTATTTGATAAAAATGTGGAGTGGAATTTTTCGAAACCTCTCTTTATATCGAAATTCATGACTTGTTCCGGAAGTATTGAAATCAAAGATCGCAATTTATACCCTATAATAGCCACCTTTTTGCCTTTTGCGTATTTGACATATTTCCTAACTTTTGTAAAACGAAATAAAGTCGGAGTAATCCATGAAGAGATGATGCTCTCCCAATGATCCTTATTAGTGGAGGGAACTGTTGAAGAGCAGGTTGTGTCGGAACTCTTCGAATGCCTCCGGAAAAACCTTCGGCACCTTTTCGGAAAAAGTCGGGTTCTCTATACAGAAAGCTTATGCAATTTAGTCAAACTAGGCTTGCCTATATTGGCTGGCAAGATAGGTTCTCTATTACAATATTAGATGATGGAGGTGTCTGTTGAATGCGATTGTTGTTGTTTATACCATGTCTGCAGGGCAAAAGTATTAGTGGGCTGGAAGCTAGACAAAGAGTGTTTGAAGATGATGTTTACTAATATCGGGACGTAGAAGAAAAAAAGCGAGTGAATGTGATTGAAATTGAAACAGAGAGAATTTGAGAAGAGTTCCTGTTTTGCATTTTTGTCTTCACCGCTGCATGTATGTAGGTTGAATTACCCATAGTGAATGCACTCTATTTTGTTTTCCCACACACCTGCTGGGAATCGATGAGAAATAAAATGGTGCCTTTTGACCTCTACAAAAGGTGAACAAATACCATAAGCATGGATGTTTCAATTTTCAATTCCAATCATATCAGGATTTCCTTTGAAAGCGACATTTCATTGTCGCATACTTGACATATGATGTAATTCCGCTTTATCCAAAACAAACAGAAGATCTCGATGATTTGTTTCTTTAGGAAGAAAATTAAAAGGTGTACTTCCATTCCTGTATGTACGCTGGACAAACATTGCTTGTTTTGACTCATACTGACTCTAGTAAGCCCTTTTACTGAGAACGAAGGTACTGTTTTCTACTGAGAGTGGTTTTGTTTTGTTTTTGTACTGAGAGTGATATTGTTTTGGCAGCGATTGCGTCCGCTTGTTGATTTCATTGACCAAACAATTCCTATTTTATCTCTTATGCATGCAAGAAAAGAAGGCATGACCTCTTTATGCTATAACACAAGCTTCTTCCAAAGGTGAATTCTTAATCTAAGATAAAAAAAAAACTACAGGGGTTTTCTTTTTTTCCCGAGAAGCCGGCCCTATGCGAATGTGGTTGCATGGTTGAAAGGTTTTGTACATACATAGACTTACGTAGTTAGCGCAGGTATCTTCCTGTTTGTTTGCAAGAGTAGTGAGATGTTACCTAAACTCTCAACAAATCATTGACTCGAGGAGCGCAATTCAAGTCACGTATTTTTACTTATCTTGCCAATTTATCCCTTCGAGGGGGTATGAAGCTGACCTAAGCTGATTTTGCCTTGCATACCACTTCCAGGGAGGGAAAAAAACGGAGAACGCGGCCGATAAATGGAAAATAAATTATTCTTCAGACAATGTTTCCGTGCAGGGAATCTGGATTACATAAGTCGCGAGGACTCAGTTCTATGTGAACATATACAAAAATCCTTTTTTCCTATATTTCCTCAGTCAAATTGTTGTAAAACATTATTGTATTTAAATCATCAGAAAGTGGCAATTGATTCCGCGCTTTAAATCATCAGGTATTTGCTTAGGGTAATTTGCCAATTGTGCGTAGTGAGTAGATGTCGACACCTGAATAACTCGTTATATTTTCAGTAAGAGTAACGACAGTTTAAAACTGAAGCAGTAAGTAAACAACATCTGCAACGTTCTTAAGATCGATACGATTACTTGCATTTTCAAGTCTTCACATCCGAGGATAGCGTTCTTTCACCTTTTAGTCCTAAGATCTCGAGAGCAATTCTCTTAACAGTTTATCATACATTTCTTTTACTATTAGTTGTGAGCATTTGGTGTTTTGTGATCAGTCAGTGTGCCCCGGCAGATGTCTGGATGCTTCATAATGGATTGATGTCCTGTGGAGAAAGAACAAGAAAAAGGCAAAAAATTACTTACCTTGGCAATTAAAATACATATCTAACAATCTCAACCTGCAAAATAGAGAAGCTAATCGAGGCGGAAGGGAAATAAACACCAGGAAATAGATTCTTCAAACTTGACAAGTTTGCCCGAACAAGGGGAATGACTAGGAAAGCACGCATATACACGAACTATTAAAAAAAAAACTACGATTAATCATGGAAAAGCCAATTAGGTTTCATATATGACAACTGGAATGAATTACTTTTTCGTCATTCATGGGAGCGAAAGGGTTTATCCTGATGAAACAGTTTCTCTTGACAATCTCTATCTCAAACGGCGGTATATCTTGCTAGGCTATCGCATGACTACAAAATTTCTCAAATACCTTTCCAATTCAGGTAATAAAAGCTACTCAGGCCACCACAAGCTATGCGCGTTGCTTCTTCGTGCAGAGTAAATTTACTTGAGTGGGACCAGAAATTTTATACCAACTAGCTACACGTTTATCCCATTGTTCACTAGAAGGTTATGATGTGCAAGTTGAGGCGGGATTCTACTGCGATTCACACCTTCAAAAAAATTAATTTTGCCTCGAGTGCGTGGTAGGATCATTATGTTATATTCCTGGGCAGGATCGTAGTTGTCACAGCGGTATTAGTAGTAGTAGTAGACTTAATTTAACGGGGGTAACATTTGAAAGCAGTTGCACTAATATGCCCATGGCTCTCAGAATAAATGGAAGTGGTTTTTCCATCCAGGAGTATGAAGTAAAACTGAAAAACTGTATAGAGAACTTGTGGAAAGGCTAGGGGGAAACCTCCAATGGAATAGCACCCTATCCCGGCAGGAGTATTGACAGTATTCCTTGTCACGCCAGAAGAGCCTGGTTCGGGTGCTGATTTTAATTACCTAGAGGCGTCTCAGGCCGGGGTTTTGCATGTCAGAAAAATTCAAGTGTTTCCTTTTGAAGACGGTTAAGTAAGATGTACGGCAATGATTATGCAAAAACATGACAATTTTAATGATCCATTGTTTATTTATCTACCTCTCTATACATTCATTTTTTTTTTTTTTTTTTTCTATTTGTGATTTATTGCTAACAATGCAAAATATACTTTGTTAATGCAAAAGAAAAAAAAATTCCACCCTGCGAACGTAAACAACAAACTAGGCAGTGAGAAAAACGCGAAATCAAAGCAAAAGCGATTTGTCAGGTGACAATTTTAACAGCGTACACGCACTAGCCACGTCGAATCTTTTTCCTAGACTATAGTTAGCATGTGTACTTCAGGCTCTGAAGAGTTTCATGTTCCCACCACAGCGCCGCCTTTCAGGTCAAGAACATAAGAACTCATAATTTTTGTCGCCAATTACTAACAAAAAAAGAGGAGGCGTTTGCTTTCAATCCCGTCCGTACCTTGTATTAACGTTGACCTTGTTCTTGCCGCTGATAAAAAATTTTCTGATCTTGTGCATTATGGCATATAAATTCATGAAACATCTCCTTACTTTTTGAAAGAGCCTGTTCGTCTGATTTAATTATAGCTGTCATATACTTGAAAAAAGCACTTCACGATATATAAATACACTGTAATTGAAAAGCAGATTGAAGTTTATTTGCAGAGAAAGATAAGAAATACTTTGCTGATAATATTTCTGATAACCAAAACATGTTTCAAGGGTGGTTGAAAATCACTTTGTATGGCACACGTCGCTGAGTTTCGGCAGGCGCCGGTCGGAATTTTGAGACGACAGAGAAAAAAAATGTGTCTTCTTTGAAAACGGTGTTTTGATGTAAACGCAAGTGATCCCCTTAGTTTTTTGGTAGTTACAACTCGGTGATCGTCGAAATTATTTGTTATGAATTTTCCGCAACACCTGCCTTGAGGTAAAATTTTAAAGTACTTCTATGTTAATCAACCAGCCCATGGCTAAAATCCATTAGCAGCCAGACATGGTACTGTCTGAAAATTGGAATGTCATTATTTCTTTTTATGTTCAGCGTGGGGTGTTGTCGCGAAATTTGACCATAAATTTCGGTTTTTAACCGTTTATAAACCGATAAGTCGACAACTACAAGTGAAACACAGCCTGGCAAAATTTGTCCATTGATTTTTTTTTCCTTCGCAAAATTCCCTTAATTCGCTTTGTGTTTGGTATCGTGGATATTTGACAGCTTTGTCCGTTTGGTCTGAATGGCTCTCCCAGACAATAACGAAAAAAACATTACGAAATCTATTGCTTTCCGAGATTCATTGTGAAAATCTGTGAAAGATCCAGCTGTGTTCATCAATAGCTCAAAATAATTTTGTTTTATACATTTTTTCTTGGTTTCCTTTGCATTTCTTTTGCTCTTTTTTGTTTCTTTACTTTCAAAGTTTATTTTTGGTTTCCCGCTTAATAGAGCCTAAATGGTACTAAATTATTTTCAAATCTTCCTTCTTCGATTTCTTCAGACCGAAGATTTTTAAAATCTTTTGGACACCCAGTGGAAGCATTTGATGATTTATGAGTCCCAGCTTCTTCTCATAGATTATCTTCGTCATTTTTTCAAGCTTTTGTCAGAGATGAAAATAATCCTTGGTTCTTAGCCCAAAATTGTCAACTTTGGGTTTTCTAGAAAAGTGGCATTAAGCCAGATGTTGGAATGGGTTGACGCGCGTTCCTCGCTAATAGATCGAAGAAGATTTCATTTCTTGCGGGTTACCCGTCATCATAAATGAATATGACTGCAATCTAAATGTTACTTTTGTCCTCAATAAACAAAGGACTATTTTCAGAAGGGCTACCTGTGAACACGTGCAAATCACAAGTCACCAGAGCGCGTCACACTAAATCGTGTCCAAATACACATTACCCAATCCGTTATATTTTCCATTTTATTTTGTTTCTCGCGTTTTCAGATTATCATGTCATCAACGATCGAATTCCAAACGGGGTGCCCTCTAATTGATCCTGTGCTTGCAGGAGATTCCGGTGTTTTTCAGAATATTTTTCTCAACTGCCACTTTTTAGAATAATGTAGCAAATCTTGCGAAGTTACCTTATTTACGCGCACCTTTCGTGACTTACTAACTATTCTTGTAACTTAAAACGTACATAAATCCTGAGTTGAATGTGATTGTTTGAATTGGCCTTACCCCAAAAAGGAAAAATTGACATAAATATTTTGTTAAAGCTCACGCGATAGCATGTAAGCGGGCGATCGTTCTCATGTTAAGAGAATGCTTGATCTTCCAGTAAAATTTTCAAAGCTCCCTCTTTGTTGTCGTACCATAATGCTGAGCGGTATTATTCGCGCCATTTTCCTCGATATATTTTCGCGGGAAAGCCATTCATTGCCTCTCATCACGTGTTTCTAGTTGTCATTTAATCCAATCAGAACACGGGCCTGTGGACTGTTTGCCATTCAACTCTAATTCATTGTTCATGGGTGAACCAATCAGGTGTCCTGTCGCTACTCTGTTGTTGTTGTCAAAATGCAAAATAGCTCGTATTTTTGAGACCTCGTGGAAAGGCTGGAAAAAATTTTTTTTGTAGCGTCCCACCCACCACGTCAGAGTTTGTGCGGATTTCGCTGTATTTGAAGGATTCATTCACGAACGTCGTAGATGCGAGAACATGCCAGAATCTAGCATTGATAACAGGGATGTTTTGGAGTGCGTTGAAGCCGGTGGCCGTCGTAAGAAAGCAAGATTTCCTAATCAGTGGAGTTCGAGCACAACACCTCACCAGCGAACATTGGAACTCGAAGGAGTCATCGAGGTTTTGCGCGAATACGATTCAGTCGAAGGCAATGATATAAACTGCTCTATTTGTGGTAACTACAATTTTTTTCTCACGTTTTATTATTACTCTGGTTATTTCAGGCCGTAGACTGAGCAAATCGTACATTCGCTGCCGCTAAATAAAATCTCCATTCAAATACGCGCTCGTGTTTACAAGAGTAGCGAAACGAATGATTCTAAATTTTTTACGGTTTTTGGTCTCAATAACCTTCCTTTTTACGCAAACCTTGAATTATTTGCCTATTCTAAGATATCTGCAGTAATTTTGTGCCTTTTCATTAAAATTTGAAATTTTAAGAATTTTTTTTCAATTTTTACTACGCTTCACCCTAATTATTTAGCTGAGCAAACAAATAAGCTAGAGTTATGAGGGGGTTTATGTTGAGACCTGCATTTTATAAAAAGTTTCAAAGAGACTGTCAATTTGTTTCTGTCCTGTTGTTTAATAAGATGCTTAAGTTTGATTTGGAGGTTTTTTTGGTGTAATTGTGTGTTTAGAGCTATGAAAATTTGGTTGAAAGTTTGTAGCAATTTCACGCTCCGTGTCATGTGAGATGCCTCGTGTTTCGCTTTCGTCATCCCGGAACTTTTTTCACTGGAACAAAATTTTCCGTTTTCGAGCAACGAAACCGGTTAAAAATCGTACATCGATTAAAGCTAGAGCCTCAAATGATTTCTATGTAAAGTTTTCGTAGACTATTTATTATTTGTCTTTATTTTTCTTGATTTTATTTTATTGTCAAACTTAGCGACATGTAAAATATCGACAGCATTTGTTTTAGGTAGGAGGGAGGACTTGTCTTAGCCGGCTGGCCGGTGCCTTTGTGTTTATCTAAATATTTTTTTTCATTTTGCAGGAAAACTGTATAAAAGTAAGGTGTGTTTTACAAAGCATTTATGGGAACATAGCGTCTACTGGGATCTGTTCGATGCGCTAAAAAATCAAGAGCGTGTCCTGTCGATTCAGGCTGCAATTATTCTCTCGCAACCATATCTGGAATTTTTGCTCGTAACTTCGCCGACATCGACAGAAAAGAAGAAAGAAGACCCTAAACCGAATAGTATTTTCCGGAAAAATGCGACAAGAAAAAGGCAACGAGAGTCATCAACATGTTCCGTAGACTTCTAATTTCTTAAATATTTTTTCATATTATGTATATTATATGGTGTGGCAAACGGTTCCACACTTGTTTATATCACTTGTAAAAGTGCCTTTGAATTTATAAATATCTATAAATATATGAGAAGAGAAGTTAAAAAAGGTGTAAATGATCAGTATTTTGTTGTGGGAAAAAGATTTAATTCTTGTATCATACACCCACATTGTGAATGATGTTTGTATTTCATTTATTTCCAAAGTGACAAAGCTCGGTATCTCGAGATTAAAAATGAATTTATTCTGAAGTTGTTAAATGCTAATAAAGTTCATTGGATCAAACTTGTGTAGGATAATAAATGTGTTTGTCCGGGCGATGTTTTGGCTGGGTGAACCATTTAACAAGGTTTTGAATTTCTTCGACAGACACCTCGAATTTTAATTTTTCGAGCAAAAGTGAGATCAGTTTTATGGAGATTGTGTACTTACTATGCATAGCTTCTCGGTTGATAAACTTTTTGTAGCTTTTTATGCGCGCAAGAGCCTCTTTCGCAAAGTACACTTATGACTGGGGTTTTGTGTTGTGTTATGTTTACAATAATATCCCGTGGGAATACGTATTAAGTAGTTGGAATTCCAAAAATTTTTCTCGAGCAACAACTTCTGTTAACTTTTTATTAGCTTCCCGCGGAGGTCATACAAATAAGTAATCGTTAGGATAAAGGAGCTGCTGGAAGGCATTTGAAGCGGTGTAAGTATCATCACGAACTGGTTTTCCGTCCGCTTCGGGAGTTAAGTTAATACGGTATTTGCAAGATCTTGTTATGCTTGATTAACCTCGCTAGCGGAAACTCGCGCCCGCACAAAACGTGTGAAATAAAATTGTTCTCAGCGTAAATAGTAACCCGTCGATTTGAAGTCTGCAAACCATTAGTTTCCACTTCGCCAGCAGCGCTTGGATGTTTTTGTGTTTGGTTTATAGTGTTACCTCCACTTCACTTTCCTCAACAGCCATTTCGAGACGCTCGCTTGTATTATGCAAATGTCGGGATAAAGGTTTCATACCAATTGCATTTTTGTTTTTTTAATTGTCTTGGAATAACTTTCTGCTTCGCTGAGTTGAACAAGCCTGATCGATGTGGTTCTGATATCGCGTTGATTGTGTGTGGAGGGAAAGATAACACAAGGACGTGTCTCGAATTTTTGGGGGTTTTTGTAATCGAGAGTTGAGCTGATAGGGAAACAAGTGATACTCGCGAAACGGTACGACTTTTTTTTTTCTCCGCCACCGGAAATGGCTGACTTGTCTGGTTTCTTTTGATGTGATTTACGACCTGCTGGGTTTTGTCTCTCATTGATCCATACGGAATCGAGTTTACTTGTTAATATTTCTTTTGATTGATAATGCGTGTCTTCTTTCAGAAGAGGCGACCATTTACAGATTGGGTTCTGTTATCACGGATTACACTAAAGAATACCTGCGTTACAAAAACATCAACTTGCGAAATTAGCCAATCAATTGAATATAATTGCATCAACTCCATAAGGTGCCACTGCACGAAGGTCTCTGGCAGTAATATTTTTATCTTCAAGTGCACTTCCGTCCTCCTGAGGTTTCGTCGTTACAATTTTGGTATGGCTTTTGTAAATATTATCGTTTCCTGATCATGTTTCCGGTATCCAAATTTATTTGGGTGGTTACTTTATTTGCTAACTCTTTTATTCTTCTGATAGCTCCGTGAGTTCTCTATAAAACAAGTCTAGTTTAAAGAGATTGTAAGTTCACGGGTCAATTGCAAAAATGCATAACAAAAGTTTATCCTTGGATCTGTTCTTGCCTATGCTTTTACGCACACAAGAGGTGCAGACGTGTTAAAGACAAACTGCAGCTAACATCGAAACACATCGCCCACCAACCTGTACTGGTCACATGGAAGTATAATATTTGACATAATTTACGGTATTGACGATAAAAAAGGTTCTGAGCTTGCACGCAATCGATTCTCGACGGTTATTCAGGACTACAGAATTGATTTGGCCCTCCGCGGGCATCTATATATTGCCTGTGAAAACAAACAAAACAAAAAATTCATCTATTTCCGACAAAAAAACAAGCAAGTTGGTAAATATCTCACCAGACCAAGCGTACATAATCGTGTGAAAGGTTGCAGACATCTGTTTTCAACACGCTGGCGGTGATACAAAGGGAATCTTGAGTAACAACGAAAACTAAATTAGCGACTGGTAGCCCAGAGTTCAAAGGGCACTTACCCGTAGGTAGGTAGAAAAAGACTTGTCTTGCAGATTGAAAAACTATCTGGAATAAAGTCAAGATTAGGCAATTTCAAGGAGGTTTATCGTTCTTCCTTTTCCGCCACTTAAAATGAGACTGGAATGTTTTTGCATCACATTACACGACATAGACAGACGACCAAAAGTACACAGGGTGTTGTTTGTGCAAGTCTGTTTCTTGGAATTCGGATCAAAATCCGTGCGTTGACAAGTGACGGTTACCCGCTGTTCTTTTGTTTTTCATCATGTGTTTTTTCCCTTCAGATATGTTTCGAGCAGAAAATTATCCGTGGGAAAGTAGCTTGTGATTGAGAAAAAATGCCGTCTTTCTCGCTTTACCACTCCTTCCCCTACCCTCCCCAGACCTCTAGCCCAATGGAAGAAACGTCTGATCACAAGTTATTGACAAACAGGTTCACTCTTATACGACCTTATTTAGATGCGTATGGAAAAATAGAGGTAAATTTTAAAAAGGTTCAGAAATTCCTGTTTGAAAAAAAGTTTGCAAGCGTCCTTTTTGGGTCATAAGTGAACGGAGGAATAGGACGAGAAGACTCACGAGGAGAATATCCTCTTAGACGGGCGCATAAAATGGTTCTTCATCTTACTTTGACCCCACCAATCGAAAGCCCTAAATCAAGCTACCCACTGTAAAGACCTTCTGTATCAACTCGAGCTTACCTTAATAAGCTTCGTCTGGAGCCGGGTTTAATGAGGGAATCCCACGAAAAGGTAGAACGATTTGAGATTCATAAATCATTCATGGTGCGATGCACGTTGTGAACTATGAGATAAAACTTAGCGTAACGCGTGATCGTGACAATGCGTGAAGTTACTGTGAAGTAATTAGCGTGACGGCACATACATAGCTGTGAAGGTACCAACCCGTAAATGCACAAGGTAAAGAAGAGCGAGGTCCATTAATAACGTTTTATTATTCGTTCTATGGGTAACTGAATCACGCTCTGCTCTCGACCCCGCTCGCCTAAAACCGCGACAGAAATAACGTCTGTTGTGCAGAGCGCAGACAAGCTTTGCATGAAAGAATCCTCGAGATAGGAAGGTAATGGATCCTTGTGTTTGTAGGTGAGTTAAGGTAGAGAACTTAATCTTCACAAATTCCCCTCCCTTACTCTGACGCTCCAAGCACAATACAAATGGTTTCAATCTTCCAATAATAGCATCAAGGAAAAACTCCGACTTTCCCCCTTGAGTAACTGAATTGGTTTAGAGCTCAATTATGCTCTCTAGAGTGCTTGCCAAATTCTACGCGAGTTGCGTGTCATTTCAGAAATCTGCTAGTAGTGTCAAAGTATGCCGACAAGGTGGACCTCGGTGGCCCTGTATTTGTGTAATTGCTCCGAACTAAAAGCCTATTTCCATTCAATTTCTTTTTACATTTACACAGACAAAATTTCAAAATTTTCTGGATTGTCGTAGTGTTATCCCTGTCCTATAAGGTTAGCCCCAGAGAGGAATGTTGTTGGAAACAGTGACTGACCTTTCGAATTCAACTGAGCAAAAGTCATGATTAGTCGCACGTTCAAACCATTCAGAGTATTTGGATCATCATGTGGTGTCGTTGGAAATTCAACTTCTTCACAAGAACCATACAGGTCCTAAACGGAGACTGGGTGCGCCCCTTATCCGGGGCCGGGGCTTCTGCCCCTTATACGGGACACATAACTTTCTCAGAAGCCGCTTTTTTGATCTCGTCCGGCCAAACAACAAATGCAAAAGAGACGTAAGTTAACATAGCCGAACTGAACAACGTATGTATCGCGACTCAGCGCATATCAGATCAGTAGGGGTCTCATCCCATGAAGTTGGTTACAGCAAATTCAAACCAGGTAGCGACTCATCAGTCAACGTAAGATAATTTTCTGCTGGCAAGATACTAAGTCCATCATTTGTCGGCATTCTTAAAATCCTCCCTTGGCTTAGAGGGTATTATCGAATAAGTGCAAATTGAAAAGCTTTTCCGGATGCGGTAGGTCTTATTTTATTTATGCCGGATATCTTATCAGGAAGAAAAAATGTTAAAGGCGTTCTTTTCCTGACCCGTCTGGCCAACTGAGAATAACTCGTGCAGTTTGTTTTCGTCGCGAAAATTTTTCCTCAACAGGGCTTGAAAAATGGCGTTTCCTCCTAAAGAGCGGTGATCGGTATTCCAGGTTCTACTCCAAACAGGTTCAGGATATTGGGTGCCTTACTGTTATAGCGGCGTCTGTAGACACGTAGAAGGCTTCAGACGATCGTATCCGACCTTGGAGGCGAGGTCACAGACAGACAGAGAGCTATTCAACGCAACTGGCTTCACTTCAGTTATGGCTGTAAAGTCGGATGTGGGAATGGTAGTCCTCTGTACTGCATTAAGGGCAGATGTGGCTGGTGGTGAGGTGATCTCCCCAAATGCTTTCCTTCCGCTTGGCTCAAGATCTTCTCTTCGCCCAACACCAGCTGTTTGCAAAGCACACTGCGCCATCTACTACCGAGTCGTCCGCTACCTTCTTCTAGCTCTCAATGTCGATGATCAGAATTTTCATGCCGCGTCCGAAGACGTCCATATTGGATATTATAGCTCAGCCAGACCAACTAACAGGTCTCTTGTCAGAGGCTTTCCCACCACAGAGAAAGTCCTTCGGAATGTATCCATTCTCTATCTGGTAACAAAGCCAGCGTAGCCTTTTTTCTGTGAAATACCTATACATGATAGGAAAAACTTGACGTGTTAGGCCCAATGTATTTGACGACTTGTCACCTGTTGACGTTGAGAAGGCAGCAGATGTGGAAGACAGAAGAGTCAATTATGCCGAGTTGTCCTGAACAATTTAGCATCATCTACGCCTTTAAGATCAAACAAGTAAAGGGTAACCCTACTTTGCTAGGAATGATAATATCACTCATCACAGTAGATCAAACTGGGGAAGGGATAACACGTACTCGCACCTTGCTTGCTTCAGCTCGCGCGCAAGAAAAAACGATAGCATAAACAAAACTGAACGCAAAACGTACAAAAAAAATTGCGTTTTCCTCGGAGTCGAAAGCCATCTGAACTAACCCTCAGGGTTTGGGGGGGGGGTACCCATCCCCTGAGGGTAAAGGCGAGATATTGGTACCACATACAGCCACAAAATACGAACAGTATGTTATTGAAGGACACCTGATATTTGGACTTCACATTACTAACACTTACACCCTTTCAACGGCTTCCAGTCAAGAAAAGGCACCCTGTTTAAGCTAGGCTAAATACACCCAAAAGCCGTAACATGTCTAGTTACCAATACCTGTTGGAGCTAAATCAGGGTACTTCCCTCTTTCTTCCTGAGAGTTGAGCCTTACCTAGTGTTTCTAGCTTGCATCCATGCAAAAGAATATTTTTGCCCTAAAGTAATAAATCTTTAGTCTTTGTATTATATTGACCTTAAGTGGAAAGTACTTCAGTTCTTCATCCCTACAATTCAGCTGCAAGTCGTGGACATTTTCTAGAGATGGGGACACGGGGCAGGCCAGGCATACAGGATTTTTCAATGAAGAGCTCACATTCAGGGGAAACTACTAAATGAGGCTCATTTGAAGATGTACTAAAGAAAATTATTTATATCTTCAATAATCAAACAATATATCTTTAATATGAATTTCACACTTTGCTGATATTGTATAAAGTTATTCAAAAAAATCTATCTTCATAAATTGTATGGAAATGTCAGAGTGTATGTTAATTTTGGAAAAAATGAAATTTTGACCAAGAGAGTTTGAGAGTTTATATTCAGGATACACAATCGACAATTGTTATTTTCCTTTTGAAATGCTGAAGGATGTGATATGATAGTTTACCAGAACACTTTTCCATATTATGTAACAGTAGCATTATTACAATATACTTATCTGACATAGATGTCAGTATCTGAGAAACTGCACACCTACCCCTTTACTGTTGTTGGGTTAGGGGAGGGGTAGGTGGGCAGTTGCTAAGAAGCCCTTATCTGCATGACTAATGTGTTAGATATGGAGGTGTGTGTCTGTGCTATTAACAATATCAAAAATGTTATTTTTGTAAATACTGAGTTTCATGGAAGTTTACAAGTGCTCTTTCCATGGGAGGCATAAATATAATATCTGCTTAGAAGATTCAACTTTAAAAGAATGAAAAAATCTTTGAATTAAAAATATAATTTATGCAAATATTGAGTTTCAGGGAAGTTTACAAGGGCTTTTTCCATGGGAGGCATAAATATGTGCTCAGAAGAGTCAACTTTAAAAGAATAGAAGAAAATTTGAATCAGAAAAAAAAATGCTGAAGGGGAGCCGCTATAACTGTATTATGATCCAACTTCTTATTCACTCGCTGATGCTGTCAGTTCCATGCTCATTTCCTGACTCTTGATCTCTTTCTAAGGTCGCCACTCAAAGCTAAACTTGTTCTAGCTTTTGTCCAATTAGCACTTGACTTGCGCCTACCCTGGCGACTTGGTGGTGAGACAGTACTTTGGCTGCTTTGAGGCCTGCTGAGATGTTCTGAGAACAAAAACATAACAGCTGAAGAGATTATTTCTCAAACCTAAAGCCAGGATAGCTCTCTTTTTTTCAATGTTTTTAAAAGAAACTCTAGAGGCTCACAGACTCTTAACTGGAGGTATAGCAGAAGGGGGAGAAGGTGGCTTACTGCTAGCCTGCTGAACTCCACATTGACCAATCATGATACAAGCCCAGCCCTGTCATGGTTCTATGTCATTGGGTAAGACATTTAACTCTTACAGTGCCTGTTTCCTCTTGGAAGTATGAGTGGAAACCTTAGAAAATGGTATTAGGTTACCTGCGATCAAGCAACATCTCAGTCAAGATGAAGAGATCTAATCTTAGTCACTAAATCACAAAGAAATCAGAAATATGTTGACGCAGTTTTGGATAACTTGGCCTTGACTATCTAATCCTAGCTACAGAGGAAATGTAACTAGCAAGTGAACTGAGTTACTTTCTGCTGTCATTGAGTATTCAATATAGTAACCCCTTTACTGCCAGGATTGACCATAAGAAATTTCCTGCAAAAATACCAGCACACTTTCAAGTAGAAAGATAAAAGGAAAACAGAAAAATAAAAATTAGGGAAAATTGTTTATTCAACACCAAGTTCCTGGTTCCATAGATCATAAGAAATGCCTAGCAGATATTCTTTAGAATTTAGATTTAGATTTTAGACAAGGTCAATGAAACAATCAATCTCTGTTTGTAATAAGCAATAAAGCATAGTAGGACTTACGCAGAAAAGATGATGTTATTGTCTTGATGTCATTTAGTAAGGGAGTGTATGTTTCTTCTCCTTCTTTTCCTTGAGACAAAAACAAAAAAGTAAAAAAAAGAAAATTGAAGGAAAAAGCAAAATGTATTGCATAATCATTAAGTGTCAATTGCCTAGCAGCTATAGGATAAAGGGAGTGAGTTTCTTAAAAACTGTGCTACTGCTTCAGTGGAAGAGTATAATAAGGTAATTTAGTATTATTAACTGAGTCGATAATGAAGAGAGTTGATGATGAAGAGCTGACACTCGAAACATTAGCTTTTTATCATCAACTTTCTTCATTATCAACTCAGTTAATAATTGTACTAAATTACCCAGTTATTGGATCACATGGTCCAAATTCAAACCTTAGCCAAGGTCAAAATATTGTTTTCTTCTGTGAGACACTTTCCTCACAGAGTGACTCTCTCCACCCAGGGGCATAAATGGGTACCTAACTTACACTAAATTATTACTTGTTTAAGTTTTCCTAAACAAAGCATTACCGGTAAATTCAAGGGCTGGGGATTCATTTTCCTTCTGGTCATATTCCTAGTTTTCAACAACTTTAATAGCGGGCACTACATCTCAAACAAGGATAAGTGAATAATATCTGCTGCTTATTGATAGTTTAATGGCCTCAAGTCATATGAAGTAGTGGAATAAAGCTTTCAGTCAACTTTTGATTCAATGTTAAATTCTCCTACTGTTTCACAAGAGAAAAAAAGACAATCTGCATGGAGGATTTAGTGGTCCATCAAAAACACTGAGTATTTTGAGCAACCCTTTCAACCATAGTTCTATTCTATAATGTAGCTGTCCAAGTCCTCGATGGATAAAATTTAATTGAATAAATAAATAAATAACTGCATAAATAATTTAACAAATAAAGCACCACATGAATTAATCAATATTTTATTCCTAGTAAATCTCTATATTAGCTTGCGTGTGGTCAGATGAGTGATGTAAAAGAAGATAAAGTTTCTTGAAAAGAAAATGTATATAGGGCAAATATCCTAACCATGATATGTTTATGGTATGATATTACTGGACACTTACTGTCAACTTTGATGAGTATAAATGAATGCCTCGCTTTTAAATGTTGTGTAGCGTAATCTCCTTTATGTTCAAGCAAATTTTTTAGATTACCTGACTCATCTGACAAGTCAATTACTTCTGAAAAACAAACCCGTGTAGAGCATTAAACAACAAGCAAACAGTTAATCATCAAACAACTCGCCAAAGTCAATATAGTACAAGTGGGCAAGCACACGCGGAAAACTCAACCAAATCTTTAAACACCTTCTCTATCTCGACGACATCTCTTCTTTATGTCCTCTAGAAGAACCTTTGTCATACAGTTTGGGTTGAAGAGAGCTTCTTGACAATCTAAACATATAAAAAGGATGAGTCATTGAGTGAATAATATCTACAGTATGTCGAAACACTGACGAGGAAATTTCGTCAGGTTGACTAAAAATCACGTCAATTCGCATATTTCCTACCTCCAAATCTAACAGTGATAAACATCTTGATTTCAAGAATTTTAAATAAGTCTATGTAGAAGAAACAAGTTCACTTTTCCCTAACACAGCACATTTTTTGAAGTATTTTGATCTTTGATTCGGGCATTGTGTTGGAATGTTGTTAAGTCGGCTTGTTATCATTCAAGCGAACAACAATTAGCTATTGTTTGACAATTACTGCGCCATAGGGACAGTGAAATTAATCCAAGACAAACAAAACAAACACTAAGAATGCCTTTGACCTATCTGTACTGCTCTTGTGTGAATGATTGCGTTTAGACACGCAAATGATTACCCTTGCGTCACCAAAGTGAGGCCCTCACGTATACTCACGATAACACCGCTAGCCTTTAACAAGAAAAAGAAATGGAGAAGAATACTGGAATAAACAAACAAGAAAACAAACAAACAGACAGATAATCCAAAATACACGAGGTTTATTTAAAAAGTCTGTTCGTCATATCTGAAAAATTTTTCAAACCTGCGAAACGAGTTCATTGCGTGACAAATCAAATCGGAAGAAACCAAAAAGGGAAAGACGTCATGAAAAGGAAATGGAGCAAATTATTAGAAGCATAAAAACTTGATCACGTTTTCGCATTTTTTTTCTTGATACCGTAAAACAAATATTCATTTCAGATTTTTCCTCTAGAGCCCACCATTTTCTGGCTCCCCGGGCCCCAATAACAGTTAAATAAAAATAAACAAGTCTCTAGCTGATTCATTTTTCACTCGAAATACGCTGTTGAATGACCTTGAACACTGAGAACAACATGTTAGGTTTGTCTCTCAAAAGTATTTATCGAAATATTATTAGTTTGAGATATTTGAAAGAGCCAGATGCTCTGAAAAAATTGCACAATCAAATTTATGATCCATCTTATGAAGGTGAGGCACAAAATATTTCTTCCTAGAAGTTAGTAGTTACCATCAAGCTTGTTTTCTTCTTTCTGATTAAATTTTGGAATGTCTTACCTCACGAGTTCTGTTGTAGTCGAAGGTTAAAAATTTATAAACAAACAGGTCTTTTTCGTATCCCTACTAATTGATATTTGAGAAGGGAGGGGGCAGGGGAGGTGTTTATCCAAGAGGGGGCGCTTATTTGAAAGTTTTGGCTAAGGGGGGCGCTTATTCGGGGGAGGGCGCTTATTTGAGCGTGGGCGTTTATTCGGGAAGATACGGTATAACGCTGTAGAAATTTAATATTATTATTCTTCACATTACTATTACTGTTATTACTTTTTTTTTTCTTTATTATCTTCTCCTTCTTTAAAGTTCAAGAAGTAAACGTAAACGAAGCGTGTATCCGTTAGTTTTTTTTTAGATTTTTATTCGACATTTTAATGCATTTTTGGATTTTATCATAATTTTTGTAAATATGTTTTAGCGATTGTAGTAAATAAAGATTATATTTCCAGTGATTATAGTGAATAGAGAGTATCTAGAGGGATTATTATTATTATTATTATCATTATTATTATCGTTAAACGGTGAAGCGCCGATGAAGAGGAAAAAATTGAGACAGAAAAAAAAAGGAAAACAAGAGATCGAATTCCAATCAAGTAAACAACCATCTAGACAAATTGGAAGGTTTCTCTTAATAGCTTTTGAAAAAGTGGTTACATTATTAAAATTTTATTCAACTCACAAGTGGGAACGATCGTATTAGTGGGGGGGTGGGTAGGGTCTCAAACTACGTGATTATCAGAATTTCGAATATGAAACGAATCAATGATAGGGAAAAATTAACTAATTTAATTTACTTCATTAAGAGTGCAGTGATGAACAATACACAGAGGGTGCTAGGTTAAGTTTTATGCAGACTTATGGTCGGCGTTAGCAGATAAGCATTGGTAACAAACGCTACCCCTGCTGGTAATTTTTTGTTTATTTTCACCGGCCGCTTCCGCTGACATTGCCGATGTCTCGAAGGTATTTTTTAAAGTCAGGATCAGTTGGACCATCCGGATCGACACGTTTTGTGCATATGCATCATTCATAATTCCTGGAGATTTTTGACTCTGGTGGTTCGCAACGGTGTTATTGAAGGCAGACAGCTGATAAGTCGATTGTCTCAAACACTTGCCTTCTCTGAAACAATATGTTTAACACGAGGACGATTCACTTTCGCAAAAAGCCCCTTCTTGCAATAGCTGGGTTGTCAATTTGTCTTATCCTTTGGATGGTACTTCGCTATCATACATCCATGCCAATGGAGAAGCGTGTTTTAAGGACAGAGAAAGGGCAATTCATGCTCGAGGGAAAACCGTTTCGTATTCTTAGTGGTTCGATTCACTATTTTAGAGTTGTACCGGAGTATTGGAGGGATCGACTTCTGAAGCTAAAAGCTATGGGACTGAACACGGTTGAAACGTATGTGTCTTAGATGTTACTATCGTCTTTAAAATGGATAAATTTAGGGGGAATCGAGAGTGTCTGAAACCCAACTCTGCAACCACACCGTGTTAATTATTGAGTGAATAAGCATATATTTAATGTTAAATTGATACCTACACCTTGTTCATTATTTATTTAGCATACGTTCATATAACGACTTCATTAACTATTTCTTTAGTTACGTTCCATGGAATCGTCACGAAGAAGTGAAAGGACAATTTAACTTCAAAGGAATCTTGGATATGGTGTGAGTGTATATCGTTGCTTAATTGATTTTTTGTCTAAGTTTTTTTTTGCTATCAGGTGCAGTCTGCTGTCACGCAAGGAATACTCAGGGTAACCTCTACTCAAAATAAATTCGTCTTGTAGAGTAAATCTCCATTTATACCATCAGATATTTGTTGTTAGGAGCAACTCTCAGGAAAACATTTCTAGCTTTAATAACTTAGCCATACAAAACGGAGAATTTTCCCTTAAATCCTTTGCAATTTCCATGACGTGACAAGTTAGTAATTGTCAAGATTTTAATTCCAGCAAACCTCTTCCTTGACACTCGACTATAACCTGTTTAGCGTCATAGCTCATTCAAATAATGTCATGTCAGATTTTGTGACTTTGTACCAGGTGGAAGCAACCATGGGGTTGGTTCCATGAAATTTTGCTTTTTTCATTTTTTAGTTAGAAAGTTTCATAAAAAATTTATGATGATGATAATTGAACTTCATTTCAAACATTGGTTTTAATTATTACATTGTAGTAAATTCATCAAAATAGCCCATTCACTTGGGTTATATGTGATTGTTCGTCCTGGACCTTATATCTGCGCTGAATGGGATCTTGGAGGACTGCCCAGGTAAAGACATCAGTAAGAGTTGTGTAGCACATTCTAGTAACATTATGATAAAATGCCTTACATACAGCAAAATTGGATATGAAAGTGATCTTTGCATTAATGAACACTATTTGACCAGTAGTGAAAATAAAGCCTGAAAGAAATTCAGGCCATGACTTCTGCAATACCAGTGTAGTGCCCTACCAACTGAGCTTACAAGCCAACTGGGAGCTGGTCATTTTGTTGGTTTGTAATAGACCTGTGAAGTGATGAATAAATGACTGTGAATTTATGAAAATCAGCTGATTGAGAGATTAATTTGAAAGCTATTTTTGCAGTAATGCATGAACAGCTTGCTACATACCTAATTTAATCAAGATTGCTCTATGCCTCATTTTCATGTACAGTAAAGTAGCAGAAAGCACTCATATCCTCCCTATGAAACCCCTCTCAAAGGGGGTCTGGGAAGAGTCAAGTCTGATTCTGAGGGGCTCAAGTTGAAAAAGTCTCCTCACTTTCACAATACATCCCTTCAAAATTTGTCACAAAGAGCAAGACCCATTTCCTTGGGGTTTTATATGGAAAAAGTTTCTCCTCTATTTGATATGGTCCTTCAAAAATTATTGGAAAAATGCAGCTAAATTTGTAGGGGCTTTATTTTTCAGATTACTATAGTAATTTACTGAATCAATTCTTTCCTTTTAGTTGGCTGTTACATGATCCTAAAATGAAACTCAGATCCATGTACCCTCCATTTCTCCATGCTGTGCAGAAATATTTTAAGAAACTTCTTCCAAAGCTTGTCCCTCTTCAGGTGAATGTAACATAGTTCGCTTTAATTCTTTTTCACTTTGTATTGTACTATTTGTACACGTATGTAACTGTAAAACCACACTCTAGAAATATTAGTTATTTTTGATAATTAAAGAATTTACTCTGAAACCATTTATATGTCTAATTCAGGTTATAAGTAATGAATATGCTGCTTAAATATTGAGTGGCAGATAGCTTTATAATTGAAGGATTACTATTTACAAACAGAAAGAAAATCATCTTTCTTCATGCTTGCCTTATACATACCACTTTTGTTTTTACTTAGAAGTTATAATAGAAATCATTTTCTATTTTCAAATTCAAGTTATATTTACATAACATGTAATTTTCCTTTTTTCTTCAAATGACCCCATAAGCTTGTAACTTAAAATTTTATGTGTATAAATAAAGGTCATTTGTCTATTCATCTATCATAGAATTCCATAACAGCAGTTGAATTAACACATTAAGCCTTTGACCAAAGTCATAACTTTTATTTTCAATGTTGAGTGCTTTGATGACAATTATTATCCTACTGGAATTTTTGCCTTTCTGTTGATTGTTTTTTGGTAATTTATTTTTTCCTTATAGTTTTCTCATGGAGGTCCAATTATAGCTTTCCAAGTCGAAAATGAATATGGCAGCTTTGGTGATACAGATCTCAGCCCAGATTATATGGCTTATCTCAAAACAGTGAGAAACTCCATATTGCTTTTATTTCTAATGATTAAGTCAATAGCAAATGGCTTATAACATATTCACTTTTTTAATAGTATTAATTAATTTGTTCAAGACTATCTGGCATCCTTTGTTCTGGTTGGTCACCTTGTTGGTCAAGATTGGCTAAGATTGCCCACTTTGATCCCATAAAGAAAATCTCTGTAGGTGTTTCATGTACTCTGTAAGTTCTTTCCTGGCAGTTGTTATTCCAGAGGATTTCCAAAATATGTGGTATCGATCCTCATTTTATTAATCATTGTTTGGTGTAAGTTGTTTAGAAAAGCAATGTTTATTTCTTTTTTTTAATGTTTCCACAACTTCATATTCACCATGAAAAACTTATTAAATAAAGACCTTCAGGTCAATGTCCAGTCCTCTTGACCTCACGCTAAGTCAGTAACACTTGTGTTTTGCCCAAAGTTTGATATTAGGATTGAGTTTCTCTTGTAGGAGGGGAGAGTTTGTTGGCACATTAAAGAATCAGACAAGTTGAGTCTATCATCTGCTAAAAGATTCATTAATTATTTTGATGCAATGTAGAGATTATATTTCAAGTAATGTAGACTACATGATGATTTTTCAGCTTATGGTTAATGAAGGAATCTCCGAGCTTTTGTTCACATCAGATGGTGTTTTCCAAATGGAGCAAAAATACTTTCCTGAGTTACCTGGAGGTAAGTAAAAATTCTCAGGATTTTGAGCTAAAAAAAACCATGTAATGTGCCTGTATACAACAGTTTGGAGGGCATTAGATAGCAGTCACAGGAAAAATTCACCAATGCCCCATTTCTGTTCTGTTTGACCGCATACATTTTTTCAGTGTTACCATGCAAGCCAGCAAGCAATAGAAAATACAATCATGGTAACTTCAGAATTTTTTCTCTATTTTATTTAACTTTACTTTACTTTCTTGAGTTTGGAGAGGAAAGAAATATGGTCTTGTGCTTGCAAAAATCTAGAACTTACACCTCCCCCATTTATTTTATTGAAAATGCAGTGATTGTCTTTTGTAGTGTTGAAAACTGCAAACTTCCAGCGGAATGAGACTGTTAATCTTAACAGACTAAAGAAACTTCAGGTGAGTGTCACCATCTCTATCAGCAAATAGCATCCATTGGACAGTGTTTCAACGTTCAGAGCAGAGGTTTTCAACAGAGTTAAGGGAAGAGTTGTCATTAATTCAAATTTTTATCACAATTGGTGGTAATGTTGCAATCTGATTGGCCAATTTGCAGTTGTAGATTAGAGAACAGACAATGCTGCTCAAGTCAATGTGTCATGCAATGGTCATACACTGAAATAATTATTTTCATTGACACTGATATTGATATATAAAACAAATCAACAGTGGTTTAACATGGTCTCTACTCTTAGCAACAAGGATTTTCCTCATCACGGTGGTCAAAATTTGTTGAAGACTTGCTTGGCTTCACCTTGTAAGTCCACAACATTATGACCTCTGTGATGAGGAATATCATTGTTGCTAAGAGTACAGACCACTCTAAACCACTTTCGATTTGTTAGATTTTAATAATTAGCTTTACCAAATAATTTTTAACTTTACTCTCACGGTAAGCAAAATCATGCTGGCTAATGTGCACCAACTGTCAGTTGTACATTATCTTACACAGCCAGACAAGCCATTAATGGTGGCAGAATTCTGGCCAGGATGGTTCGATCACTGGGGAGAACAACATCACCAGATGGAAGTAGATAAGGTGGTCACTAGAGTGTCTAACATACTTAGAATGGGAGCATCTATCAACCTCTTCATGTTTCATGGTAAGTTTGACACAACTCACCAGGATCCCTGATTTTAAGACTGTCAAAGCTATTTAACTAAATGCAATTATTGTGGAGTTAACCCTTTAACTCCCAGAGGTGATTTACATGTCTCTTCTCCCTACAATATTCATATGTTAACCAGCAGATAGGTAATATGAATACTCAAACTCATCAGGTAGAAGTTGTCATCTTTATCTAACACCAAATTCTTTTAACTAATTTCCAAGGACATGTGTAGCAACCAGAGGAGAGAAATTACAATCAGATCTTGGGAATAAAGGATTAATGATTATAATAATTGATATAATCTTCTTTGTAACCCCTAAGGTGGAACAAATTTTGGCTTCATGAATGGTGCCAACGCCGTACAAAATCAGTTCAAGTACCAGCCAACTGTTACTTCTTATGGTGCGTGAGTATGAGTTTACTTATAAAGAATTATATCATTTTTGTTAAGTGGAGGTCTGAATTTAACTTGAAAAATGATGATTTTTTTGGTCATGAGCTTGGAGCAAACAAAAAAAAGCCCCCTTGAGCAGTTGAACCCCCAAGTTTCCACCATTGAGCAATAGAAAGTTAAGGGTGAGTGACAGCTCTGTTACTAGGTTTGCATAATTGTCCTACATAGTGCTAGGATCAGCAATGTGGAAGGCAATATGTAAATAATTGGGAACCCATTTCTTTGTTCAATACTGTAATTTGATGAAAAAAAAATCTTTCATTATTTCATTTCTTTGCCCAAAAGTGACCAATTGCTTTCAGTCTATTTAGAACTGAAATTATTTTTGTTAAGTCAGGTTGGAAAATTTTAAGATTTTACCTTCTACATTTGCTGCTAAGATTGTATGAAATGTGCTTCATAAGTAACCAATAATTGGTTGTTTTCTGTAATTCTTAAGATTATGATGCACCACTATCAGAAGCTGGGGATGTCACTGAGAAGTTTCTTGCTTTGAGAAAAGTTTTTCAAAAGTACAATTCACCAAAAGATGAGAAACAAGGTAAATTTTTGAGATGTCAGGTACAGTTAGTTGGCTTGAGTCATTCAGGATCAAGACAGAAATAAAGAGCAAATCAGTGGTGAACTTTAAAGAAAATGGTAGTCAGTCAAGAGGTTGGGCTGAGTGAATTCTTAGGGAGGGCATGGAAGGATGCATTGGATTTATCTTTTTTTCTTTTTTTTCTCATCTCTCTCCAATCACATTCACATTTTTCTTTTTTCCACCAAAAGTGAGCCTATTTGTGTGGTAGCAAGTATGAATTAGCTGCAAAGTTTTAAGTTTTATCAATGGTTTCATTTTCTGTTTCCTCTACAAAAATGTAACATTTTTCCTATGTTAAACTTTGTAGTGTCATTGGGTGACCATCATAGAAGAGAAGCATATGGTGAGAACACATTAGGTTATTTTTGTTATTAATTAAGGATTTATAGCAATTATGTAGGGAACTATATTTCTACTTGAGCTAAGATTGTAAACAAGTTTGCAGTGATTCATTGAGGTAGACACACTATTGGAGTATGATTGTTGGTATGAGTATGAGTATGAGGTGTAGTATGATTGTTTGTCTCGTGATGTAATGATAGCCTGTGTACAACTGCCCCCTACCCTCTAAAAGAAAATCAGGAGGGAAGGGAGGGGGGGGGGTGGAGCAGCTGTACATAGGCTATGTAGTGACTCTCAGTTTGACTGCATGATGCAAGTCTTCTTCACACAAAAAGTTCAACTGGATATACATCCCCTCGTGAACCATTGTGCACAGCTGTGACTGGTGAATTTAAGTCATTGATAAATCTTAACTATTTCACTTTAAAGAGGATGTGGAGATACAGCATTTTCTGGAGCTTGGAGAATTCATAAACTTATTTGTAAGTAACAAGAACTTTTCTTTTTTTGTTTCTTCTTCTCCAAAACCTCATTGGGCATGCTCATCAGGCCTGGTCTTTGACCGTCTCCAAAAGAGCCGTTCAACGGGATTTCCCTGTAAAATTAGCATAATAATAGCGATCTGCCAAACCACGCCCACTATTTCAAGCTCCAATCCTTTGCTTAAATCACATGTGAAATTGTTCGACTGCAAAGAAGGAAAGTTGGTTTTTGAGCGCTTTGATAGGTGTCTCGGAAAACTGTGCAAAACTATTTTAGTTATTTTGAGTTGTTAATGAAACTTCACCATGTGCCACCAAGAATAAGGCTGATTTCATGATTTATATTATGTAAACTATAGTCGTAGCAGTTTTTTTGTCGTTTTCTTTTACAAACGGAAATAACTCCTCTGCAGGCCGTATGTTTTGGAAGATAACAATGAGATGAAACCTGTTTACTTCACTTCCAGGAACCTGTTAAAACAGAGAATGTTATGTCCATGGAAGGCCTTCCAATTAACAACAATGGTGGACAAGGGTATGGCTTCATTTTGTATCAAAAAGAACTTGACAGTGTTCCGGACGAAATCATCATCCATAACGTCAGCGACCGAGCGCAGGTGAAAGTTTAGGAAAGCTCACATTGAAAGTAGATACCAGATTTCAAAATAGCTTGTGGGTAGGTCCTATTAATTATTAGCGCTACGGAATACGCGTTTCTCCACCCGCGGGAAGATTTTTGGCGCGTCTGGGGAGAGGTTTGCTGCGGGTGTGTAACTAGTCCCCCTGCAGACCATTCCCCAGACCTTCCGCCGGCTCGCGTTGTTCAAGGCCTTACATACACTTTTCCGCGGACGAAGGAACGTTCGTGCCGAAGTGTTAATGTTGAGGATCTTTAACCGGTTTTCCTGGACTGACCACATTGATTATATTTGTGGTAAGATCAGTAAAAAATTAGGTCACTTAGGGCGTATAAAATCTTGCCTCCCCCTCAGTGCTAGAACTATGTCTTTTAATAGTTTCATTTTACCTCTTTTTGACTATGGGGATATCATTTGGGGAGATCGCGGAAATGCCTCCTTAGGCGCTAAAGAGACTTGACTGGAAGCCATTATTGCGACGTAGAAAGGAACATCATGCTATTTTTATGTATAAATTGATTAACAACCATTTCTGTCACTCTATCCCTGTCACATTCAATGGTGATTTTCATAGTTACCACACGAGATCGAGAAATGACATTCGCAAATCTAGTGCCACAAGAAGATGGGGTCATTGGTCGTCAGTAAATTTTAGCGCTGATATATGGAACGGGTTAGACACCTCATTAAGGAATGCAGAGTCACTGCCTACTTTTAAACGCGGCCTGTCCAAAGTTATCTTTGATTCTTAACGACATTCTTTGCTTTTTACCCTTTGTATATTCTTTTTATCTTTTACATTCCTGTATTTTTAACTGGTTATATTTGATGCTTGATGATTGTATATACTCTTAATCTTTTACATTTTTGTATGTTTAACTAGTTCTTAATCTAAACTTAGTATTCTTCTGAGGACCCTTCTGTAAACCACTTCGTGACGTTGGCATCCTCATTAAAGATTACTTTATATATATATATCTTCTCGCTCGCAGGCTAATTTCAGAATAGAGCATTTTGTTTCAAGCGTTTTTGTTTTTTGTTTTTGTTGTTTTTCCCTCGAACGGGAGAAAATGGTCTTGTTTTTTAATGCGCAGGGAAGGTGGTATATTTTGAGCTTAGTCGTCCAATATGATCGTAGGACTACGAAACAATGCGAGTGTTCCACGGGGGATCGAACCTTTGATCTTCGGATTTTACGCTCCGATGCCCTACCGCTGGACAACAGAGGGCTCGATTGTCAGCTGGCTTGTTGCTTATGTTTTTAATATCAGTGAGCCAAATGATCTGAAAAGTTGCAAAGAAATGTGAGCTATTCTAGCAAAGAAAGCTTTTTTGTCATTGTGTTCCTCTTTTCCCTTTTCAGGTTTTTCTTGATTTTCAGCTGGTCTATACCATTGACTACATGAAACGAGAGGAGAAGATACAATACATTGATGAAAAAGAGCTTTGGAAAGTGTCAATAAAAACAAACCTGGAACAACTGCGTCGAGAGAAGGTGAAGTTTTGTCTTTCTTTTAATGATTTAGGATTTGATAGCTACAATAGATATAAGAATTAATTTTTACTCCTAAAAGGACAAAGTTTAGCTCCCACAATTGTACGATGGTTGTAACTCGTTATATAGCTATACCTTCCGAAACTTCACGCGATTTCTTGTTACCTGATCCCTTTTAGGCCTTTGAGCCCAAAATACGCCATGTCAGCGGTTGATAATCGAGCCTAGTTAGGACTTCATAAGCATTGAAGTATTGGTTTGCATTCCGTTGCTTTAACGTTCTTGTATCATTTTTCTCAGATACCAGGTTTTCATCTTTTTTAAATTTTTTAATTTTTCTATCCCTACAGCACGATAAAGTTCAGCTCGATATTCTGGTTGAAAACATGGGGCGAGTTAACTTTCTGAAGGAAATGAACAGACAGCGAAAAGGTGATCGATGTTTTAATTTCTCTTTTGAAGCCACTCATTAGTCTACAGATAAAATTGTTTTAGGTCGTTTCGTTGTCGACAACAGTAGTCACAATTAAGCATCTTTGTCGTCCTATTTCCCAACAGGATAGTTTCTACATTATAACATATGAACCTGAAACAGTAGTTGTCATTTGAGCGTTGAAAGTAGTCCATGATTCTGTTTTACTTAGCTCCGTGTCAGGTCCAGAAACTCACGCCCCTTTCTCATCCAATCAGACTTAAAACTGAAACCAATTGCAACTCAAGTAGCCGCGTTTTCCCGCGCTTTAGGCAGTTTGCTTTTTTTTTTTCCTTCTTTGAGTTATTATTGGCTGATGGTAATGTTTTCCTTTATTCTTGTTGGCTGTTTTCATAAATTTGTTTTTGGTGTTGCGGCACTCAACCGAAATGCGCTCCATAAGGCTCTACAAGGCCTAGCTTACCATCGAGTGTTGGTTCCCTGTGCCTCAGTTGATACAGCATCCAACCGCAAAATCGGATTTGGCTAGGGTTCTAATCCTTACGGGAGACTTTTATTCCCAAGAATATCTAAGGAGTGTCCCACAATCTCAAAAGGCTATTTTAAGTCAGACAGGTGATGAAAATAAAGAAAAATATCAACGTGGTAAAATTATTTGATTTAACACCAAATTCCCCAAACTACAATAAACGGAGATGTATAAAACAGAGAAGAGAGAATTGCTATTGAAATCTTGAAATCGATATTGAGAGGGTTTTCGTTTTGATTCGACGACCAACGCCCTGTTTATCCCCCTACCTCTACAAAAAAAGACTCAACGTCTCATTTTAAAAGCCCAGCTGAATGCAAGGCACTGAACGGTTCGATGGTAAATTTTTCGCACTGAAAACTAATTTGTCTTCTCTTTTGCTTTCGTCGATTTTTTTCTAGGCATACTCGGTGATATCCTAGTTGATGGAAAAAAGCAAACGGGCTGGAAAACTTATCCAATGGACTTCAAGGAAGGCTTTTTCGACAAGTAATCATTCATATGATTAATAATTTTCACTATTGAAAAATACACAGCACTTCAACCAGTGTTCTTAAATTTTTTGAAACATTCGTTTTAATTTTAAAAGTAGAGCATGCCAGCGAATTTCGTCTTTGACAAGGTCTTCAGTGGACAAATCTCCTTGTCCAAAATCCAGTTCAGTTGTGTTTTAGCGCGGAATTTTGCCGGGAAAAAAATTATGAATGCCCGTTAACGAATCGCATTTTTCAACACGTGATGTAAAATAATTTCAAGGGGTCGACAAAGTTTGTTTCAGTTGGTTTTTTGTGTCGTAGATTGAGCACGCGGTCAGAATGGAGGAAAATTAAAGAAGGGGAATTGCCAACCATTCCTTCGATATACCGTGGTACATTTGGGGTCACGGGTGAGCCAAAGGACACCTTTTTGCATATGAAAAGTTGGACCAAAGGCGTGTGTTTCGTTAATGGCCACAATCTGGGCAGGTACTGGAATATTGGGCCACAGGAGACGTTATACTTACCAGCTCCATGGCTGCGCAAAGGGGAAAACGAGGTAGATGTATTGAGCAAGGAATATGGTAAACTTTGCGCTCCGTAATGAATTCAGAGAAAGCTGTTTTTGGTCATGTTACAAGCCTGGGACAAAGAAAAAATTAAAAACGTCTAGGTCCCCGTGTGGAATCGCACCTCAGACGTTCAAATCCCTCCTGCATGGAGACTCGGATGTTTTTCTTTGTCTCTCGCTCTGATCTATCAACCCGTTGACCCCTGAGAGTGACTGGCACTAATTTCTCCTTACTACATCACTCCTGAATCAAACATTAAGGTCACGAGAATAAACGAAATGATCACCAATAAAAGAAGTTCTTGATTTTCAAACAAATTCTCTGTGTGAGCACCTTAGGAAATGTAATAAAAACAGTATGGAGAATATGCATACTGATGTTAGAGTGTAAAGGGTCAAAAGGGTGGCGGTAATCTTTTTGGTCCAATTAAAGTGCACAGTAAAGCAAAGCCTGAACAATTCCAGTTTACTATCGACACAATTGAGAATTGCTCTAATTGCCACGCGATCCCATTTCACGCTTTTCTTTCTAGCAATTAGTCACTTCACTTGGCAAGCTTATACTTGGAAAGCTTACGTTCTTAATTCTTTTCCTTTCCCTTTCAGCTGCTGATTTTTGAACTAGAGAAGTGCGAAGTTCCTGACGTACCATTTGTGACAGAGCCAAAGAACAAAGGAAAACCTCTTTTAGTGCTATAATGAGGAGTCTCTGACGCTTACTTAGCAGAGAACGGGGCAACCTCGTTCCCAGGGTTCTCTCTATTCCTTCGTCAAGGAAATACTTTCTAGAGAGAGAGAAAGAGAGGGAACCCTGGGAACGAGGTTGAAAACAGAGTCAGTGTGGAATGACATGACACTTAATCATTTAAGAGCCACCAAAAGTGTGGAGGCTGTAGAGTCAATGAACGAGCAAGCTCGTCGGTTTTTTTAGGGGGAGGGGGTCATATTTATCTCCTCTCCACCACTGTGGTGCTGGTCCGAAATTCGACACGTTCATGAAGCAAACTTTTTAAATAGAGAGAGAACAGAATCTTTCGATGAAGGCATTATTCACGTTGTACGGATTACTTTTCAGGGTTTACATTTATATAGGATTTTTCGTACCAAAATTGTTGAACGGCGGGAAGACATTTTTAAGAGATAGTCAGTATTATGTCAACAGAATATAATATGAATTTATCAAAATTGAAATTTTGAAACAGGTATCAATATTCAAGTCTAAATTTGAAAACTGGATGTATAAAAGTTAAATAACATCAGTAGCAGCACAGACGTAAGTTATTCTCTTTCTTTACTTTAGCACATTTCACGAGAAATAGTACTGCATTAATGGTCCTTATAAACAAGTTGTTGTTTACAAATTCCGATCAAAATTGAAAATAATATCCACACTGTGTAAATTTAAATCTCAAGCAAGCGAAAGTCTTTATAATTAAAATACAAAAAGACAATCTTGTCGTTGGCCCATTGTGACGTAACGGTTTGGTAATTATTAAAATCTTTTCACGAATTTTTTCTTTCCTTTTCTAACTAATAGTGGAAGACTTCTTTTTAAAGAGAGGTCCTTTACGTAGAGCAGTTTCTCAAGTGTTAAAATGTAAATAATTTGTAAACGCTTGAGGAGCGTGGGAGCTTTCAAAAATTCAATTTAAACTGAATCGAAGTGGAATTAGAATTTAGACCTCTGTTTTTATGGCGGAAGAAGAGCCAGAACAACCCTCGCAACGAGGAAAGGAACCAAGAATGCCGTGAAGTACCATTTAACTGGCGACACGTGTTCTTTACTGATCATTAAGTTCTTACCATGCCTCTCACAAACATCGACATAAGAATATTGTTCGTTATACTCAGGTTTAGTCATGGAAAGTGTCTTTTAAAAGGATCCACATCGTTAACTAGAGGCTTGGTTTATATGACGACGGGGCTAGGTTTCGAACCATTGTCCTACCCTACTCCACAAGGTATATGAAGTTTTCATCAGTTTTTCAGGTTACTTCACCGGGAAAGTATTCTGCTTCATAATCTGAACGACTTCCAATCAATGAAACCTCCGTAATGTCTTTTAGACGTCAATGAGTCACTGAGCTGGGAGAGTCGAGTCAAATTCAAAGCAGCTCAAATACTGTGCTCAAGCATTCCTCAGGAGATTTTTATCCTCGGTAAAACGGAGATGTTCTGAATGAAACTTCAGCTGCTGTCATATAACTGTGAAGCTCCAATATGATGAGCTTGGAAAGGAAAAATCCAACCATCAATAATTTAATACCATGAAGTAAGAAGAACAAAGACTGACAATATAACACGGCCAAGGCAGATTTTCCATGCTTAAAACATGGGATCATATGCATTTGACTTGTGTTTCCACCGGCTCGTTAGAATGATATCATTAAAACGGTTTTTGTGGATCATTAAGGTGAAATAAAACAAATGGTTCCTCTCTTGACGTCGCTTCCCTTGTGGATTGCACCGTTTCAGTTACTGGTCTTCTAACACGTTGCGTTCGACATCAGAAATGAATACATCTTAGTACTCATTAGTCTGTTTACCTAGCCACTGTTGGCCTATGTAATTGTTTTGGTTTCAACTTCCATACTTACTTCATTGTCTCCTGTCCGTAACCATGGTGCTGGAACATACAAAGTTCGCTGAGGACCCCTTTCCCAGTATCTTCCCAGGTTATGTCCATTAATGAAACACACTCCTTTGTTCCAATTTGCCATATCCAAGAAAGTGTCTCTAGGTCCTCCACTGACCTTAAAAGTTCCGTTGTACAGGAATGGACCGATTGGTCCTTTTACCGGTACTTTATCCCATTTTCCTTTCTCTTTAATGCTGAAAAACATGACTTGATACTTGACCAACAGACGAGAGTTAAAATTTTAAATTAATTCAAATAAAAGACTACAACTCGGATACTATGCGAAAGGGGGGAGGTGTCATTTCTTGGCACGACACACTTATCGAGAAGAAATACAGATGTGGGCATGGAACGACAGAAAACTGTACAAGTTCGTTCCTGAAATAACAAAAATAGATACGATACATTTTGAAAGAGGCTTCTCCTTACAGTACTGCCACATAAAATATAATAATTCTGGTGCCAAAAGGCAACAAATTGTGGAATTGTTCAAGTGGCGTTACCTTGCCAGATCTTGCGGCTTGAATTGAAGTGGGTAAATTCGCCATTTGGTAGGACTTAGACCATCGACAGTCACTTTCCCAGTAATACCTGAGAATTGACAACACAAAGCGGTTAAACTTTGTTTAAGGAAGAGTCCGATTTCCAATTTTGGATACTAATGTCCGATTCCCGATTTTGGACACTTTTGTGTGACCAATTGCTTGGTCACACAATTATCATTGGTGAATGTTCAGAATGGAACTCAGACTGAAATTATCATCTGATTCATGTAAATGCAGTGACAAAAGTAATAAATACTACTTTTATTAAAAGCAGCAACTTCCTCATAGGCAGCAATAAGTCGTGGCTTTTTGCATATAGTTGCTACATTTCGAAACGTTACCTTTCCGCATCCTCTTCATGTCCCAAACAAAATTTGTTCGTCCCATGTTTTCTACCAAGATCTCCAGCTTGTGCTTGGTTGGCTCGGCTGAGCGTTGTGACTGCGCATGATTCTGACTCACTTTAATCACCACAGGACTTTCGTATCTTGTACTTGCGTCATATGTTTGAATCAGAATAGAATCTAAAAGGATCTGAGGCAGACGATGTTATAAAAATATAGTTACACTGATTAGAACTTAGCTTCGTTCCTGACGTTAAACCTTTAGGAAAAAGGTAATTTTCAATTCAGACGAGTGGTGAGAGAAAAAAAGAGAAAAAAGAAACACTTTCTAAATATTCCCCTACTAAAAAATGGTTCCAGATATCTATGGTAAGGACTTGCTCTATCTGTGAGATTAGCCAACTTAAGGAATTCCTCTTACGTACAGCATTACTACGATGAATCTGAGAAGCAAGTTCAAGTTGTTGAAATTTGGCTGAGAAACACCTGTTCAACAGTGCCTCCCCACCCCACTCCTAGAGGTTTACTTGTTTACATTAAATTTGGAGCTGCTTCCTTCTATTGTCATCTATGCTGTATGTCATCACCCATTGGTGAAACCACACCCTTCTCTGCCCTGCCCTGCCCCGCCCCCATCAAGAAAGGAGAGGCAGAAACAAACGAACAACTGATCAGAGGATATGTTTGATGAATGCTACCATCAAGTTTAAAACAGTGGACAATTCCAAGCAGATTACCGAAGGGAAACTGCTTAACAAACAAATGATCAAGCTGTACCTGGGCTCTGTCCAAAACTTGTTCCATTACAATCTCTTTTGGATAGTGAGGTAACTCTGTCTGGTACAGTATGAAACCATACCCTTGTCCGCCATTATTGTTGATTGGCAGTTGTTCCATTGGCATTACATGACCACTTTCTATAGGGGTCTAAAGCAACAAAAATTTAATACTTTGTAAATACCATATAGATAAGGTAACTTGCATGTAAAAGAAGATAGCTACGTATCTTCTTGAGTATTGAGCTCCACTAGCACAGTTTGCACACAAGAAATTTCGATGTTCAGCAACGAACTGAACAACTGATATAAGCATCAACTGAAAAGAAATGTCTTAACTACAGATTATTTGCATTTGAATAAAAATTCCAAAAAACAATGACATTTTTATCACCTCACCTGATATGAAAGCAGGTGGGTTAGGGACATAAACTGCTGTAAGGAGACTTTACCTTTGAAAAGCAGGGAAGAAAAAACACAAATAAAGAAATGTACCTTTCAACTAGGAAGGTATTAATTGGATTAATAATTTGATCCTTAACCCTTTCCACCCTAACATTGGTACTCATATTCTCCATACTGTTCTCTGTACATTTACTAAGGTGCTGACAAGGAGAATTTGTCTAACAATCAAGAGTTTCTTTAGTTGGTGATCATTTCCTTTATTCTCATGACATTAATGTGTGATTCAGTGGTGATATTGCAAAGAGAAATTAGATGCCAGTCACTCTTAGGGGTTAAAGGGTGAATGAAGCAGATAAAGATTCTTACCATAATCCTTTCTTGAAGAGTTCTCTGAAACTTGAGGAAGATTCTTGGGAACTACGGTTTTGAGAATCAAATGATGTGGCATTAATTTATTTAAGGGACAATAATCAATCAAAAACAGTCCAAAATATTCAAATTTTGTCTCTTGGATATTGTGACAGATTTAGCTTGGCACATTTGTAGCTTAAATGCTATTCATTTTTAGACAAACAATTTGAAAATGTGCAACTCTTATCTTTCTGTCTTTCTGTCTGTACAAGTTGTAGCCTACAATCTGCACTTATACTGCACAACATAGCAATGAACACTCCAATCATTCAAACACGAGTGCTCAGTGTTTGTTGAATAAAGCATTAATCTATCAAAAGGTCTCTGAGGTATGCTTTCCATTAATTTTAAAAATTCATCAGTCTTTCTACACATCCAAAAATGTGTCAAACTACCCTTCAGGTAAGTTCTTATAACAGCTAATCATAATCACTATATTATGATAAAAGTATTTCATGGTATGAGTCACGTGTCTGACTACACACTAACGAGAGTGTTCTGGTGCATGCTGTTTTATGGCATCTTTAATGGAGCGGTATTTTGGTGTCATATCTCCAGCTTCTGATAAAGGTGCATCATAATCTAAAATAAAAAAGTTTTTGCATTGTTCAATTGTGCACAAGTAACACACAAGTTACCCTAATCCCATGGATTTCTCATGATTTTATAAAGTTTAGCAAAAGTAATTAAAACTGATTTCTAGATTTTTAAGCCAAGCTATCAACACTACAGTAACTTATTCCAGTTTCTGTAACATGGAGCAACAGGGAGCTATGCTACACTAGTCTTTGCAGCATACCCCTAGTCATGTTTCCCAGACAGTTTCCTGTTACCAAGTGATACTGGTGGGCAGTGAGAGGAACTGTGAGAGTGAGGTGTCTTGTCCATGCATTCATGAATGTTGAAAAGAGATCAAAAACATACCACTTGATAGAGATTCTTGCTTGCTTACTAATAGGCCCACATTTACCTCCAACTAAAATTAATCTTATGTGCACATGATTAAAATAGTTTAATTTTCATCAAATTTCAAAAACCGTCATAGACATACCATATGAAGTGGTGGTTGGTCTAAGGCCATTTGCACCATTCATGAAGCCAAAATTTGTTCCTCCTACAAAACAAACATGAAAGCTTCTAGCAAACAAAAATTGGGTTCAGAAAAGGACACAAAGTCATGCAAAGTGACTCCTAAGGATTGAACATTTATCAAGTATCATTAATAAGAAACAACACTTATCCTATTCACGAGGATGGCTGGCCTGTGCAAGTGGACACAGGTTTCTTGCATTCTAAATGCTGGTTTACCTCCATTGATAAATCACTTTTCATTGATTCATAGTGTTGTCAAAGCACAGTGTATAAAGTGAGTTGAAACCTTCATGCAAGATTGAAACAACTAAATGTAAAAGTTTCTAACAGTGATTTTTGAACATTCAAAATCTGATCCAAGGAAGTGCACTTATGATGTCATTTATCTATCAGTTTTAAAAACAAAACAAAAACAAACCATGAAACATGTAGAGGTTGAAGGAGGCTCCAAACTCCAGAATTTCTCCCAAGACTCTTGCTACACTTCCAGCACTCTTGCCATCATGGTGTTTATCGTTTCCCCATAGATCAAACCAGCCTACCCAGTATTCCATTATCAAAACAGGTTTGTCTGGCTTCAAAGTTTGCAAAAAAAAAAAGGTATGAGCAGTGTAATGACTTTTTTTTGCTACTGTCAAACTCAGATTTACATGTAATATGTGGATAGTTTAGTATTATCAACTGAGTTGATAATGTAAATTGGCTACTTTAAAGATTTTAAAGGCTGACATTTCAAGCCTTTAAAATCTTTACAGTGGCCAGTTTACATTATCAACTCAGTTGATAACACTAAATTACCCTGTTATACTCTCCCAGCAATGCAGCACACAAAGTTTATTTAGAAACTTACCTTATTTAGAAACTTGGTTTATGGCCCAAGCATGAAACTTACGGCCCATAAATCTCAGCAGAAAAAATGAGGTTAGTAAGATATTTATTATATTTATGGGTTCAAAGAAAGGAGGAGATTTCAATTCAAACAAACTTTTGAATTTAGCGGGCTGTACAGAGAAATACAGCTCACTAAATGAGAAATAAATTATAATTGCCATGATTGATAATTGCTGCTTACAACTATGCAACTTATAACAGGAGTTTCCCTAATTATATATGTTTTTCTTTGTCTAAAACTTAATATCATAATTTTACCTGTATTTCTTGTAAATATGATAGTTCTTGTTTCACATTAGGTTGAACATCTACATTGATTGTTTTCAGAACTGAAATAAAAATGTAAAGAACATCAGAAAACACCTTTCAAAAAACACTTCTCTTTTTTTCAATTTGTCCCCTGCAATAATGCATATTGGACATTATTTGAATTGAGATTAGCTGCATGGTGATATTTACCATTTTGTAAGGTAAGGAACTCTTTCTTCAGTCCAGAATGGTTATCAGATGTGAAAAGTAACTCTGTTATTCCTCCATTGATCATAATCTGTCCAAAAGAAAATCTTGTCAAATTTGTGTTGCATATTTTATTTCCCTCTTGAGCCAAAATTTAGCTAAGCATAACATTTGAGGTTTGACAAGCTCAAGACACTGTGTGTAACTGCCACTGGTGACTAATACTAACTAATTCTAGCGCAATTTTTAATGCAGAACGAAACGACACAGTACGGTTAAAACTGCAAATAAAACAGCAAACGAAAACTATTACAATATAAACTAGACTAAATACACAAGGAAAGCTACAACGAAAACAACGAAGAAAACTACATGATACAAAACTTACATTTGTTGCCATGTTATAGATCCTGCCTAGTGGCGAACAAACTGCACGAAGTGAAAAGAACAAATATACGAAACTACACTCGACAAAACTACACTGCAAAAACTGCACCAAACTACGATGAACAATACGGTTGAATACATGCTACGTTACGCAACGTTACGCAATGACACAAAGAAAGCGCACACAAAATTTTACTACAATTAGCACTCTTGCAAAAGAACAATAAACAAACAAAAAAGAATGTAAGGCATTGTGATCTACACTGTGCATGGTGGAAAAGTAAGAAAATTGTTCAGTAAGTTTGACCTTGAATATTAAAATACAGACCATTTTTAGGTGTTGCATGTAGTCCACATCAGCAGAAGCATAGCTTCCATATTCATTCTCCAATTGGAAAGCTATAATAGGACCACCCTTAGAAAACTGAAAATAAGTAAACAAATACAGACAAGTAAGTTAAAACCTTTATCTTATCACCTTTTGGTTAACAATTGCTCTATGCATCAAGGGTAATTTACAGAATGCCAAAATTATGTTGAAGGCCTGAATTCCTGGTATTTAGCAGAATAAAACTTATTCTGCTTCATGCAAAATTTGGCTTGATTTTGGTGCTAGCACTTCTAGTTGTCTTGACAAATATTAAAAAATAAACAGAAAATAGTTTCCAGGTCTTATTTGTCATGTACATTACCTGCAGAGGAACCAAAATTGGCAGAAACCTTTTGTAAAACTGATCAACAGCTTCAATGAATGGAGGATACATTGATCTTGGTTCCATGTGAGGATCACTCAACAGCCAGCTTTGAAAATACAAAAAAAAAATTATTAGATGAGCAGTAGTGATTCTATTAAAAGCCATCTTTTTCAAAGCCTTCTTAATCCTTTAACTCCCAGATCAAATTTGTAATTCTCCTTACTGTCAACCATACAATTCTTAAAGTGTTAGTTCAGAGAATTTAATATTGGATCAACTAATTATCCCCAAATTGATATTTTTCTTTATTCTCATCACTTATCTGGTTGATATTGTATTGATATGTAAGGAGAAATTCTGTCTTGGTCATTTATGGGAGTTAAAGATTTAAGTAACCTCTCTTCTCATTTCCCCTTTCACTGATACATTCTTTTTACCACTTCAACGTCTGGGAGCTGACAGAACTGAGTTGTAAGAATTTGCTGAAGATTAGCAAGAAGCTCACAAAGACCCTATAATTTTTTCTTTCCTTTTTTTTCCTTATGTATTTATCTTTTTTATTAACTTTATTTTGCAATACACTCAAAGTGGTTACAATAAGGACATTTAACTTACAAGAAAAAAATGATAAAAAGTATACAACTACATTGGCTTTTAATTTTAACCTACTGTAGCTAGGCTGTTTCAAATGATTAAGGAAAGAGGCTCAAGAGACATTCAATGAGACATTCAATGAGACATTCAATGAGATTATGATGGAAGAGAAAAATTTTAAACTGAGGACAAATCCAGACAAAATATCATGTGAAGAGATGGGTTTTTTTTGTTTTTGTAAAACAAAGACTGTTTATATACTATTAGAGATTAGGAGTGACCAAAAATAAATAAAGGGAGAGAGAAGGAAAGAGAAGGAAGGAGAATAAACAAAACTAAGTTATAAAATAGTTAAATAAAATTGGGAAAACCCCCCATAAGGTATGTGTTCAGTCCATTTTTTGTTATAACAATTTCTCACTGAAAAACACAAGTTAAGGTTGAAAGGCAGTATACCCTGTCTTTAGTTCTTCAAGGTAATACCGTTAACAGTTTTTAAAACCAGTTATAGCCTAGTTATATGCGTAATTACTAATGGTGATTTGAAGGTAACAGATGTAGCCAAAAAGTAGGCAGGTGCATATTCTTCCAGTTTAAGAGTTGATCCATGATTACTAATTCCCTTCTTGGAGACATCAAAGAGTTTTGATACCTGAAGCTGAGACTAGCCAGTGGAACCTTGCAGAGTAAAAATCAGTCAAGTTTGCTATAAACTAGTGCATTTTCTGTCAATCTTACCTTGGTAATCCCCCAAAGTCCCACTCAGAACAAATGTAAGGTCCTGGTCTCAAGATAACATACAAACCCAACTCCTTTGCCAGCTTGATAAATGCACTGTTGGTAGAAAAAATGTTTGATTATATGCTAGTCATGATCAGTTAGCCACATTTGAAACCTTAAATCCTGCATGCAGGACTGACTCCCACAACTGAGAATTGCAAAATAGTACACTTCTGACATCCCTTGTTATTTAAAAAAGATGTCAAACCTTTCTGTAATCATGCACCTCACATTAAAATCTTTATTGTTAAGAAACAATGAGACTCAAGAGTTTGCAGACAGCTTCTGAGATAAACTTTGAAAACTCATTGTGTCCTTACAAAGTAGAAAAAATTGTTCTCACCTGATGTCCAAGTTCCCATTAAACTTAAAATGACCCTTCACTTCTTCATGTGCGTTCCATGGAACATAACTGTTTACCAGATGTAAGCAAATTTATGTTTAAAAATACTTAAGAAATGATGGCAGTTTATTTCTGTATTTAGAGTATTACCAATTAGCATGCAAAGATGTATCAAATAATCAACAATTATAAGTTGAATTAATATCACGCCTATATTACTACACAATGATTACAATTGTGATCACTATCATTATCATCCAACTGCACTGAGCAGAAGAAACATAACGCACAAATCGAGAACAAATATCCCGCCATACTGTAGGGTTATTTGAAAAGTTTATTTTGCACCGTAAAAACATCGAGCGTTACGCAAGACGTGTCACAAACCGCGCCTCTAATAGCTTTTGGCTTATCTAGCCTTATAACAAATACACATAAAATAAAACCGAAGGATGATAAATAACTTGTGAGACGTTTTGGTACGTAGTATCGCTGAGTATTGTAACTCATTGTTTGTATTTTGACTGGCTAATTCTTTAGAACAGTACAATTCTTAAAAAAAACTCAGCGACACTATACACAAACACGTCTAATAAGTTATATAATCATTACTCTTCTGTCTCAATAGATACCGTTAGAATCAAAGCACAAGCAAATCTATTTGAGAACAAATGTTCAAAAATCAAGCTTTTCGTAAGCGGTAAACGTCCTCCAGCTGTTTTGACATTCAACAGGTTGTATTGCACAGCTGTTCTTTCCACACACTTCTTGAACAACAACTACTGAAAAACTATTTCATGAACTTACGTCTCAACCGTATTCAGCCCCATGGCCTTAAGTTTCACCAATCTATCCTTCCAATACTGTGGAACGACTCTAAAGTAATGTACTGCTCCACTCAGAATTCGAAGAGGTTTTCCTTGAAGAAAAAAATCCTTCTCTCCATAAGTTAAGCTTGGTTCTGAAAGTTGAGATTTGGTTTCGCTAGTAACTGTAACTTTGGATGTAACTTGGTGATGTTCAGCGTGAACCAGAGAATCGGCCCTCAGGCTCTTCTTCTCAAGGAGCGTATATCCAACAAAAAGGACGATAGCGACCGCTAGCAAGAAGAGTTGTTGTGGGCTGAGATTAGGCTTGCGGAAGAAGATTGTTCTCATCGGCATTTTTGTCAACAAACACAACTTAACAGAAGTATTTGTGCTCAAAGTTCTATTTCTATTTGCAAACTGCACGTGACGAATTGAGTGTAGAGCCAATATTTTTCCCGGTCAGGTTTGAAAGGCATGATGGAAAAAGTTTCCAAAACTCTCTTCCATGAAGAACATCATGTCATGCCAAGATGATACAGGCGTTGTTTTGACAGGTAATTAGAGATGAAACTGGGTACGAATTAAATGATAAGCATCCATGATCGCGCAAAAATCGCACACGAAGCGTTGATTACGGAGCCCACGCGTGAGGTTCACGAGTAACAGAGAGGCAAGTCCTATTTCTGATTGGTCGACTACCAAAGCAGCAATCTTAGCGAGCTCATTTTTCCCACTAAAATGTAGGATAAATGAAGAAGAAGAAGTAGACAAAAAAAAAACAGATAAATAAAAACAAAGTAAAAAGATTCCACCAAGGAAACAAAGTTTGAAGCCTCCAGAGTATTTTTCCTTGTACCAGACAGTGTTTTAAAAGCATTTCAGCACCAATGGTTGTCGCTTCCATGTTCTGTCTGAGTTAAGAAAAGCAAGATAAGTTGTATCAATTTACTTAATAGTGGTGATAATGATAATGACAATGAAAATGATGATGACAATGAGAAAACTTGCACATCGTAAACATAACAGTCATTTTAGGTTGTCCCTAGACATGCCAAAGGAAGGGAAGAATTGTACATTCTCAACCCATGCCTTCCTGTAACACAATTCACTCCATATGCCACTCAAATTACAACTTACAACGTGGGTAACTTTAAAATCATCCAAGAAAAAGATCATTTTATTCAATTCTGTTTCACAACCAGCATGAAATAGATAATTTTTTACAGAAATTTACCCTGACCTCAGGTAAATAATAATTACAAAATTCAAATTTAAACAAAAAAAAAGACTTAAAGGAAAATACAATTCCCTGTATTTGTGGTTGTACTTAACTGAAATTAACAAAAAGCAAAAATTAACAGAAACAAAAAAAATCTTTTAAGTGGATACAGAAGAAGTGTAACCACAATCATGTATAAGCCTTTGCCTTCTTGAAGCAATTCACAAGAAAGTTCTTCTTTTAAAATGATTAAAAACAATTACTTGAAAACCAAAGTGAAAGGCTGGATCTCTACAGTCACAGTTGCAAAATAGTCTCTTAGATGTCACAGTGGTGCCTGAGAACCACATACAACAGAAGTATGGTGCACAGTTAAAAATTATATTGTATTAGATTGTCATATTTCAACTGATTTAAAATACGACAATCACTGCGACTAGTATGGCTAAATTACAGACTAGAGTAATACTATTCTTGCGTGACAATTCACAATCACTGCAAAATAAATATCAAAGTAAAGATTACACAATCTTGTCTATTAACATGTGGAAGAGTCTGAGATCATTTTAAAAATATGATTGGAGAAAGATGTATTTATGGCAAAATAATGCCTTTCTTAAGGAAAAGTTTTAGTTTAGATGGTTTGTGGACGAATTCTTAACCCTTTAGCTCCCAGAAATGATTTACATAAAAATTCTCCTTACAATATCCGTACATTATTCAGCAAACAGGTGATGAGTATATTAAATCTTATCAGGTAGAAGCTACTATCTTGATCTAACACTAAGTTTTCATAACTAAATTACAAGGAAATGTGTAGCAGCTAGAAGGGAGAATTAACAATCAGATCTTGGGAGTTACAGGGTTAAAGATTTAGTAGCTTTGTTCTCTAGCTTGTCTCTTGTTACACAGTTGCTTGTTTGCTACAAGACACATTTCTTTAAAAACAACCCATTTACATTTTATTTGCATTTATTTGCACTAATCTTTGCTTTGTGTAGCTTGAAATAGACGATTTCTCAATATTTTTGACATCATCTATTTTCAGTCTTTTGGTTTTAGTTTGTTCATTTCATTTGTACTCAAATGATCAAAAGAGAGGATGCTATTAATAATATATTAATTTCATCTTAAAAATGTTTGTCTTACTTGTATTTTAGTGAAATTTACTCTTAATTATGTAAAGGCAGTAGTTTCTAGAAAATGGTAAAAGTTAGTTCTTCAAATTAATCTCTTTCTGCAAATTTCTGAAGACTTCACATCCCATAAGAAACTCATCCCAAGATAATGACATCTATGGATAAAAGATCACTTCATGTAAACCGTTGTCTTGCTTGTTGTTCTGCTGATATTTTCTCTGTTGCAGATTTTCGCAGCTCTTTTATCCATTTTCTTGAAAAAGAGCCTGGCATGTGGAATGAGTGCTGGGAGAGTGGATTGGATTAAACAAATTATTGTTAATTGCTTCAGGCATGCTCACACAATGTTTACTTATTAACTTCCAGTTATGTGATCTACATGTAACTTCTCCATATAATATCCTTCATTATCCAGCATATAAGTAATGAGAATACACAAACTTATCAGGTAAAAGTGATTTTGATCTAACACCAAATTCTTGTTTCTTATTTATGAGGAAACCAAAGTTTGAATCCAGAGTCTGTCTCACAAACCAAAAGGCTTCACATCCCCCACTAAGGGGATCCACCAAGGAACCAGTCACATATTTTAGTGCTCAAATTCCAGGTCTTGCTTACCTCCATAAAACTATGACAGTCCATTGTTGCTGGCCCTTTGGTAATCTCCTGAAGTCAAAAGTCAAGAAGCTTCTTTAATGGAGCGGCACCTTCACAAAATTTGAGTTACTTTGTCAATCTACCTTCTCCTGGAAGGTAGATTGACACAACAATGTCATTTTGATAAGAACATGAATTGTTTGAGGGTGTAGTCAGCAGCAAAACCCATTGTCCCATTGTGAAAAGTGTCCTAGTACTGGAGTTGAGAGAATAAAATAATGTCTGAGTTTAGAGTAACAGCTGTTTTCTTGCAGGTTTTCCTCAAAACATGCTTAAGTTACTAACCTTCATAGCTGTGCAAAGCTGAGCAAAATCATGACAATTCATTAGTTTTTCCTCATTAAGACTCATTAGTGTCAGTGCCACTCTAAGAATCACTTTTGATCCTTCGTAAAACAGGCAGTCCCAGATGCGAAGTACTGTCTGAAATCAGAAAAGAAAACTACCATGAACTGAAACATTTTTTCCAATATCTCTCTACCAATGATCTACATTATCTACCATTCACATTCCTCATGAACACATAAGAACATGACCTCTGAGTCCAATGTCTATCAAATTAATGCAGGGATCCCAGTCATAGCTACAACCAAGACATCTTATCTGCCCTCCAATATCTTGCTGCAACCTATTGAGTCACACTTTATTGTAAAAAAAAAAAATAAAAAAATAAAAAAACATTTGCAGTGCTTCTCTCCACTTATGGAGTATGATTGAGTACAAATGTTGTAAGAAAAAATTTACAAAAAATCTGGGATTAACCTTGAATAGACTGTCACTTCATTCAAAGGGGGGGAGGGGGGGTAGAGAGAGGAGGGTAGGACTTGTAAAACTCCTAGAAACTTCCCACTACTGAAACTGGGATTAAGTCTGGCTCTTAAGCTGAATCTTTATCAAAGTAACAAGGGAAGCTAATTTGGTTTTATCAAGTTGATGACTTTAAGGGAAATCGGCCACAATAGAGAGTTCTACAGCAGTTATTTTGAGAGTTAGCCCTCATCAGAGTGAGGAGAGGAGTTAAATGGATCCTGCAGAAAAGGGAACTGGTTAGTGAAGTTTTCTACTCTCACATAGGAGGGGGGGGGAGAGAAAGGGAAAGTAAGATAATATGATATATCCTCAGATGTAAAACTACTTTGTTTACCTCAATTGGTAGCACATCGATGTACAGGCAGATGAACCACTTGGTAGAGAAGATTGTGTATGATACTCCTAGTTTTTCTATATGCTCAAACAAAGCTGGTAGCTTTACTCTGCATTTTTCACAAGAGGTAAAAAAAATTTAAAAGTTAAAAAAAATTTACCAGTGCCCAGCTATATTTGGAGATATACACAATGAATTATACATTAAAGCAATACATAGGATATACATATCATAAGTTAATCTTTTTTCAATTTATTTTAACTGAACTTTGATTGCCTAATTCAATGCTGAAATTTTTGTAATTAAAGGCACTGAACAGTGCATGATAGGTCAGAAATTAAAAGATAGCAGAGAAAAGTGAAAGATGTACAAGTATTGTCCTAGGATGCTCAACACCAATTTTATCTACCTTATCACTGCAAAACCCTAATCCTAACCCTAAACCCTAACCCTAGGCTAACCTTTCCTTCCCATTCATTCAACTCTAATTAGGGTTAATTATTAAGTTGCAATCAATTAATTATACAGCTGATGCCAGATAAGTTAAATTGCACCTACTTACCTAACTAATTCACGAAGTGTTTCTTGTTCAATTTGTAAACCAAGCATGTCCTTGGCATAATAATCTGCAGAAAGACAGTGATAGATGCATTTATCAGATGAATGTAAAAAGCTGATTCTATGAAGTTTGGATTAGATCCATCCATTTACTTACTTTACTTAAAGAAAATCCTAGTACAGGCTTTTATCATTCAAGTTTTTCTAAGTTCTTCAATTGTCTAAGGTTACAGCTCACAGCAGTTCCACTGTACAACACAAAGGCTTAGGTTTCATACCTGGTAACAGATTCCCAACAATAACATCTAAAAGCCAAAATGCAGCTTCTTCTTTGTTAACAATGAGAAGCATCAATCCGGCAATATAGTTTAGACCCTATAAGAGAGAATAATAAACAATTAGAACAATAAGACTTAACCCTTTAACTCCCAAGATCTGATTGTTAATTCTCCCCTCTAGCTGCTACACATTTTCCTATGACTTAGTTATGAGAATTTGGTGTTAGATCATGACAAAAACCTGTACCTGATAAGTTTGAGAATTCTCATTACCTCTTTGCTGGATAAGGAATGTTATAGGGAGAAGTTACATGTTAATCACTCTTGGCAGTTAAAGGGTTCTGACTGTGCACTTATGTCCTTAATAATTCTTTACCTATTTGACAAAAGTTGATCCATCCAAGGAGAAATTTAGTTCATCAAAAATAACTTATTAATACTCAAGCTCCCATGAGTGACCAACACAGAATTTCTCCTTACAATACCAGAACAGTATCAAGCAGATAATATCAATAAGGGGATTATAAGTCAATCTACAAAGTGTACTACCAAATTCTCCATACTAAAATTCTAAGAATTTCATAGAAGACAGTGAGGAGAATTTCTTATGAGATCTTAAAAGGGGTTTACAATGAATAAAAGTTGTATAATTAGTATCCTAAGAGCACCTTGTATGAAAAGTTCTGGATTTGACAGTGGGCATAGCAAGTTAAAATACACATACATCAATTACATTAGCCCTCAAATTATTTCAAAAGCAAATTGCTACTAATAATGCAATTGCATCTTGATCTCTAAATTTTTTTATATATTGCAATTCTTTGAAGGACTCTCAAAAAATCTTTCGTCTTCAACCCTTCACAGCCTAACATCAGTATGCGTAATCTCCATACTATTCACAATACATTTCCCTAGGTACCGACAAGGAGAATTTGTTTAATAATCAACAGCTGCTTTAGTTGGTGATCATTTCCTGTATTCTCATGACCTTAATGTTTGATTCAAATATAATATTGTAAGGAGAAATTAGATACTAGTCACTCTTAATGAACTTATTCTTAATTCTTTTTGAAGAAACACTCAAAATCATTTTGGATTGGATTCCGTTTAGCGGAATTATTATTGTTTGATAAGATAACTTACTTGGCAATATCCTATTCTAGGATTGTGTTTGGCATAGGCAATCAACACATTTAACAAGGCTGGCCTCAGGTCATCTTGTGTACTAGAAAAGCGAATGTTATCTGGAAAGGTGCGATCAATATCTGTAAAATAAGGCAAATTAAAACAAAAAATGTTAAAACTACTCTGGTTGCATATACTTGCATAGTCTGATAACTTGTGTCACAGTAATACGAGATACCTGTTTGTATACTGTGCATGGTCATTTCATCAATCGTTGTATTTTCTGCCAGTAATTTTTGATAGCTGCCAGGATTTAACTTCATTTTCTTCCTTGCTCCACTGGTGTCCACCCAAACCTGCAGGAAAAATGACTTGTTGAAAATCATAAGTAGAGGTAAGTTTCTAAATTCAAACTGTGGTTTTTCATCTTGCATTGATGGGGTATTACATGTTTGGTATAATTAACTGAGTTGATAATTGTAAATTGGCCACCGTAGAGAGTTTCAAAAGCTGATGTTTTGAGAGTTAGCCCTTTGTCAGTTGATAAACCAAATCATCTTGCTGAGAATCAAAATTGGTTGATACAGAAAATGTCAATTATTTGAATTTGCAAAGAAAAATTTGTTGTCATACAGTTCATTTCAGCAAATCAACATTTAAAAGGTAGCCTTGAAAATAATTTTATAAATTACACTCAAAGTTTAAAGGAATAGGAACAAGTTAGTTCATGTTACCTGGGCTCGAAGTCCTGTAGGAATACCTTTCCTTACAAACCTCTTAACTGAAAGAAATCAAAAGGCAGTGAAAAATATTAATTACTGAAAAACATTATATTTGTTAACCTGGTAGGGTAGTTATGTTTTCAAAATGGTGCTGAACTGTCCATCTTTGATCTCGCCATCTCCATTAAACTGAACTGTCCATCTTTGATCTCGCCATCTCCATTAACTATTGGAAGCAAGTACTGTTTAAGGCCAACATAATCACCTCTTCTTGACTTTCTGACTTTATTCACGCCCTTCATGAAGTCATCCCAGCGTGAGGCTCGGTGTGCCAAAACCCTAATGTAACTTGACATAAATTCTTCATAACTTGAATAGTCGAAGTCATCTGGCCTATGAAAGCCATATTCATCTACTGGGCTATGGATTTAACATAACAATCAGAAAACTATTCAGCTGTGTTCACATCAATTTTCCGGCCAGGAATGGAAACAAAGGAAGATATACATTATAGCCATGGGTTAAATTCAGAACCAGAGTATCTACAAAGCTATACAGGCCTGTACTTGACAGAGCCTGGGCACCACTCATGAGTAACTTTTGTCTTGAGGCAATTTATATAACTTGAGTTTGTGAAAGCCTTTAACAGCTAGACACCCCAGATTTTTGTGACTAAACCCTTCAGGTATCAGTGAATCTTCAAGAAAGTTAATCATTCAGCACCCACAGATTTTATCATAAAAGAAAGCATTTGAAGGGATGGGGAGGTCTGCTTGTACTCTATCCTTCCCTCTAGTAGCTATATATTTCTGATTGTGTGAATTAGTTATAAGAATTTGGTGTTAGATCAAGATAAATTCTACCTGATAAGTTTGACTATTCTTGTTACCTGTTTGCTGGATAATGTACTGATATTGTAAGGAGAAGTTACATGTTAATCACTTGTGTCTACAGGTGTTACTATCCACATCCCCCTTAATTAAAAGATGCTTACAACAACTAAAATATCTTAGCCTGACATAGGGTTGAGTATCACCAAGTCAAAGGTCTTTATAACAAACTACTTTCAAATTCTATTTTAATGCATGATCTCATCTTAAGAATAAGCTTTGATGGGCAGTTCTTTTATCAGCATTTGTTTACATTTTCAGAATAATTTGTCATTTTGTTATGAATCATAAGAATAGCCCTTTTTCAGGGATCTTTTCTAAATTGTTCTTCAAGGTTCTTCATAGCTTTTAAAAATAAAATTTTCCTTATGCCAATATCATCATTGACCATTATTAAAGCAGAATTGAGCACTGAGATGTAGATTCCTTTTAAATTATCTTTCTGTGATTACAGCGAAAAAAATTTAACTGAATTTAATTTACATGTATTTCTACACACCTAGCAGGAAGTTGTCTTAGTTAACTTCTTAAAAACCGTAAATTTTTTAACCAAAAATTAAATGTCGACGGCGCGTGCCCATTGAGAGGATACTCAAACTCTATATTAGGCATTTGACTAATGAATAGTTTTTCTTGTAACGACAGGTAGGGAGCTACAGAGCTGTGAGCAGCTGTACTGTATTGGTTTGGGATAAAAAGCACCTTCAAATATAGAAATCTTTGAGGACATTGTACTTACGAAAGTACCTCTTTGATTTTAAGTAGAATAAAGTCACCAATATTTTTTATCTGAGATTATCTTGTTTGCAGGAAAGCTCATATTCCGCCCGAATATTTTTGAAGCGACGTAAATTGCAAACTAACGAATGAGCGAGGATCGAGAATTTTCCAATAAAACAACAAAGATCTCAAGGAAATACCTCTGAATCGTCGACATTTCTGTCTAGTTTGATCTCAGAGCATACTCAGTGACCTTTTTGTTGGAAAAAGCGATGCAAAGTATGTATTAACGGGATGTTCCTACTACTGACACGTCGAGCACTGCAATTCCTCAACAGGAAATAAACTCTAGACAAGATGGATGCTTATGACACTCCTATCAGCGTTTATGATTGGTTCTTGTTTTAGAACCACTCAAGAAATTTCCTGTGAGAGATCGGATGCTCTTTACAAATTCCGCTGAGTGGCAATTTTTTTTTAAATTATATTCATGAGCTGCACAGGTTATAACTAGCCTTTCCACCTTGTTTTACAAATAGAAAATAACGATTGTAATAGCCGGTTTAAGCCGGTTATGTCTTTTATTTTTATTATGACGAGTACACCAATCAAATCATGCGTTATAATGTTGATATTCGGCTCCGGAAGCAAAGAGCTCTGGGTAGCAACATAGAGGCGAGGTTTTAATATGGCTGCGAGATCTCCAAAATGTATTTCTTTCGGTTGATCTTAACATAATAATCAGGAATATCAACAATTTTCCCTCTTCCGTCTCTATGATTTCGGAGAGATGCAGAGTGAGAGTGATTCCGACAATGAGTTCTTCGATGCTGCAGAAAAACTTAATTTATCTGAGTCTTTCTCTTCAGATTCGAGGTAAGGAGACTTTACGTAGCTTGAATGCTAATATTTTTTTCCTACGTAGATTCCAACTCGTACAAAAGTACTTCGTTTCATCGTCATTCATGGAAATTTCTGTGTTAATTATTCTGTTTGTAGCAAGGGATAATTATTATTCATACGCTTACATTTGTCTGTGCGCGATTTACTTTCAGTTTGTTGCAAAACAACATTCTTCTGGGAATTTTAACATTTTATAAGCGGTTAAATCTTTCCTGCTTTTCTCAGCTTTTAGTTTTCTTCAGCTTTTGTTTTGTTCTTTTCCAGAGGGCCAAAGGATGAAGAGACCGCACAAAAGGTAACTTTGTTTACCTGCATTTTAACTGTGCACATGTGCCACATAATCAGCACGAAATTTTAACGCACTTTGAACAGGACGAACACCTGTCATCACTCTATGATATTTAATCCAAATAATCCATTCATTGGGTTTTTAATCGTTGCTTTTATTTTTAATGGTGGCTTCTGCCCGTGACTGTAGGTTTTCTCTTGTGTCTCTTGTATGGACTTGTGGCGTTGTGTTTCGGGAATACAATCAACGTCAAATAAATTTTCTTTAGCTACTGTCATTTTTCTAACAAAGGTAAACGGCGTCAATTTAATCTTAAATTCTTATGTTTGATTAAATGCGAAATGTTTATTTTTTGCAACTTACACAACATATTCTGTGGGTTTTGCAGATGAGATAATTTTCCGGCATTTGAATATGCCTGAATTATTCTCATTGCAAATGAAGTTATGAAAAGTGATGCAAGACTGCAAATGAGAATATGCAAGTAAATATAGAGATATGAATGACAATGGATTTTCCACACAGGAACATACATGCACATTTTTGTTATATTTTTCTGTTGTTTATTTGGTGTTAGTAACTGTGTTAACGGTTAACAAATTCATATGTGGTAACTTGGAGGAGAGATTGAAGTAAGTATTTGGGCACTGAAAATATACTTAGGAGTATCATTTTGCCAAAATTTGGAAATATGGAATTAAAGGAATAATTTTGATGCTAATTCATGGCAGAATTTTAGAAACAGGAGGTCCAGGGAATTTTTTTTAACAAGCAGCACACTCAATAAGCCAGCAAGCCTTGTCTAGCTACTGGCCAGAAAATTAGATTTTAAGTTTCTACTATAAAATATAGTAGAAAATAAATATAGAAGTGCTATGCCAATATTTTTTTGATTTCTTGTAGGATGTAGTGGATGGACTATTTAGAAATCATTCAACTGATATTTCTTTGAAAGACCAGACTCCAGGAGAGGACTCAGTTCAGGCAGAAAGTTCTGTGGTTGAGCAAACAAAAGAGGCAGACATTATCAAAACTCATGGAGAGAGCACTGCTTTCCATCAGTCAACCAGTGATTTGGGCAACCGAGAAGAAACCAGTGATGCATCTTTACCTTTTGACATGACTCATAATGATTGTAAACTTGACCCAGAAATAACAGATCCAAATAGTTCAACAGACTTTCACAATGTAGCTCAGGCTTGTTTAGGTGAAAGGGAAGTACAAAGTGACAAAATGGTGACAAAGGAGACAACTGAAAGCACTGTCACAAAGGAGAGTGTAGGGTCTAATGCTACTGTTGTGAAAAAGACAGAATTTGCAAAAAGCAAAACAGATGCCAGTCAGATTGTTGCTGATGTTGTTGAGAGTATAGAACAGGAAAGTGCACCTCCTGTAGCTCCTCCCAGAAGACGGAAGAAAAAGAAGAAAGCTTCCATAGGAGACCAGGTGAGTTTACAAAAGATGTGTAATGGATGATGTAATAGAAGTTAAGTATCCTGAAGTCAGAATCACAGGTTTTCTTTCTACAAACACAACCTTCTGTAATTCTCCCACAACTTTTCTAAGAAAAAAAGACTTGCTCCAAAGTGACATGATTGACTACACTCACTTGCAGTGTTAATCAAAACTCATCTACATTCCAGCCTCATCTCTGACAATAGCTTGAGTTTGGGAGACAGGGTGGTGGTGATGACCGGTGTGCTAGTCTCAATCTTTACATCAAAATGTCCAAGTCTGGAAGCCTTACTCAGGGGTCATTGTGGTGTGTTCTAAGAACACACCACGATGCACAATGCCCTAAGAGTGACCAGCATCTAATTTCTCCTTACAATATCACCTCTGAACCAAACTTTAAGGTACCAAGAATTAAGGAAATGATCATCAACTAAATAAAGCTCTTAGTTGTTAAAAAATTCCTCCTTGTCACCACCATAGGAACTGTACAGGGAACAGTATGAAGATTACACATACTGATGTCAGGTTATAAAGGGTGAGGAAGAAAGTGATAGCCTCATGTCAGCTATACCTCTCTAATCCTTTAAGGTTGCATAGTAGAAATATCTATTCAAAATATTTTCCAAGTTCAACAGAAGTTATTCCTGGAGCTGAAAGCCCACAGTGTTGACTTCCTCTTTATTACCTTTTAGAAACCAGGGTCACCTACACCTTCAGAAAGCACTGGGCCAGACTCTGCTGTTTCTACACCTACAGAACCAGAAACACATATTCCTGCAAGAGTGTTTGCCAAAGCAGTTCTCTCTAATGAACAGGATAGCACAACAAAAGAATTTGAATCCCAAACTACTGGATCTAATCAAGACAATCTTATCATTCATGTTGATGCAAATAACAAGGAGATGAAAACTGTGTTAGACAGAACAAGTTCAACAGAAGTTATTCCTGCATTGACTTTAGATTCCAGACTGAAATCCGACAGTGTGGCCTCCATTAATAGTGCAAAATCAGATAGCTATGGAAGTGTTGCAAGTAATTTATCAAATGGTATTTCTGAAAAAGCAGGTTCATTCACTTCTGTTGCTAGTAGTTTTTCAGTTCATCAACCATTTGGATCTCACCATGGTTTAGTCCGATACAGATCAGCTTCAGGAAGACCCTTGTCTGATATTGTAAGTACACTCTGACTTCTTGCACACAACTGATACCATCACACAGGGTTTGAGATTATGACTGACACAGGTACCAATAGGACTTACATTTTCTTACTACAGACTAAAAGTTCTGGCCTCATCACCACTTTGGTTACAAATTTTTGTATATTTTATATCAAAAGTTAAACTAGTCAAGTTTAAAAGTACATCATATATACTTAGTAGTTGTCTATTTTTATTTCCATCTATTAGGGTTTTCTGTTTTTAAGGAGTCACTTTTAAATTTTAATATCTTTCATTAAGATTGGTATTAGATATTTTGAATTAATTTTGTGGTCCTAAGCTTAAAAATATCCAGTTCCCCAGTGTAAGACATTGTGCAACACCCAAAGCAGGTATTACATGAGAGTTTTAGTCTTCTCACTTAAATGTCTCCTCCACCATGGTCTCTATTTAATCACTCAAGCTTCTAAGTGTGTTGTAATTTTTTGTAGGAAATTTTAGAACAAGTGATGGTAAAAAACCTTGACACTGGTGAAGCTGTACCACTGAGTGTAGCAGAGGAAAAATTACCAAAATGTACCAACCCTTTGGCTTTACAGATCATGAGATTAACATCTGAATATTCAAGGTAACTTTACCCTCTAACCCCTAAGAGTGACTAGTATTTAATTTCTGCCTACAATATAACCCCTAGATTCAAACATTCAAGTTATGAGAATAAAGGAGATGATCACCAACTAAAGAAGGTCTTGATTATTAAACAAATTCTCCTTGTCAGCTGCTTTGGAAATGTGATAGGAACAGCATGAGAATATGCAAGTTGATATGCATGTTCAGGTGTAAAAAGGTTAATGACTACAGAGCACTGCTTTGTTTTGTAGCCTATTTCGAAGATTGCAGGGTTGCCGTTATTGAGGAGGAAGGTTTAAGCATGAGACTAAACATTTTGATGAAAAATACCTTCCCTGATACATGTTGTATCTCTCTACTTTCCCTGTAAATGTTGAGTGCTCTTACTGATATTTATTTACTCATAATTTTTTCAGCAATCCAGACCTTGCAAACCAAGATAATGAGGATGGACTGGAACGAAAAGCTGCAAAGAAGACGTAAGCTATTACCACTGTTTTTCTATTTTCAATTGTTAATCATTTTTAAGTTACTATGATTCAATTTTAGAGGCCAACGAATAAGTTTATGATTATTTCTCATAGGAAAAAACTGAAGAAATTTTTTGGGAAAAAAGCAAAGAAGCCTGATAAACCTGCAAAAGGTTTGTCTGTCATTGTATTGGTTCAGGAATAAGAAAACTTTCTATTGGTGTACTGGTGTAAAAACCCACATGGGATGTTGGGAGAACACTCGAAAAATCCTCCAACATCCCACAAGGGATATTATATTGGTAAACCTGTGGAAAGTGCAGTCTATTGCTTTTAAGGTATTCTACTCCAGTGCAAGGAGCTTTTGCTCAAATTACAGTTTAGGTCAAACCTATCATAACTTGAACTTGATGAGATGGTAAAAGTAAAGTGACAAAGCCTGTTCCTTTGTTGGATTTAGGATAGTGAGAGGTCTTAACCCCTTTTTGTACCACTAATAAGTACTTATAGGAGTTTTTGAAATCTTACCAAAAGATGCTAACAAATAGAAAAAAAAATTCATCATCTTTGAAAAAGATGTTAAATATCTGTGTAAAAGTGTTGCCAGTCAATCTGTACCTCATGTTATTATGATTACATTTTAGCTCGCAAAGAAGATAGTTCCTCCAGTGATGAAGAAACTCCTCAGGACTCTCCAGCTCCTCTCATCAAGGTCAGCTGTAGCTTTAAGTATATATTTAGATTACCTGTTAGTTCCATGTTGTTAGTTCCATTATGTAGAGTGTTACCTGTATGAGGGTGGTGGGACATGTGACTGTTAATTCTAATGCAAAGCAGGGGTATGGATATGATTCTTGTGTTGTTTGGGCTGATTTTTTTGTTTTGTATCTTTGTGTAATGGTGTTCTCCAGGGTCTCTAGTTTCCTCCCATTACAAAAACAAACACTGCAAATTCCAACTGAAACAGGTTAAGGGTTACCTTATGAGCAACTCACTGCTGAATTCCAAATTAATATTTAGTTTCCAATTTTTCTTTCTCAATTTAAATGTTGCCTCTTCTTAAGTACATTGTACCTGCTTGAGCACCTGTATGGGAAACCACCTAATACATTTTCCCATGTCATAGCTGGCTTTCTTTTTTATCTACACTTTTTAGGTGTATCTCTCATTGTTATCAAAATGCCCTGTGTGTTAATCTTAATTTCACCTTATTTTTCATAGATAAAATCTGGTCATGGTAAAGGTCCACCTGAGTTTGAAAAGTTGAGAATTTTGCAGGATCTTAGTGGGGAGCATGTGGTATGTAAACTATATTACATTGCAACTTTAAATAAAGAAACATTAGTTCTTAATTTTTCACATTAGGTCTTTTAGTGGGGATTTAAGGTGATTAAGTTAAAAAGACCATGGTGCCCAGTGCTTATAACAGGTATCTGTTGATTGGAGTGGCAGGGAGTTTATCAACTCCTTGTGAATGGGATTCTTTTTCATGGCTGGTACCACTTGGACTCTCACTTTGACAGAATTTCTCCTTACTATCAAGCAGAGAAGCAATGAGAATTAAGAAAGGTATAAATTAGAGGATAATTTATTGATCCAATACCAAATTCTCCAACTGCATAACAAGCAGTAAGGAGGATTACCAATTAGATCTTGAGAGTGAATGGGGTAACCCTTAAGTATTTTTTCACGTTACCCTGTTAGTTTGGGTACCATGTGTGGAGAGAAGCTTCCCAAGAGTAAATTGCCTTTCCCAGGAACACAACACCCCCTTCCTGAACCTAGGATGCTTACCAATGTGTTTGCTGGTTAAATTGAGCAACATTTTATTTATTTGGTTTGTTATTATTCTTATATTTTTTTATTAGGGAGCTGTGTGGACAATTAAGTTTACTCTCTGTGGCAGACTTATGGTAAGCTAATCTCCTTCTGTACCATGCTGGAGGTGAACATGATAGAAATTCTCTTTTACAGGCTAATTCTGTTTTTTCTTTCTCATAATTTGTTCTTATTTTGCACCTGTAGGCTACAGCTGGTCAGGATCATATGGTGGTAAGCAAAAAAAGTTTTATTGGCACTAATTCTCTTGACTCTACCACTCCCAAGATTGAATTTTAGTGTTTAATTCCCCTGTCAACATGTAGCTGCTTGTTATTTCCTTTTGGATCAATAAAAGAATTCATGTTGTTAGTTTTTGTGGTATTTCTTGTACTCACTTCACTGGTTGTATAATTGTTTTTGAGAATTCAAACCTTGGCTTTCTTTGTGTTAATGTGTAGAGAGTTTGGGTGCTTAAGGAATCTCAAGGTTATTTTGAAGAAATGAGAGCAAAATATTCAAAAACAGGTAAGATTGCATTACATGGGATAAGCTAAATAGTAAAGAATTTTGTAACTTATCTAAAGTTTTTTTTGCTAGCAGATAAAGGAGTACTTGAATGAGTATTACAGTATTATGGTGTGAGTTGCTTTTTCATTTGCACTCTGCTTGGTATTTGTATTTTGGAGGTCTCAAATTATTGTGTATAAGGAAATCTTGAACATTGGAGAAATTTTTTAAAACATTGCTTGGATACAGTGTCTATCTTTCAGTTCAATTAAGTTGGGCCCGAATGAGACTTAATTTAAAGAGGATGACATGCAACAGCCAATAACCCTGTAACCCTGTTTGTTTTTTGCTAGCTTGTTTGTTTGTTTAATAAATATATTTATTTTTTAAGGTGATAATTCATCATCAGAACAAGAACCAAATTCAGAAGAATACTCACAAATGGAGGAAACTTTAAAAGGAGGTGAAGAAAACACAGGAGATGCTGTGGAGGGGCAAACAGAAACCAGTGAAGCCAGTGAAGTTAGTTCCTCTTTTTCATTTTGAAACCAATTTTTTTTGTTTCTTTGGTAAACATTGTAGTAAAAAGTAATGACAGATAACTCCCTTGTGAAATTGAAAACTTGTTCTTAAGTAGCCATGTGTGATTGTTTTAGGAGCCTGTTGCAGAAGCCCCTGTTGAAGAGGATCTGGGCCCATATATGAAAACACCTCTGTGTACTTATTGTGGGCACACTGGAGATGTTCTTGATTTGTCTTGGTCAAAGGTATGAAGAAAAAAATTAATTTTTTTTTATTATTTATTGGGGAGCAGACGTGATCACTTGCTTATTTTTACTCATCATTTTGTTAATTTTTCTGACAGAACTACTTTCTTTTGTCCTCCTCAATGGATAAGACTGTAAGGTGAGCACATTAAATTTGATAGACGGAGCCATGTATGGCACCAGTTTTCTCCGTCAGATTACTTGTTACATTTTCATTTCTTTCCTGTGTATTTTTATAATTATTATCAGGAGAATTATTCTGTTTACCTGGGGAGGGGGGGGGGGGAGAAGGGGGCACAAAATATTTTGAGAGATTTGAAGAACTCAAATGATCAAAGGGCAGATTACAAGATTTTTAATATTTGTTATTGCAGGTTATGGCACATCTCCAGATCTGAATGTCTATGCTGTTTTCAACATATAGACTTCGTGACAGCTATTTGTTTTCATCCAAGGGTAAGTAACTGCTAACTGCTATGGTGAAAACGAAGAGAGTGTGTGAGGGGAAGGAAGGAAGGGTTTTTTTCCTTTTTTTTTTTCAAATCTGCCGTCGATGAAACATTTTGATTTGTTATTGAGAGAACAACACCATGAAACACTACTTGCATTTGGCGATTTTTCAGACTTAATACTAGTTTGGAATGATGTTATTTTTTGCTTCAGGATGATCGGTATTTCTTAAGTGGTTCACTCGACGGGAAAATTCGTTTGTGGAACATACCAGATAAGAAGGTAGCATTGTGGAATGAAGTTGAAGGAACTGGTAATTACCTTCATTTCTACTCTTGATGTCTGTTTTCAACTATTATTTTTTCGATAGCGCTTTTTGGTGGCAATTTGTATTGAATGAAATGTCACCCAAACGAGCAAATTTAGACTGACGAGAAGTCCCTCCTTTTCATTGAGGTCCGTCGCCAAAGAATAAAAAGAAATTAGTGAAAAAAAAAATTGATGTCAGCGCGTCACGTGGTTCTCTGGTTGTGCGCACTCCCAGAGTTCCGCGGGCCGGGCGACGGACAACGCCGAAAAGGAGGGACTGCTAAGAAAATTATGTGTTTACTCCGAAATTGCAGCAGCATCTCTACTTATTTACGTTCGTTCCTATTTTTCTTGATAGGGAGTAACCTAATTACTGCTGCAAATTTTTGTTTGAATGGCAAATTTGCTGTAGTTGGTACGTACGATGGACGATGTATCTTTTATGAAACAGAGGTAAGGCCCGTATCGCTTTGTATTTAAGAATCTAGGACTCGAAAATTGACGCTTTATTCCAGGTTTCCCCTTAGGAAAATATATCCGCACTTTGTCTTCGTAACAAAGAGCTAAGCCACAGTCCGCCCAGCCTTAAATGATTTAGCCTCATTGTGTCAAGTTTTGTCATTATCTCCGTCCTTTGCCATCCTTGGTCATTTTTTGCTTATTGTTGTTTCTGTTGTGTTTTTCTATCTCACCAAATTTACAATCCGTGTCAATCTTCTCCATCCTCAGCGATCCTTTTTTCTTTGTTAGTTTTTGTGGCCTCTTTTGTGTTTTTTCTTATCTTTCCAACTAATATTTTTTTGTTACTTACAATCCTTGTTAATCTTCATCTTAAACCAATCTGGCTCCTTTCCAAATTTCTTGTTGTTTCAGCACCCCTCTTTTCCTTCTTTTTTTAATAACTTTTCCTTCCTTTTTTATAACTTTTCAAGAATTTCAAGTTTGGCATAGTTTTTAATTTTATGATAATTCTCGTTTTACAGCGACTCAAATATCATACACAGTGGCAAGTGCGAGCTGCCAGAAACAAGAAGGCTCGCGGCAGAAAGATTAGCGGTATTGAACCCATGCCAGGAGAAGATAAGGTCATTACAGTTTTATTAATTCCACTTAAGTACATTTTGAGTTAGTGTCAAACGTCAGCTGGGATTGCTAAATGGTTTCACTTCACTTCGCTCTGTGATTGGTTTGGAAAACTCGCGCCGGCCTTCAACAAATCAGATGCAAAACTTAAGCTAAGCGCGACTTGGTACTTCGCATTTTTCCACCCTTTGGTAAATGTATTTGTATTTGATAATACACTTCCAGTTCTCATTAGGTGCTTGCGATGTAATCATTGTTCTCAGAGGCCATCGTGACAATCTTCAAACAGCGCTCGATGGGATATGATTTAACGTCTTGGGAAGTTTTCAAATAAATATACATGGTTTTTCTTGTTTCCTCTTCAGGTTCTTATCACATCAAATGATTCAAGAATAAGACTTTACGATCTCAAGGACAATTCTCTGAACTGCAAGTACAAAGGTTGTGTAAATACCAGCAGTCAGATCAAGGCGGGTTTCAGGTAACAAACGCAGGAATTTTTTCATGTACGCACAATTGTGTTAATCTTGTTCAGCCGGAAAAAACTAATGAAAGGAAATACAAACAAAGAAAGCAGCGAAATCAGAGGAACTCTTGTGTAATAAAAATTAAAGAAAAGGAATAATCCTTGGTGTAACTGTTCTTCTTATCTGGTCACTCAACTGCATTAGCCAATGAAAAAAGCGTAAAACATGTCATAAATGACATTAAGAGCTAATAAAAATAAATTTAAAGCACGTCAGCAGCGTCAAACTTTAAGAAAGGGGGTGGGGGAGGGGAAAGGGATCATGGCTATGTCCAACAGAAAATGTTTTGAGATGAGTAAACTTTGTGTATAGACGAATTGAAAAGTCGGTAAAGCTGAACTAAAATATTTCAGGAATATCCGACACAGCTAAATAATAACCTTTCGTGATAATTCACCGTCAAATATTCAGGAGAAACCCAATGAAGAATGTACGGCATACAGGGAAAACAATTTACTGATTTCTTGTTCTATATTTTGTAGCCATGACGGTCAGTATGTCATTTGTGGCTCAGAGGATCATTTCGTTTACATCTGGAGAACTCAACACGGATTTCCTTCCTCCAGGCGGGACAAAAACGAGTTTTATGAGAGCTTTTCAGGTGAGACAAAACTGTTGAATGTTAAGAATCTTTTCACGTGTAAAATATTCCGCTGATGAAGACCAACTCTTATTCAATAATGAATAAAACGACTTTTTTGAACGTAACGTTTGAGCTGTGAGACCAAGTGTTGGGGATCATAGCTACAAACAATCACAAATTCCAAGGGCCTCTTCAAGTCTTAAATTTTTATGAATTAAAGTTTGAATCAAGAAGAAAAACGTTTTACTTTTTAACGCAAAACCGCGTTGTTGAGCGCATTTTCAATCAAATTTACCACCAATGAAGTACTTCATTGACACTGTCTACAAATTGCCAACGAACCATTACATGCAGTATCCGCTGAAACTGTCCACTCTTATCTTTTTTTTTCCCAAGCCCACGCGGTTGTGGTGACGGCAGCAATGTTTGCCCCAGTTCCCTGGCTAATCGTTCCTCCAGACTCGAGCGTTCATCAAACCACGACAGAGGTACTTGTGACCGCTGACTGGAGCGGTGCCATCAAATTGTTTGTGAACAGATGACACGCAGCTGCCCTTATTTGGAATATCGGTGGAAACTGTTTAGCTGGTCTGGAAAGTCCTCGTCACGTGGTTATTCAAATTCTCTGTCTAACATGATGGTCTACCCAGATTGTGAACGGGAATTACGTGACAATTTTCTTTGCGTATCCTAGACGAACACCAGTGTACAGTGATGTGGTATCATTTGCAGTTTATTCTGCACTCGTTCTCAGTTTTCTCTCTCTGGCACGCGGCACGGTAGTACGTTGGGTGATGGGAAGAGGACTGAGAGAGATGACTTCCATCTCACTTTCTGTGGCTGTCACCCTACCCGTCGTGCCTCGCGCTCCCCTGCTGATCCTGTTGGCCGCCGTTGCTATAAAGACTTAGAAAAACATAGGCTTTATTCGGTCACTTTTCCGTGAAAGCAAACAGATGAAATATTTGAATACAATAATATACTCAAGATCCAGTAAACTCATTCAAGTAATGAATCAATTCTTTTTTGTTTGCTGGACTTGAGCTGTTGCACTACTCGTGCCAAATTCGCCAAGAGAAAGGGATAAGTCCTCCAATATCCAGGCTACTTAAGTCTCAGTCGAAAAATTGTAAACAGACTTGAATATAAAGCAATCGAGTGAAAAGCTCTCTTTTTTAAGCTGTGGAAATTTAAAAATTTTAATTTGCCTATCAATCGACAGAGTTTTTTTTATTTGGTTAAATATTTTTCCAGGTGGATTCTGACAGTCGATTGGGGACGTAAGTTATTTAAAATTTCAATACAGATTCTAAAGCTATGATAATTAATGTTATTATAAACAAAGTGGTCCTAGCCGTAATATTAGACATATCAGATAATTTGTAATTCTATTTAAGAGTGAATTGGCAGGGAATCGAGTTTTAATTGAATTTTGATCTGTTATGTTTGTTTTCGTGTACGCGGGGAAATGAACCGTGTATCCCTGTGGTAGTTATCGTGATTAAATGCTCTCAGACATGAACGTGCTTTGAGCTGAGTGTCTTCTATGAATTGTATGGTAGTCTTGTGTACAATTTCAAATGTCTTAAATCCATTTCAAGCGGTGAAATTTTGATGATCTGAAAGGTACTGAACCCAATTCCTACAATTACGTACATGAAAAGATCGACATTTAAATCGTTGACGGTTTTCATATCTTATTTGGGTCGACCCAAGAATTACGTCCTAGTTGTTTAACATGGGAGGGTCGACTGGAAAACGACTCAACTTCAAACGTCCAACTTTTTATGTCCTGAAGATAGCCCATGAATAGGTATAATTTATTTTTGTTCTTCAAAGTTCCTTCGTCCCATTAAAGAGTATGTTAAACTGATTAAATTCGTTAACTTTCATTATTGGGTCCACTCAATGGTAAATTTGAGATCGATTTATGAAAATTTTGGCGTTTGATCTAACTGGTGTAACTGGCATACAAAAAGGTGTTACTGACTTGTCTAACTAAGGTCGTGTTCTTAACACGAGAATCTCCTGCAACTCGCGTTTTCCTACCGCGTCGTGAAATCGACTGGGAACAGGTCATCTTACTTGTGAGCAGTGGTTTCACAGTCATACCAAGACGGTCATAAGAACACGCTGGTGACCCTGATGTGTGATTGTTATTCAGTGATCTAATTGACAGCAAGGCGTTTTCAACTGTTTTAGCGGGAGCGAATGCCTGTTAATATCTGCATACTATGGAGGTAGGCTATGCACAGCAATGAAGCCTTACGAAATTGCCATTTTCTTTTGCCTATCTGTTGCATGTCTTGCATTAAGAAGTCGCGATGGTCCTAACCGGGCCTGGTTTGAGCACTAGTACCGTCATTTGTTTCGTCTTCTCTTCTCCAAGACAATTTGGTCTCGACAGAGAAACAGGAATAAACTATTGATCATAACTTATCAAGACGTACCTACCGTAACATATTGCGCTTGAAATTCGTTCATAACCCAGCTACGGCTTAAAAGCATGCAAAAAAAAGTTAAATCCCAAATGCACCAGATGAGAGCAATGATCCTAATGCGTTATATTTTCAGAAGCGTACATCTGTAAGTAATAGTTACTCCATGGTGCTGAGAGTTCCTTCATGTGCACTGCGCTAGTAACATTCGCCCTCAGTTTGGGGTTAAACGCTCCTTTTTCGATATCAACGTCTGAAATACAAACATAACATCAATCTGTTAGTTCTCCTTGGGAAACGGCGTTTTAATTCGGCAAGTTTTCGATGTGACGCGGCCGCAGGTGTTGCTGGCCAGTGTATTCGCATAATGGTAAATTTTGGCCCACGAGATATTGGCCTGGAGAAGAATGGGGAGGATATGAAGGGGTTCTGGCAACCGTACCGTCATTTGGGTGAATATAGAACAAAAGTGACAAGATGGTAACAAGTACCACTGATTCAACAAAAACGACAACAACAACAGAGGAGGTCAGTTAAGTAAGTAGCAAATTCCATTGTACTTGGGAAAATTTTCCGCATGTTCGCAAGCCATCGCTAAACTGAAAGCGAAAACTTTATACAATCAGCATTCTTCTTTGGCCTGTCATTTCTTGTCCAGGAGAAACCAGTTACCTCTTTTATAACAATTGCTTTAGATGGATTATTTTTGAAATACGCTTTATATGAAAAATTGAGGCTCCTTACTTGAACATCTCCTGATATGTATTCGTATATATATGGAAAAAATCTCTATTAGAAGAAAATAAAATGCAAAAATAAAGTGGATAAGATACAGACCATCTGGTGTAGTTCTCTTCTTTATGCAAGTATTCCTCAGGGAACCAATCAACAGGAAGGTGACAAGAATACCAGCAAAGGCCAGTAAAATGTAGTTGAAGGGTTCCACTCCGTCCTTGGATGACCTTTGCTTCATATCATATCGGTATTTTCCATGGCTGTACTTTTCAAAACAGGAAAACTGAGAAGAAAAGAATACACAAAGGTATCTGAATTATCGATCTTCAGAATTTCTACGTCTAACATAATTTATATTATACTTCTTCACAGCGAGATGCAGCTATGAGTATGGCATCTCAACGTGAACTCAATTTCAGTTCACAGAAGTTTATTATTCTGAATTCGTTAAGTCTCCCTTTCTACCTGAAAATTGATTGTTACAAATCGAAAATTCGCAGTAAATAAACCGGCCTGGGATGGAACTCTCTTACTCGGTCGGCTTGGATTCTAACGCCGCACATATCAAGAGTACCTGATGATTCATCCCCTTTTTACAATACAAGTTTTTGTTCTTCTGATCCCTAGCTGAACAGGATAAATATTAATACGGGTTACATGATGGGTTAACTTTATTGGCGGCCTGTGTTGATGAACATAAAAAATCGCGGGGCAATGGGAAGACCACTCGACCGCAGGTGAATTTAATCACCCGGAAATGTGACATCCTAGAAATGAGATTCCGTAATCAAGTCAACCATGACGATTTACAAGAATCTTCATCCTCGCAACAATGGATACGCCAAGCAATTTTAGCCTATCACCACGATCGAAGCATAAAATACTTAGCGTATTTGAGTTGTTTACAAACCTGCCAATCCTCTTCTTCATAGTCATAGCCGTAATCATCCATCTGTCCTGTTGCCCTTTCTCCGTACGTCCATGCCTCAGCTCGCCCTTGTAAACAATTTCCAATATCTTCGTATCCCTTTTTTGCCGCAAAACCCACCCTGACGCTCAAATATTCTATCGATTCGTCGACTATCGTCAAACGAGAAAATTGTTTTTTCATTTCCTTGGTACCACAGTCGAACAGCCATATTTTATCCACGCTACCATCCATCAGGCCGTTTAGGAGTTCGCGTTCTGTGGGATATTCTGTTTTGAAATCAACCGGAGTGAAAGAAGTATTTTTGTTGATATAAAACATACCCTTATCATTTAATTACCTTACATCTGATGATTGCTAGTACCAGTCCTCTTATCACGTGCCATCCCGTTAGCGGGGATGACCCAGCGAATCCCTCCAGCATATGCACAACAAATGTTGCAACCCCCTCCCACCCCCCTCCTACGGATTTTTTTTAGAAAAAGCAATACTTGCCCCTCCTCTCGGAGATAAAATTAATATCCTAGATGTCTGCTTTGTTTGGGTTCCGTCTGATTCAGTACTTCTCAAATCGTTTGTAGGACTTAAGGTTTCTGATCTACATTGTTTGTTGTTACAATATTGTGATGGAGAGAAATAGCTAAGGACGCATCTCAAAATAAAAAGAATCACACAGACTTAAAGTGCCTGATCCAAGGATTGACCTAGGAATGATCATTATTAAGAGACCTTTAATGAGCTGTCCGCTGAGCTTACGCAATGCAATAAGCAGCGCTTAAAGGGAGGTGGTAACGGAGATTCTTACTGTATTAAGCAGCAATGGAGTGCCACTAAGCCAATCCAAAAACGGCAACAATAACAACATAAACAAAGATAAAACAGGAAAAAAAATGGAGTTTTGAAGTCGACGCACCTGTGATGTTGGTTCCATGGTTGTATTTCTCAAAGAGTTTTCTACTTCCCAAGGGAATACCAACCTGTGACGAATTCCGTCAATACACAACTATTACTCACAGCTAATCTCGTAACTAGATCCTACTATGTAATTTAACTGAAATGTATGTTGGTTGTGGAAGGTCTGGTTACGAGACTAATTCATAATATCACTTTCCTAGCGCTTGGTGTTTCTAACCAAGGTTCAAAGACTGATGTGATATGCACCATTGAGTATCGGTAAATATACTATCAGGGGTTGAGAGCCCGGAGGGGGGATGAAGAAGAAGTTAAGAGTTTCACCTCTATATTTCAAGTCGGTTAGACAAGATGGGAAAATACAAAAGAGTTGATAACAAACTAACTAGGAAAACGAATAGTGATAATAATGACAATTAGACTTGAAAGAACAACAACACCCATAATGGCGAATTATATCGATCGTAAAATGGAATGTAAAATGTTCTACAAATTTTCTTTGCCAGTCTGAGGACGAAATCACAGACGTATGGAAGTCGATTGCTATAGGCCATGAATGTTCTTTCGTTAGCGAATGAGATTCCAACATCTCTCATGACGCACGAAATTTGAATGTCATGAAAAAAATTATCAAACGCTGTTTCATACCTTAGATCCAAACACATCATTAAGGGGACGAAGTCCATCAGCAGTGATGGACGAGGAGATTTGGGCTGTAATGGTTGACATCAACAGCATTCCGATGATCATCCACAATGAAGCATACATCCGAGCCAGCGATGATTTAGGAGCTTTGTCACCATAGCTACCATGTCAGTGATGAAAAAAAAATACAAACAGAGTGTTATTTTTCATATACATTATTTATGTTAAAATAACTAGACTATGCACACTTAATTTCAATCCGTGATAGTTTACTCGGGCCTCGCCATCATCGACCATCACATTAAAGAAATCTCGAGCTCACACACCTGTACATGTAATAATCAATTTGTTAATTATAAAATGTTGTCATGATAAGTCGGCTACATTGTATGGCAAGAGAGAGTATCATGCAAAATTAAAGTTTGCAGTCTCTTACCCGACTGTTGTCATGGTAACCACTGCCCACCACAATCCGTCTTGAACACCTCTCCAAAACGAGTCTGGAAAATGACCTGAATTTGCTCTGTGATCCTGTGAAAAGGTTAATTGTTGTTGAAACTAAAGAACAGTGACAACTGTTATGCGCAGGTGGCGACAAAGATCGAAATACGCTCTCAAAGGACACGCGATACTTATTTAAGTCTTCTTTTACGAACTGAACAAATTCCTGTTTCAAATTGATGAATCTGAGAAATAAGTGAGCAACGCATGAAAGTAATGCAGTACAGAGTATGAACAACCTCCAGTGAGCTGATGAAATCTCCGCAGAAATTTTATGCATTACACGAGGTTTGAATATAAATATGTCGATATTCTGTTGATAATGTCGTCAGTTTTGGTCTGTGTTCCAAAACTGTTTTTGAAGTGAGGCGACAGGTGCCGTAAAGAATTTGTATAGGATATGATGATTAACTCATGAAGCAATTTTTTGTTTTTTCTTTGCTTCGTTTGGACTATTTAGATTAAGTCGCTATTTTCCTCTTTACTGATACCAGTCGTTTCGAGAAATGGGAAACTTGCCTGTTAAACTTTTTTCATACATATCAATTGACTTTTATTTTGTCGCTGCCACTTTTATGGTACATTTCTTAGTTTTCCTCCGTAATGATTCCGGAGATGAAGATCTTTGAACAAAGCTTGAATTTAACAACTGTCAGTGACATGACGCATCCTTCAAACTTTCCAGTTTGAAGCAAAGACAGTTAACATATTCAAATAGATTAGATTAGATTTTGTTCATGTGGATTACAATTTCTCTTTCAACTCCCTGAAATATTATACCGCTGTCAGTGCAATCATAAAGTTTCAGATGGAAAGGTATACTAATCATTGTCAGTATCAGAAAAAAGAAAAAAAACCATCCTTAATATCCCCATGAATGTTGAGTCGATTCAACACCAACCTTTGCCATTCGTATAATTCAGACGATCAACTTTTGTAAGGATACAAAAAGACTTCGGAATACCTACCAAAAACCAAATGACAATTCCTGACAGCATGGCAGCTATTATGCAAAGAACAAGAAGTTTCCATATTTGTGCAAATGCGTGAACGATTTGTCGGCCGGTGGTAAACGATTCTTCTTTGATGACCAATACAGAAGAGAACTCCCTTTCTAAGAGTGTAGCATTTGAAGAGCAAGAAAAGAGTGGAAATGTTACATTTACAATTGGACCGTTACAACCAGTGGTTTCATTGACTTTTGAATAATTTGAAAGGCAGTCTTCTATGATCTCATTCACTGTGTTGTTCCACTCAGACTGCTTATGTCTCGCAAAAAAATCCCCAATCCAGTTGAAGCTCACACAACCATCGATTGAAGCATTTTGATCTTTCGATGGATGAGCCACTTTGACCTGTGTGATGATTAAAACGAAGAGAAAACACTTGCACGACATTTTGGTGCAGGAGACAACCCGCACGTTCTGTTGGTTCTTGGAGGCAGTAATATTTACGAACCAGTTGAGGCAAAGCGTTTATCAATAGCACCTTGTCATGTCACCGACAGATGTTTCAAGGAAACTTTTTTTAATTGCAGGCACTCAAAGAATCGTGGCGGGAAACCTTCAGAATGAGAAACTTTCGGATGAATATGACAATATGGTAACAAAATATTAATATTGTGTCAGAAACTCCCGGGGGGCATTTCCATATCATAGTGGGGCATTTCCATTTTAGGTCTTGATAATGAGTGTCTTTTATGAATTGTATTGCAGTCGTATGTACAACTTCAAATGTCTTAAACCCATTTCAAGCGGTGAAATGGCAATGATCTGAAAGGTACTGAACCCAATCCCTTCTATTACTCACATGAAAAGATCGACGTTTAAATCTTTGACGGTTTTCATATCTTATTTGGGTCGACCCAAGAATTACGTTAGAGTTGTTTAACATGGGAAAGTCGACTGGAAAATGACTTAACTTCAAACGTCCAACTTTTTATGTTCTGAAGATAACCCATGAATAGGTATAATTTATTTTTTTCTTTCGTCCTATTAAAGTGTATGTTAAACTGTTTAAATTTGTCAACCTTCATTATTGGGTCGACTCAATGAACTATTTCAGTTCTATACAGGAAACATTTGGCCTTCGATCTTTTAGTTTTGAATTAATCAATGAACTTTATTTATCGAAGGTGTATATAACAGAGTGTACTAGTACACTAATGGCTCTCAACAAATATTGTATTAAAAAACATCTATAAAACAGATTTAAGCTTTAAATTGTGAATTATTGTCAAACAAAGAGTTGTAATTGACTCGTCCAACTGAGGTCGTGTTCTTAACGCGCAAGTTACATTTAAGTTCGTTAGCCACGACTTACTTTTAAAGCGTGCAAAAAGAAAAAAATCTGCATTTCACCAGAGGGAACAAAGATTCTAATTGGTAATATTTTCAATAGTGTTCTGCTCTGTGTCATGGTGAAGTATCCGTGTTGAGAGTTCCTTCATAGGCACTGCGTCAGTAATACTCGCTCTCAGTTTGGTGTGAGACACTCCTTTCTCAATATCAACATCTGAAATAGAAATACAACAACGATCTGTCAGTTCTACTTGGGACTAGCGTTTAAATTGGGTGAGCTGAGGACGTCACACGCCCGCAGGTGTTGCTGGTAAATGTATTCGCATAATGGTAAATTTTGGCCCCGTCAGGGGAATTTTAATCACCACTGATGCATATTCAGACAACAGTCCTTCTCACGTACAGGCAGCCGATGGAGTAAGCAGAAAATTGCAGCGAAATATTGGAATTTTTTGTGAACCTGAGAAACTTCTCTGTGTTTGTTTGCAAGCCATCAGTAAACTGAACGCATAAATATAAATCATCAGCAGTATTCCTTGTCCTGTCGTTATTTTGTCGAGAAATCCAGCAACCTATCGTATGAAAATAGCTTTAGATCTATGGATTACTGTTGAAATAAGCTCTCAATAAAAATGTTCAGTCCCTTAATTTGAACATCTTTTGATACGGTATTCCTTTTAGTATGGGGAAAACCTCGGCTATAAGAATCTCAACAGAAAAAGAAATAATGTGGACCGGTACAGACCATCTGTTGTCGGTCTCCTCTTCCTGCACGCATTCCTCAGGGAACCAGTCAACAGGAAGATGACGAAAAGGCCAGCAGAGCTCATCAAAATGAAGTGGTGGGTTTTCACTCGGTCATTGGATGAGCCTTGTTTCATGTCATGTCGGTATTTTCCATGGCTGTACTCTTCAAAACAGGACAGCTGAAAAATGTACAGATATACCTAACTGATTGATCCAAATCGTACCTGATTTCAAAATTTTACGAGACAACAAACCTCTTGCTACTCATCGCGAACACTATGTTCACTACAGCTGACCCCACTCCCCTGCCCTTATTCGTCGATCAATTCCTTGAAATTAGAGATGAAATTTTCGGCGTATAACTTAAAAAGAATGCCTATTTGAAATTTGATCAGCTCAGCTTCCTCAACGCTCCCCCGAGAATTTTGATATGGGACCTGCTTGGATTTAAGACGTCGTCCGTGCCAAAAGTTTTTCATGCGAAGCATCTAATGCATGCTTTTTTTTTGGTACAATGTTGGTCTTCTGTCCTTAAACTGAAATGAGTATACATACCGATAAGGACTATTTGATTGGTTAGCTTTATTAGGGATTTGCATCGATGAACGTAGCAAATTGCGTCGTAAAAGAAAGACTGTGCCAATGCACGGGGGAAGGAGGGATTACTTCCCAGCTATAGGGTAATGAGGATGTGTCAGTGGATGAGGTGTCATTTTTATGACTGGTATGACTACATGGGTTTGTATTGTGACGAGAGTTACTAGAATGGGGTCGCATGTTTTCGGGATTCTTGGGGTAAGAAAATTCTGCTAAGTAGGGATTTAAAATGGGAAGACTCATGGCTAAAAAACTGTTACCGTATTACTAAAACTGAGTGAGAAGGGGTCTTTTATCTAGTTGTAGATACCCAGCAATATTTGACCCAAGTACCCCTTCAACTCCCACCAGGCACGATTGCCAGTGAATTTAATCACCCGAATTTCTGACAGGTTGGAAATCGAGTTCCTTAACCAAGTCCATCGTGGCGATCGACGAGATTCTCGATTCCTACTTTGATAGATATGCCAAGCCATTTGAGCAGATCTCCACTATCGAAATATAAAATTATCTAGCGTATTTCAATTGTTTTCAAACCTGCCAATCCTCGTATTCATCGTCAAGGTCGCAAAATTCCTCGTTCGCCCATGATTGCAAACATTCTTCAAGGTTTTCGTTTCCTTCTTCCACCGCAAAACCCACTCCGACGCTCAAATCAGTTTCCCACGCGTCAACTATTGTCAAAGGAGGAGACTGCCTTTTCATTTCCACAGTGCCACAGTCGAACAGAAATATTGCATCTACACTACCATCAATCAAGCCGTTTAGGAGTTCGCGTTCTGTGCGGTATTCTGCAAGAAATTCAACCAGGGTAAAAATGTATATTCTTGCTGACATCAAATGTACTCAAAAAGTTGAATTGTTTATTGGCAATTGCTGGTTCTAGTCCTCTAATCAGCAGAAAAATAACCCCGGGAAGCCTCCAGGGATTTGCGCAACGATCTTTTTAAATCCCTCCCACCTCCTATCACACGCACACACACACACACGCACGCACACACACACACACACACACACACACCCAAAGGAGCCCTATTTCACTGCTCTACGAAAAGCTACAATTGCGGTTATCACAGTGCTTCAATTCTCAAATCATATTGAGAATTAAGGCTTCTAGAATTCTTGCTTATTGATAATATGTACAAATTGGAGACAATAGATATAGGACTCATATCAGAATAAAATGGATTACGCACACTAAATGTCCCAGGTCTTGAATATACCTATCATTGAGAAATCTTAGAGAGTGTCTTTTGAGGGTGCGTAATACGGCGGCTAGTTTTGAAGAGTAATAGGGCTGAGACGCAGAAAACAAAAAACCGTTCTTGGGCCGCGTTCAAAGGGGAATGGTGCTTTTAGTGTATCGCTCAGCTGTGCGGCACCACGTAAACAATCGGCATGCAACAAAGATAAACATATAAACCATGAAAGAATCACAGGAGAAAAATGAGTGTTTAAGTTGGAAAACCTTTCACATCGGCTCCTTGGATCTTTTTCTCGAGGGGTTTTTTGCTTCCCAAGGGAGCACCAACCTGTAAAAAATTCACTCAAGACGTATTAGCTATTCACGGCATCAAATAGTCAATTTTACAGTTGCGAGCTTGGTTGCCAAGCCTTTGAACAGGAGTAAAGCTAAGGGTTATGATACAAACGTTGTTGCTTTTCAAATGTAAATTTCTTTACTATCATACTAACCAGATAATGACCTCTATCACAACAAGGTCACCTTTAGTCCCACTCCAAATCAAAGGCTTGGCGACTAAGCACAAATAACTGTGAAATGGGCTATTGCAAGCAATTCCATTTTCTAATTGAGGCTTTGGAGATTGATACAATAGGCGCGATTTAAACATTTGGTTTGGAGCAGACGAGAATTTACCAGACCTTTATAGCTTTATTTTTGAGTCTGCTGACAGTTCGGCAAGATATAGAAACAAGAGAGAAGTGATAGTAATCCAAGAAGGAACATCGATGCAAGGACTTAGAGGATTAAAACAGATCGTAAATGAAAGACTTGAATACTAATGAAGGCAATGTCTAAGGATGTACAAATTATGACGTAGTTCCCTTCGTAAATACTGTGAAATATGAAAAATTTCGACACTGAACTAATGAGGCAAGTAAAATAGGAAAAATTTCTTCATTTAAATTCAACTTCGTATTCTGAATTGGACAATTGTGACCATTAAGCTTGAAAATAACACAGGCAGTCGCAAACCAGATCGATCATGAAATAGAACAAGAGATGTTCTCCAAATTTCTGTCACGACAAGAGGAAGTTAAAAACAATTGAGAATTAGGCTCCATAGGCAATAAATGTTCTTCATTCAAATGTTGTTTCATACCTTAGATCCAAACACATCATTAAGGGGTCGAAGTCCATCAGCAGTGATGGACGAGGAAATCTGGGCTGTAATGGTTGACATCAACAGCATTCCGATGATCATCCACAGTGAAGCATACACCCGAGCCAGCGATGATTTAGGAGCTTTGTCGCCATAGCTACCATGTCAGTGATAAAAAATACAAATGACTTAAGAGGATAAGTTTCTAAAGAAACTGTTGTGCTGCGTCGGTGGGAGTGTAGAACAGGGTGATTTGGTATTATCAACTGAGTTGATAACGTAAATTGGCCACCGTAAATAGTTTAAAGCTAAAGTCTAGCCTTTGAACTCTTTACGATGACAAATTTACATTATCAACTCAGTCAGTGATAATACCAAATTATCCTGATAAAAAATACAAACTTAAAGTATTGTTAAAGAGACAGTAACCGAACTCGCGTGGCGCGCGGGCTCAGAGATATCTTCAATTTGTAGGCTTGTAAGCAAAGTGACGTTAACAATTATCGCGTGCGCGAGTTTAGTTCTTTGAGAGCCGTCTTTTTGAGGACTTTTTACGACGTTTTATTATTAGCTGTATTACCGTGTTGAGGTTGTTTTGGCAGATTAAACGTGGATCTTTTTTCCGAAGGGTTTTCCGTAATTGCTTAAGAACAATTAACATTATAAGGCTTTATCGTGATCACGTCACTTGGTTGACGGTCAATTCGTCAAAAAGGGACTCAAATCGCCATAGGGACTCAGAGGTGGAACTTTAACCGTGAAATGAAATAAAACATGTTGATATTACGTTTTGTGATCAGTTTGTGAACAGCGAAAGGGGGGGATTGGCGATTTGACTCTCAGTGATGGCGAGTTTGATATGGTTGCTAATTGACCGAATACCCGTCACTTTTGTGGTCGTGTGGAAACTGGGTATGAGTTTAATTGGCTGTGTTAGATGACAAGACAGATTATTATTTAGCTTGCAGTTTCTAACCCCACTGTTGTCATAGTAACCACTGCCCACCACCATCCGTCTTGAACGCCTCTCCAAAACGAGTCTGGAAAATGACCTGCATTTGCTCTGTGATCCTGTGGCGGAAAGAATATTTAGTTGTTAAAAGTAAAGAACACTTACATTTTCTATGTGCAAATAGCAACGCAGGAGATCCAAATACGCTTTCGCAGGACAAACGATATTCGTGTCAGTCTTCTTTTTCGAAAGAAAAAAACCGTATCAAGTTATTCACACTGAGAAATGAGTAACCAACGTATCAAAATCGTGCGTTATAAAGCATTAAACACATTCATGCTAGACGATGAGATCTCAGAAGTTTGCCTTCAGGAGGTTTGAATATTAAAGAGGAGAGAAACATCTGCTGATGATATAGCCATTTTTGGTCTGAGTTCCAAGATTGTTTTTTAAGTGAGATGTCAGATGTCTTAAAGAATTATTAAAAAATATGATAATTAACTCATAGTCATGTTGATTTGTCTCCAATGTTTACTTTAATGTCGGAAGCATTGTTTAAAAAAAATTTTGCTTGGTTTTAGATCATTAACTATCAATCTAACCTTTTCTCGATGCAGTCGTATGAGTCGTCTGTTTTCTACTTTACACCGTTAGGTTTGGGAAATGTCAATACCAGCTTGAAAACGTTGACCTTTTTTGCATACTCATATTTTGACTTATTCGTACTCATCTTTTGACTTCATCTTCATCGTTTGATTTATAACCAATTCTCCATCATTTTAATTCTTCATCTGAGTTTAGCTTTTCATGGATTCGGAAATGACTTGAGAAAATCCGTGAACAGAGTTTGGATCAAAATGTAAATTTTAGTCTTGGGCAAAAGCAATTAACGTATTCAGAAATAACTTTAGAAAACCGATGTAAAGTCCATTCGGTTACTTTTTACTCATGTGGATCAATTACAATTTGGCAAACAGCTCACTGAAATATTAAAAGTTTAAGACCAGACGGCAAAAAATGATTATCAGAGGGTGACAATGGGTGATGGTTTTTACATATTAACGGTTAAATTTTCCCTTTTTTACGGCAACAGGCTAACGCAAAATGACACAAAATGACACATTCTAGAAAGGCAAAATGTTTACGGTTAACTTTTGTGACGACTAACGGTTACAATTTGTCAATGTTTACGCTGAAATGGCCGTTTCACATCTAACAGTTACCCCCATGAAGAACATGTTATCAATATTTTCTTGCATATTACAAAGAACGTATATTATTATCATAAAAAGAAAAATTATGCGGGTGAATAATTCTCGATTTTTTTATTGTTGATTTAGCACTAACCTGTGTCACATATATCATTTGAATGATCAACTTTTCTAATGGGATAAATTGAGGAAAAAGAGAGTTCTGAATACCTACCAAGAACCAGATGATGATTCCTGACAGCATGGCTCCTGTTATGCAAATAACAATGAGTTCCCATATTTGTTTAAATGCGTGAAGAATTTGACGGCCAATGGAAAACGATTCTTCTTTGATGGCCACTAAAGGATAGAACTCTGTCTCTAAAGTTGTAACATTTGAAGGCCAAGAAAAGAGTGGAAATGTTACGTTTACAATTGGGCCGTTACAACCAGTTGTTTCATTGACTTTTGAATAATTTGAAAGGCAGTCTTGTAGGATATCTTTCACTGTGTAGTTCCACTCAGATTGCCTTTGTCTCGCAAAAAAATCCTCAATCCAGTTGAACCTCACACAATCATTGATTGAAGCATTTTGGTCCTTCGACGGATGTGCCACTCTGACCTGTGAGATGATTAAAAAGAAGAGAAGACACTTGCACGACATTTTGGTGCAGGAGACAGCTCGCACGTTCTGTTGATTCCTGGAGGCAGTAATGTTTAAGCACCAGTAAACGGAGAGCATTTATTAGTAGCACCTTGTCATGTCACCAACAGATGTTCTAAGGAAATTGTTTTTGCTCTGACCTATTGCATTCACTCAAAGAATCGTGGCGGGAAAACTTCTGAATGCCGGAGAAGCTTTCAGATAAATACGATCATATGGCATCAAAATATAAATGTACTCAAGTTTTGTTAAGTGTTCTTGTCTTAGAAACTCCAAGGAGGAATTTCCATTGTGGGTCTTTATGAGTATGTGCCGGCATTAACCTTTAGCTCTCGTTTCCATGCTCTCTCTTCTTCCCGCCACCCGAAGTGAGGGAAAAAGAGAGAGAGTCTGGTCGGTGTTGGTCACATGCCTCTCTAGGGGAGGGGTGGGAAGAAAGAAGGCCCTGAGAACGAGAGTATAACAAGTTATCTTTTTGTTCTGGAGGCCTTAAATAGGGTGTGAACATTGGTTGCGACTGTATCTAGCTGTAGTCTGCTCTCTTTTGGCTTTAGATGAAACCTCACCCATCACCTGATCTCGTACCCAGATCCTACCGTATAACTGTACCGTGTACAACCGCTTGGCCGTGGAAGGTCTGAGAACGAGACCACTCAACTCCTGACAGCTCTTTAATAGTTGTGGTGAGCTGTCTCCTTAGCCTATATCTCGGTTTAGCGCTTTCTCTTTTACCTCCGGCACCACGTAAGGTACATTACTCTCTCCTTCAAAATGGTGACCAAAAGTTAAAACTGATAAGCAAACAGGAAGTTTATATACCATTAACAAAGAAAGTTTAGTCTCTCTTTAATAACCGTTGAAAGTAAGCCGTTTGAACGCCTTCTTAGCGGTAACTCAAAATATTTTCGCCTATTTAATAATCCCTCCAGAAAGATGCACAGAGGACTCTGCACAGAAAAACAGGGAGAAAGAGATGGAAATTGGCTGTGAAACGCATGCAGTGAACGAGTTAAGTAAGGGCAGTCAGTCTCATGACTTTGTTGTGAGCTCAGGTTCAACTGAAAGACTCTTCAGGGTTGCGCACACAACATTCTATATGTGTTCTGGTAGAGATAAGGTGGCGTGCGCACTCCGATTGCGTTGCATTGTGGTAGGTTCATTTTCAACATGGCGGTGAAAGCGGTAGAGATCGGCAGATTTTGACTGAACATTCCGTAAAAGTTATGCCGTTCCTTTTTCCTTTCGCCATAGTTAAATGTAATTTTATTTATTCTGATTGTGTCTCGATGTCCTCAATGATCCGGATGAGACCATTGATTCTCTCCTGGAGCGCGTTAGTTTCAACAGAGGAAAGCATGTGGGAAGTTTTTTTCCTCATTCTGCAAAGGTGCTTAACGAGCGGAGTCATATAGGGTGGAACCCTTAAATTGATGACATTCTAACCTTAAAGGAAAACTGTCATTAAATATTGGTTGAAGAATGTTGTTCAATGATTAGACGCTTTCATCGGGGTCTTCCAAAGTGTCAAAATGCTTAAAAATATTTCCTCTCAGGCTTAGCAGGGGTAACGGGCAACAACGTAACAGCCAGGTGATCAGACCTTGCAACGCCTTTGAATACTTTTGCTTGTTGCCATAGAAGCGGATAGTTCATAAGAAATACGTCCAAAATACTATGGCCAATTGTGGATTTCGTGAGAGTATTTTTTTTTTATTTCAGCAAGACTTTCGACTGTCTCGCACTATATAGTTTGCGATAAGTTGAAGGCCATGGACGTCAATCCTTATATTACCAATTGGATCATAAGTTTTTTAACTAAAAGGCAACAACGGGTTGTTGTAGATGGGAAGTCTACAGAGTTTGCCAGCTTTAATAGGGGTGTTCCTCAAGGAACTGTATTGGGGCCCATTTTATTCTCTATAATGATTAATGATATCACTGCTGTACATCCCGGAAGTAATCTGCTTCTTAAATATGCAGATGACTTGACATTTAGCGTTCCAGTCAAGTCAACAGTCCCCAACTCTCTCGCGATGCAAGAGGTGGGGAACATTCAACAATGGGCCTGTAATAGCAGGATGAAACTTAACCTAAGCAGGACCTGGGAAATATTATTAAGAGGGACAAAAACCAAACAGGTACCTGATGCGTTACCCTCAATTGTAGGGAAGCCCGCTGAACTTTAATTGTTAGGTGTAACCTTCACTCAAGACCCATGTAACTGGGACACTCATTTTGATCTTCTGCTACGTAAAGCCAGTTCTAGGTTATACATAATGAGGGTTCGTAAATTTTATGGTTATACGCAGGAGGAATTGACGGTCCTTTTTAATAGCTTAATTATGTCATTATTCGAATCGAGTGAAGATGGTAGACAGTCAGCCCTCGGAGCATACATACCTAACTAACCATTCAATTGGGTGGGATAATTCTAAAATTATCACCACTAATCGGCGTTACCACCAGCGCCTTTGTTTGGAAGCTTGGCATATTAACTCCGCCCACGCTCCTTTAAATCGTGACGATGGCGGTTTGCTTCCTGACGCCTATTTACACCTCGTCAGGAAAAAGGCCGCTAATTAGTGATCGTATAAAAGGACCTCTTGTTGCAGCGTTTAGATCACCCCTGATGAAGGCACTAGACAGGAGTATCGAAACGTTGGGTCTCTGAATTGTAACTTCTTCGGTTACATTCATTAAATCTGCAAACCAGAGTAGCATCAAACTATGTCTGATTGTCCACCTGGTTGCCGTGTGAACTTTAATATATTCTGTAAACGTGCCTACAAATATGGTTATTTATTGAATTTCACACCCATTAAAGATATTGTTCGTGTCAGAGATAAATTGTTATGGAAACAGATCACGAAAGAGTGCGATCATTGTATACGTGACCTACTTCCCATGCAGAGGGCTACATACATATATAAGGTTAGTTTTAAGGTGTCATTTCCCTGCTTGTATGTTTCTGAGGTTTGTCAAAGCTGGTTGAGATTGTGTTACAAAAGTTAATATTTTCATGCTAGCGCACTATTTTTTTTCTTTTTCAAGTACACCGTCTCTCCCGCAGAAAATAACTCTAGATATACGTTTCTCAAAAATTTATTTTAGGTATCCTCTATCCTTTAAGCATATTTGAAACTCTGTACGTTTTTTCATTAACGTTGAGCGTGAGGAATTTGGTCTTAGACGAGTAAGGCTTCTCCTTTCGCGAATCCCGTATTTACACCGTTAAGTGTGTGACATGAAAAATAGTTCGTGTATTAGAAGGTCGCTGTCTCTTTGTAATGCGTTTGCACGTCAAGGGTCGATTCCCCGTTCAATAACCCGCGAATTTATATTATTCACATAGCCATCGGCTGTGAGTGTAACTGCTGCCCAATGTATAGATTCTTAGGCAAGGCTGCAGTTTCGATTCTTTCTGAATCTCTCCAGTAGCCTCCTAAGAACGAATTTGACTAATTTGTTAGTTACTGGCGTAAAATCTTACATATAAACACTATAGACTGAAAGAAATTACGTCATTAGTTACTGGCGTAAAATCTTATATCCTGTCAGCAGAGATGTTCTCTCGACGCAGGACTTAATGACCATGATGCAACGCAATCAGAGAGCGCACACCGCCTGGTTATTAATGAAGGTTCGTCATGATGGAGACAGTGCGGTTTGGCAAAGTTGATTTTGCCGTGTTTGGAATTATGTTACTTCAGTCGACCGCCATTGGAATATACCATGCTTTAGCCGGAGGAGAGCAGAGAACAACGAAGGAATTTCTCTTCGCGAACCGCGGCATGATGGCGATACCTGTAGCGCTGTCTTTGATCGCATCATTCATGTCAGCTATCACAATTCTTGGTGTACCTGCAGAAATTTACATCTATAGTACACAATACTGGCTTCTCTTTCCATCTGTGGCGCTGTTTTTCGTTCCCGTTTTTCGCGCTGAATATATCTCTTCCTCTTATAAGGTAAGTGATCATAAGTGAAAACAACTGCCGATTATCAACAAGAATATTGTGAGGGCGCCTTTTAAGTCATTGTGTTCTAATTGTTTCTTTTTCTTTTAATAGTCTTTTGGTTAGCGCCGTGGTTACCGGTTACCTCGCCACCAGGGAGACTCGCCACCAGCGAACTCGCCACCAAGGAACGATCTCGCCACCAACGTACTCGCCACCAAGCGAAGTCTTCTCGCCACCAACCACCAATAAAGAGATAAACTAGAATAAAGTAGTCGAGGAGGGTAGGATGTTCGAACGAGCACAATTCAAATCGGCCGATACGTTTGTGCGCTTGTCTGTATTTAAATTATGACCTTTAGCGACGTGTTAGATGTGTTCCGTTCCTAACTCATTGACATCGAAACGTATCGTGTTTGTCTTTTGCACGTAAGCGAGGAGAAATTGCAAAACTCGATGCGAGGAATAAAAACTTACTTGAGAGGAAATGAAACTTCATGGGAAGAAATAAGTGATGAAATGAAACTCGATAGCAGTTGTATTAAAACTAGATGCGAGAAATTGTCAAGTCGGTGCGAGAAATTGTAAGCGTCGATGGACTGAAGCTTTCCTAAGGCAACTACAGTTGTTTCCCAAGGAGAGTTAACAGTTCGAACCAATCGATTCCTGAGTTTGTTTGCTTATTTGTATGAAAATTTCGACGTCTGTGATGTTATAAGTTCGAACGAATCGACTCACGAGTTTGTTTACTTATCTGTATGCAAAATTCGACGTCTGTGATGTTGTCAAGGGAACTTATTCAATATTCGGTCGAATTATATTACCCAGTTTCCCCGCGGCAAAATAACAACTCCGCTTTTCTTCAGTTTTGAACGTGCTATCGACAACATACGTTTATAAAGTTTGAGTACAGACAAGCGAACAAACTTATCGGTTTCGAACGTGCTTTCGACAACATACGTTTATAAAGTTTGAGTACAGACAAGCGAACAAACTTATCGGTTTCGAACGTGCTTTCGACAACATACGTTTATAAAGTTTGAGTACAGACAAGCGAACAAACTTATCGGT